CCCAAACAAATAGTTCTCAAGACCCCATCACCAAAATAACCAGAGCAAAATGGCCTGGGTTTGGCTCAAGTGGTAGAGTGCCTGCTCTTGCACGTAGAAAGCCCTGAGTTTAAACCCCAGACACACACACACACACACACACACACAAAGCAAAAACCATAGCCTGCAAAATATAAAACAAATATTAAAGCTGTAAACAATGGAAGAGAAATTCTATATGCATGATTGAAAACTTTAATATTGCTAATAGGGCAATTCTCCCCAAACTGATCTTAGAGTTAATGTAATTTCTGTGAAACTCTGAATGTCTTTGTTTTGTTCCAGAAATGGACAGGCTGATCTTAAAACTTATTTAGAAAAGTAAGGAATCAGAAGAGCTCCAGAGTGGCCAAAACCCATTCTGAAAACTGAGGACAAAACTGAAGGACTCACTGTTGGGTTTTGAAACTAACTGCAAAAGGACAGTGATGAACTGAGCGTGGGATTTGCATAGAGTCACAGACTGTGCACCAGAGTCCAGAAAGAAACCCAGAACCCTTGGAGGCTCATCTCTGACAGATAGGCCTGTGTGTCCCTGTGGCTCCAGGCATCCTTGTGAAGGCATTTAGCAGGCAAGATTAAAGTCCATAGTGATGTGACTTTTAACTAAAGGAAATTGGCCCACAGGACCTGGATGGGCCCGATTACATCCTTTGACAGGCCTACAAGCACAGCACAGCTTCCGAGAGATGAAATTTCACCCCCAGGTAGCTTGTGTGGGTGAGCCCCACCTCCTGCCCTTGTTGTTTTTGTTTTTTGATGCTCTGGATCAAACCCAGAGGCTCACTGGTGCTAGGAAGTGCTCCACGACTGAGTTACACCCTGGCCTGCCTCTCTGATGTGGGGTCACAGATTTCTGGACTTGCCTCTCCAGCTCCTACACTCACGCAACCCAAGTCCTGACAGTGAACCTGTTGTGTGCACACATCTCCACTGACACGGGTACCGACAGAGTCTGGTGTCCAGGTGATTCGGTGGAGAAAGGATTTTCCATGCACAGTGCTGAGAAGCCTGGAACCAGCTTAGGCTTAGGCTCACCTCACTTCACAGAAAACCTAGCTCAGAGTTCCCGCTGGCTACGTGTAAGAGCCAAAATGGTAAAATCCCTTAGAATAAAGCTAAGGGAAATCTTTATGACCCGATTGGGCAGTGTTCCTAGATATACTACTACTGACTTTCTAAAATTAAAAACTGGGGACTGAGGGTGTTGTAGCTCAGTGGCAGAGCACTTGTCTTGCAATGTGTGAGGCCCAAGATTCCATCCCTAGAACTACAAAAAAATTATTTTTCATAAATTAAGAGGTATGTTTATTTTTAATTATAGCCCTGTGTTCAATTCCCAGTACCAACAAAACAAAATGAAAAGCCCAAACTTAGGGAGTTTTTAATCTTCTTTTCTCCACCCCCATATTGTGTGACTTGATTGATTGATTGGCAGTACTGGGGTTTGAACTCAGGGCCTTGTGCTGGCTAGGCAGGTGCTCTATCACTTGAGCCACTCCTCCAGCTCAATCGTGACTTTACATAAAGGCATATGACCCACAGGATCTGGGGCCTCGAGCATGCTAGGTAACTGCTCTCCCACTGAGCTGAATCTCCAGCCCACACTTTTGCATTTCAAATGACACCATTAAAAAAATAAAATTAAAAAAGAGAAAAAAAAAAAGAAACTTATTAGGGAAATGCAAATTGAAGCCACCCAGTAGGGCGACTATAATAAAAGACTGTCAAGGACTAGTAAGGAAACAGGAACCCAAACATCCTGAGGGAAATGCAAAATGGTACAGCCACTCTGGAAAGCAGTCTGGCACTTTTATTTAAAAAATTACATGGGTTTTTTTCTATGGCCCATCAATTCCATTCCTTGATGTTATTCAAGAGAAATGAAAACATATGTCCAAACAAAGAAATGGGTGGCAGACAATCCTTGCACCATCATTTCCTAATAGCTAAAAAGCGGGCATGATCCCAATGTCCATTAAGTAGTAAATGAAGAACGGATGCATTTGATGCAATACTATTTAGCAACAGGAAGGCAAGAACTACTGAACGTCCTACAGCATGGCACACCTCCTGCAGGCTCAGTGAAAGAAGTCTGACACAAAGCTACAGAGTCCACTTTTATGAGATGGTGTTTCCAATTCATTTTTAATTGATACATCATAACTTACCCAGTGTCCTGTTGTACCCCTTCTCCTGTGATAATTCCATAGGACTTGTAGTAAGATCAGGGTCATTGACATTTCCTCCTTAAACATGGACCCTTTGTGTCTAAAGCTTCAACCCCTCTCTTTATAAAATCCATAATTAGTTGTGAATGAAATGTGCTGAAAAGGTAAACCTATAGCAACAGAAAGAGGATGAGGGGTATCTGAAGCAGGGCCAAGAACAGGGACACACCAAGACTGGGCATGGTGGACTGAGCGTGGTGGACTAGACATGGTGGTTTCCTGGTGATGAAAACATTCAAGCCTGGATTGTGTGATGATTCACAGCTCTGTGTATTCACTAAAGGTCATCAAACTGTTCACTCAAAATGAACAAACTGGGCTGGGCACGAGTGGCCCTATCTTGAAAAAACCTATCACAAAAAAGGGGGCTGGTGGAATGGCTCAAGGTGTAGGCCCTGAGTTCAAACCCCAGTACTGAAAAAAAAAGCAAATTGTATGGTGTGCAAATGATGACTCAATAAAGCTATTTTTTTTTTTTTGGTGTGGGGAACTGGAATTTGAACTCAGGGCTTCTCACTTACAAAGCAGGTGCTCAACTGCTTGAGCCACACCTTCAGTCCATTTTGCACTGGTTATCTTGGAGATGGGCTCTCTCAAACTATTTGCCCAGGCTGGCCTCGAACCTTGATTCCCCCAATCTCAGCCTCCCAAATATAAAGCTGTTCTTTTTTTTTTTAAATAAGTGTACAAGAAAGCTAAACAAATGAGAAACAAACTGAAGCAGATCACTGAGGAAAAGCCACGCCTGCTCGGGACACACACAGTTCAGAGGTGTCCTGAGGATGCGTGGTTGATTTCACTTCCAATGAAGACATGCCACCTTTGGACAAATCCAGAATTTTTATTTAGTCACTTCAATTACTCACATTAACTTTTACCTTCCTTTTAAAATTAAGGGCAGGAAAACACTCAGCAGATCACACAATGATTTAAAAACAGCTGACACTAACTTGGACCAGCTGAGGGCTTCTGTACACTGTATGATGTGTGTGCAGGAATTTGTAATTCTTGTTTTTGAAATTTTTTTTGATTCTGGCCACACTGAGTCAAAACCAAGTGTAGTAAGTCCACAAATATGGCAGGTTTACTGTGTTGCTATGAGACAAAATACTTTTTTTTTTTTTTTTATCCATTATTAGTCAGGCACCAGTAGCTCATACCCGTAATCCTAGCTACTCAGCAAGCAGAGATCAAGATTCAAAACCAGCCCAGGTAAATGGTTTGCAAGACTCCATCTTGAAAAGCCTCATCACAAAAAAGGGCTGGTAGAGGGGCTCAAGGTGTAGATCCCGAATTCAAACCCTCATGCAAAAAAAAAAAAAAAGGTCCAAAGGGTTTCTAAATCACAACACGTGAAGATGTCAAAGAATAACTCAGGGACATTGCACATTTACTGTTCACTCACATGAGGGAAAACAGCTATCACATTTTGGGGTGACCTGATTACCCAACACACAGTCACATACCTTGCCTGGGCAGTCTGCCTTCACTGTCTAAGACAATCAAAAAAGATACTCTTCAAGTCATGTGTAGAGGTGCATGCCTGTAATTCCAGCACTTCGAGGCTGAGGCAGGAGGACATGAGTTCAAGGCCAGCCTGAATCATCTAACTAGATCCTATCTCAAAAAAAAAAAAAAAAGACAATACTTTTCTAGCTATTCTTGAATTTTCTGGATAACCGGAGCTATGAAATTCGCACGGCCCTTGGCCTTCCATCACCTTGCCATGCTGGTTCCGTGTCTCTCTTCAACATTTCTAAAATATTGAGAAAAAAAAAAAAAAAACCCTAAATCCTCGCTACTTAGGAGGCAGAAATCAGGAGAATTGCAGTTCATAGACAGCCCTGGGCCAGTGGAATGGTTCAAGTGGTAAGAGTACCTTCCTCGCAAGCATCAGGCTCTGAATTCAAATCCCAGTAACACCAAAAATAAAAAAATAAAATAATCTAATTAATGTGGGCTCAGGTGGCAGAATGCCTGTCTACCAAGCAAGAGGCCCTGAGTTCAAACCCTAGTACCGAAAAAAATTAAACACGTTTAAAATAAAATAAAAAACCTAATTAGTATAGCCTATTACATGGAAACTCAGAAACTGGTGAAGCTGCTAGGAGAGCCTTCCTCCCTCAATTATTGACAAAAAAACCAAACCAAGACAGGAAGTTGTCAGATTTGAGCCACACAATTTATTCACAACGTGATACAACCTGCCCACAGTGCTGAGTGCACATCTCTTAAGCACAGGAATTAGCCTCCATGTCATATTCCAGGAATAAATAAAAAGGAACAATTCCACATTGGTTTGCAGTTTTAAATCTAAGGAGACGCTCCATGGGTGGTGGTGACCAGTAAGAGAATATGTGCCATGCTTGGCTGGCCAGAGGATACAAGATGGGCGCTGTGAACGTCTTGCAGGAGAAAGTCCTGGGGAGGGGGGCGTCCTGGGAAGTAGTGAAGACCCCCCCCCACCCGCAAGGGCCGGCCACACACCACCCTCAAAGCATCAGCACAAAGGCCTGGAGGACACAGTGGGACCCTCCACAGTGTGGGCTCCTTCTCCAGCCACCCAGCAGGCGAGGCCCTGGGCTCCCAGAGCTGGCCATCTTACCCTGCACAGCCCAAGGGGAAAAGGTTTCCATCACAACACCGCAACCCAGCTCCTGGAGTCCCCAAAGGAGGGAGGAGTCCTGGGGGCTACCTGGGCAGAATCTGTGTGCTGACCTCAGCCAAGCCAGAGCTTCTGAGTCCTCCAACACTCTCCCTGCATCAGACAGATTTGGGTGGGTGGCCTCCCAGGTTTTCATTCCACAGTCAAGGTGAGTTGGATGGGGGACAATGATCTTGAGACCCTAGGAAGATATACAGGACCTGCTCAGGGATCCAGCAGGCAAGCCCCTCTAGGAACACTGGCTCTGGGCCAGGTAGAGCTCCCCAGGAGACGGGAGGAGTCAAGACTGTTAAGATACCACCATCCTCTTGGAGGCCCTCCTCCCCACCAACCTCAGGAATTGTCCCTCTGTTGAGTCCCAGTTTTAGGATTTTGTTGTTACCACAGCACGGCCATTCCTGTGCTAGGATGCCTGCCTAGGGGACTCCGATGCAGAGTTGAACAAGGCCACAAGGTGGCAGCACTAAGGCTGCCCGGGCCCTCAGTGCCTTCCTCTAAAGCATCCATCACAGAGAGCCCACTTGTGGGAGGGGCTCAGAATTCTTGGGGGCACCAAAAGCTATGGTGAGCATCCGTGGGGCCAGAGGGCCAAGAAGCCACCTACACAGTCTGGCGCAGGGGCCTGGCTCCTTCCCTCCCTTATCCAGCTTTCATCTCTCGAACCCGGTCAAGAGCCTGCCCTGCAGAGATCTGCACAAAGTACCTCCCCGACTGCTCCCTGACAGCCACTATGCAAGTGTGGTGGTGCTTGTGATGCTTCTGGAAAGAGCAAATGGCAGAACTCTGTTTACTGTCCAGATGCTGTTGCTGACTGGACTCCACCAGGCTTCATCTCCAGAACCCAAGGCCAGGAAGGGGCCAGGGTGGCAGGGGTGAGACCCCCCCAGCTCTGGGAAGGATTTCAGGGTCGGGACTCTCCACCTTTGCAGCAGGCTCCAAGGCAGCTCTGCACGGCTTGTCTCCCTAGTCCAGGGCTCTGTGGCAGACTGGTGGCCAGGGCAAGGGGACCCAAGAAGTTAGGGCTCCACTTGTAGCACACCTTCTACTACTCTCAACCAAATCCCCCTCCAGAATGATTCTACTAACCATCTACTAACCAGTAGAATCACTCCTTGGCTTGGAGACACCCACCCATCCCACTGCGTTCCTGGGAGCCCTGGATCCCCCTGAAAGAGCATCTGGGACCTTGGGCCCCTGGGCTGAGGTTTGTAGGGGGCAACTAGTGTATGAGGGAGGCTGCACAGACTCATATCCCAGCACAGTGACCTAGAGAGCAGCTATGTGACCCTTGAGGGCTGCTCAAGAACCCATCACACATGCAGCCTAGGATGCACTAGGCACAGTGGGTGTTGTGTCTACATTAAGGACAGGAAAGTGGCTGCTTTCCTGATGACCACAGAAAGCCTCAGGGCTCTGGGGTGGAACAGGAAATGGAGAGCTCAGAGCTTAGCCACCCTATTCCCAGGATGAACCAGCCCCATGACCTCCTTCCTGCTTCCACCACCAACTCAATCCCTGGCCTCTGCTATAAGAGGTTCACAGTAGCTACCACCTCCTTGCAGCCAGTGACAGCGAACTCGCGGCCGGCAATTCGGTAGTAGCGGAGCCGCTCAGCCAGACGCTCTGCCTGGGACTGCTCAGGAAAAAAGCCCTCTCCGGCCATCTCGTCCCGGAAGCAGCTGACCACATCTCGCTTGTCCAGCAGCAGAAAGGGTACGATGGCCGCGCCCTGCCACAGCGGGTGCTCTTGGGCCAAGAGGGCCCTAAGACTGGCGCGCAGCTCCTCTTCCGCTTGCGCCACCGCGGCCTGGACACCACGGGGGCCGCTGGGGTGCAGGGGCAGCGCGCGAGATGCGTTCTGCAGCACAAAGCGCGTGATCTCCGCACCACCTGCGCCACTGAGGAGCACGTAGATGGCATTGTGGAAATGGTGCGAGCGCTGCGGCTGCATGAAGCCGTGCAGCTCATCCAGCAGCGCCGGCGGCAAAAGCTCTGCCTCATCCAGTACTATGAGAGGGGTCTTCTCCTCGGCCTCGGCCTGTGCCACCACATCCGCCACGCGCCGTGCCAGCTCCTCACGGCAGTCCTGCGCGGCTCGCGGCTCCGGGCAGTGGTGCCGTGCGTGGTACTGCAGCACCAGCCCACCGTCTTCGAGCACCGAGCGGAAATGGCGTGCCAGTAGGCGGCCCACGTGGCTCTTGCCCACGCCACTGGGTCCGTGCAGAGCCAGGAGGAGCGGGCGACTGTGCACGTGCGTGGCCAGGTAGTCCCTCAGCAGTGCCATGATGCGCCCCACGGCGGCCGGCTGGCCAAACACGGCTCGCTGCAGTGCCTTCTCCAGCCCGTCGAGGTCGTAGCGCTGCGCATTATCGTCCAGGTTCTCGATGGCGTTGAGCACTTGGAAGCCCACGATGGCTACTAGCAGCAGCAGGCAGCGCTGCGCACGGCTCTGGCGCTCGGCGCGAGGTCGGTACTTGCGCGAGGTCTCGGGGTAGAGCACCACGCGACTGCGCCTGCGTCTCTTGCGCGGGATCCTGGACGACAGCTCCGCTGGGCCGTCGAAGGTGAAGAACTTGGGCTGGTCTAGGTCTGCGCCGGGAGTCCCGGAGTAACAGCCCGGCCTAGGGGCCCGGGGACCCGCGTCTGGGTCCGCGCTAGGCTGCAGGAGGCGCCGCTTGCGCAGGACGCACACGCGGCGGCGCAGGCGGAGCACGGCGCGCACGGGCGCGACCACGCACTGGGCCGAGGCACGGGGGGCCGCGGCCGAGGGCTCCAGGCTGGGCTGGCCGCGGTCCATCGCGCCGGAGCGGCGCTCAGCATGCAGGTCCCTCCCTGCAACAGGAAGTCGGGGGATGGTCTCCAGATTCACGCCTCGACCCTCGCTCGCGGGCCGCAGCCCAAGCTGACAGGAATCCTGGCCCTGAGTGATCTTCCCCCTGGGACTCTCGTGGAGTGCGTCCTAGGTCGCCCCAGAGGCAAAACCAGACCCCTCCTTGCCCCACTGACCAGGAAGCCGCTGTTCCGCGAGCCCCAATGCAAATCTCTTGGGTCCTCCCAGAAAAGGACCGGGCCTTGAGGAAGTGGCTGGGGGGAGGGGGGCGTGCAATTTATCAGGCGGCCGCCCGGCTTCCTGGAGGAGGAGTTGGAGGATTCAAGGGTTCCATCGAATTAGAAAGGTCAAGCCGGACCCCGACCCCTGCCGACACTTCCTACTAGACTTCGTGGCGGCGCGCGCCGGGGACATGCCGCTTCGCACGAGGAGGGGAGGCGGGGAGCTGAGGCTTCAGTGCCCCCAGGAGTTAGGGGGAGAAAACTGACGCTTTTGAGAATGGGCTCCCAAGCTCAACAAACGCCTCCCAGCCAGACCCCATACCCAAAACTGGGGTCCTCCGAACATCCCCCAGTGAACACAGTGCAGCAGCAGGGAGCCCCACAGACTAGCAGAGGTGGGATGGAAAATGAACAGAGAAAGAGCCCAGAGATAGAGTCCTCACTGTGAGGAGGCTGACCTGAGCCCCTGGACCCCCAACCCACAACCCCCCCCCTACCTGCAGCTGCGTCAGGCTCCCCCAGCTCCGCCACCCCCTCCGCAGACCAGCTGGTCTGTGACTCAGGAAGCAGGAAATGCTGGCCTCCGGGGTGAGGTGGGTGGGTCAGGGGCCTCCTGCGCCAGCTCAGGCCTGAAGAGGGCAGCGACACCTGTGGGCCCAGGGGCCGTAGGGAGCAGAGGAAGCTCTGGGGAGGTTTCCGTTTAGATGCAAAGGAAGTGAGTCAGGGGTGCGGCCGGGCGGGACTTGGGCTGGACAGAGGCGCCAGTGGGGGAGGCCTAGCTAGCTGGCTCAGATCTCTCCAGCAGCTCACCCACTCCTCAATCCTGTGGCTTTCTCAGGAAAACTGGGGAGGCCAAGGGCTCCTCCTGCAGGCCCACCCTGAGCCCCGCCCCCTGGTCTCCCTGCAGCGCAGTCTGAACTTCATGGACTCCTGCCTCCCTCCTCCTTCACCTGACCCTGCAGAGCCCAGTGGTCTGGCTGCCTGTAAATAAGGGGAGAGTAGGGTCTTCTGCTCAGCTTGCTGACTCCCATTCCTCCCTCACTTTCCTCTGCTCCCTTTTTCCTCCTCCTCCTTTACCAGGCCTCTTCCCCTCCTGTCAACCAGCCTAGACACAATCTTCCAAGGCTGGACATGCTGAGACTAAGTTGTAGACTTCTGCTCCACTTGTGGCCCATTTCCCTGTGGGAAATGGGAAGCAAATTTAGTCAACTTGAGTCAAGAGTTGAAAAAGACTTTAGATCTTTCATGGCCATCTGCTTGCCTGTGGCCCTTCCCTGCCCTCTCCCCCCTCACCCACCAGGCCCTCCAGTCCTGGTCTCTACACCTACTACTCTGGCCATGCCAGAGTCCTCAACAGGACCCTGCCACACAGCCCATTCTAGCATGGGGCCATGGAAGCCCAGCCACACAGACCAGGTGTGGCCCTTCACTCCACTGACCTTTCGAGGTGTCTGATGCACTCATGTCCTGGTCTTTTCCTGCTCTTCCCCCTCAGGCCCACTGGCCTGCCTCATCCTCAGCAAATGGAAGAAGCAACCACAAGGGCACCGGCATCTCAACCAGGTGTCTTCTAAAGAATCAAGAAGGCTTCTCCTGACCTAGAGCCCAGCCCCACTTCTGCAGGGCTCTTGCCTCTCAGCCCCTGCCCACCCCCCACATACCTGCAGACCTGTACCTGTGATCTCCACTCAGCAGTGTTCTGCTGACCCAGGGTTCCCCAAGGGTTCATGTGTTGAAATTTCAGTCTCACAGTGAGGTATTAAGAGGGCATAAGCTTAATCAGCTATAGTGTTTACAGATGGGTACTCTGAGAGGCGATTAGAACTTCTTTAGGTCATCAGAGAGGAGACCCCCTCATCTGATTCTGGTGACTTTAGAGAGGGGAGAAAAAACAGAGCACATACACACACCCACTCCTTGTCTCTCAACATGCTTGTGCCAACTCGGGTCTGCCAGCAAGGCAGCCATCAACAAATGTGCCCCACAGACTCATGAACCAAAATAAACCCATGAATTTATAACTCAGCCGGTGTGTAATATGTTATTGGCAACAAACCAGGACTAATACAGCCCCTTCCCCCTCCACCCTGCCTGGCCTTCCCTGGGCGGCTGGGTCACTCCCACCTACCAGTTCCAGTCCCACCTGCTGACGGGCTGCCAGGCCTAGCAAGGCCACCCACACTCATTCTGGCAAGGCTGGGCACATGCTGAGTTCCTAAACTGCATACACCCGTGACCTCATCACAGAGATGGACACCTGCTCAGCCTCGGCCTGGTGTTCATGTCCTGGAGGAAGTTAAGAAGATGCCCAGTGAACAATCCTCCCCTAAGGGGATGATAATCTTGAATGCAGGATAACTGAGTTACCCCAGCTGTGGAGTCTCATCTCAGAATCACTCCAGCACTGTTCTGGTAACCTTAGCCTCCCCAGGGCTTTGTGTCCTTCATTTGTTAAAAGTGTGAAGGGCAGCCAGGCGCCAGTGGCTCACACCTGTAATCCTGGCTACTCAGGAGGCAGACATCAGGAGGATTCCCAGGCAAATAGTTCACAAGACCCTCTGTCGAAACATCCATCACAAAACAAAGGAGTGGCTCAAGGTGAAGGCCCTGAGTTCAAGCCCTAGTACTGCCAAAAAAAAAAAAAAAAAAAAAAAGTTAAGGGCTGCCAGGTGTAGTGGTTTATGTCTATAATCCTACGTACTTTGGTGACTGAGATCAGAGGATCAAGGTTCAAGGACAGCCTGGGGAAATAGTTTTCGAGACTTCATCTCCAAAATAATCAGAGCAAAATGGACTGGAGGTGTGGCTCAAGCAGTAGAGCACCTGCCTAACAAGTGTGAAACCCTGAGTTCAAACCTCACTACCACCAAAAAATAAACAAAAAAATGTGTGAAGGGTTGATCACCTGGACTCATGGAATAGGAACCATGAGCTGGGTAGGGTACTAAGCACACTTGAGGCCTAGGAGGGACTTCCTGCAAGCTGGCCCATAAACTTTAGATCACCCAGGGCTGGAATCTCCAGGCAAGGCCAAACAGTTCAATTGTCCCACAAAAGCAGAAGTACTGACTCTCAAGCCCTGTGAGAACAGTGTGTTCGTCCTGAGGTGTACCCAGCCCCAGGGAGAGCACAGAAACAGCTCATCACGGATTTATAAAAAAGTCTTTTATTTACATAAGAGAAAACCTTACTGTGTGTACCTGCTGTCCCCCACAAAGGTCAAGCTGTGCAGCTAGGCAAGGAGCTCCCTGCTACAAGGGCAAACAGGCAAGGAGCTACCAAGTAGGGGCTCTGCCTGAGGGCCTTTGTCAGCAGGGACTGAGCCCTGGCACCAACGGGCTCAGGCCTGTGCTCCTGCATACCATCCTCCTGGCCTCCATGGAGGGAGCAGCTCTGGTGCTGCAGACATCATGGCCCAGCAAACCTGCTTTGGCCAACACAGCCACCACTCCCTCCCCTCTGGCCTTGCCCACACTGTACATCAAGTCAATCAGGCTCCCTGCCTCTCCCTTTGGAAAACTGGCTTTTTTCCTAATCCTAACCACTGCCCTTTTGTGCTAGGGCTGTTAAAACCTAAAAGGCAGAAAGGCAGGCACCAACAAGCTTTCCACTGCAAAATCACAAGCAGGGACACTGTTCCCAAGCTGCCAGGGCCCGGCAAGCAGGTGCCACATGTGGGCAGCAGAGAACCTCCCAGGACCAGCTCCAGCAGGCTGAGATGCACAGGAGATGGCCACAAGACTGCTCTCAGTTCACCCTGCATTCCCAGGCCAGGAGAGCTTCCTCTTGACAGGGCCTCTTCCCAAGAGGGGCTACATTGCTGAGTAGCCCCTACAAAGCCTCAGAGTGCAGCTGTGGTGGGCACGCTGGGGAGGGGCAGCTCCAGCGCCGGTGTCTCTGCAGCCTGCGTGGGGCTGGTCTTCCGATGGTCCAGCTGCTCTAGCTTCTCGCCAAGCTGGGAGTAGAGTTCCTTCACAGCCTCCCCACTCTGCAGGCAAACCAAGCATGGGTGGACAATGTGGTAGGCGGCCCAGAGGTACGCTAAGGAGTGCACCCACAGGCAGAGCCAAATACCAAGAGTGAGGGTCAGCACAGGAAATGAGCATGCCTGTGGCTGGACCTGTCAAGCACATTCACAGAGAACACCCCCAGAGATGGGGGTCTGGCACACCTACCTGGCCCGTGGGCTCCAGGGCCTTCTGCAAGGCCTCTAGCTTGGATGGGGCCACCCTGGAATGCAAGTGAAGGAGAAGCCGCAGTACATGCCGGTGCACATTCTCCTTCCTGGAAAGAGGCAGACAGGGCTGAAAGGGTGGAGGGACCACAGACCCTGCTTCCCTCCTAGACATGGTCTACCTTGAGTGGAGACACCCCTTCTGGCAACTCCTGCTGCCCCTGGAGCCCCTGGTCCCTCAGACCTCCCTCAAACTACACCAAGCATCCCTTGGCTGAATGTAGGCCCCGGCCATCTCCCTGGCTGCCGTGCACAAGAACCAAGGACAGGAAGGTTAGACTGGCCAGGCATACAGTAGGCTATGTGGCCTACCTGGGAGAGGCAGTGAGGAAAAAGCCGTCAAAGAGGCTACTGCAGAAATCCTCCAGGGCAAACTCGTCAGCTAGCAGTGCCAGGCTCCCCGTGAGTAGGTGGAGGAAGATGTCGCTGAAGGCCAGGTCTCCGAAGGTCTCCACTGTAAACATAGCAGGTTGACCCAGCCACCTGCCACCCACCAAGCCTGCTACTGGGGAGGTGACCTCTGTCCTCAGGGACTTGCATCTGGGGGCCTCAGGAGGGGTTTCTCATTGTCTCCAGGTAAAGAGAGCTCCTTAGGTGAGCAAGTGGGGGAAGTCTGGAGCTCTAAGTACAAGTCCCCAGAGGGCAGATAGGTGGACTGTGGCCCTTGGCAAGGAGGCAAGGCCACAGCAGGTGCACGGGGACAGAAAAACAAGGAGGGCCCTAATGAATGCTCTCAACAGCTAGGCAGGGATGTGTATGGGGGTGTCACTGGTCTCAACTGGCCCAACAGAGAGAAATCCAGTGTGATGAATGCAGGAAATACTAGAGTGCAGTCTGGAGGAAGTTCTGCCAACTCCCTCAAAAGAGAGAGTAAAGAAACACTTCCAAACACTGACACCAAAGCATGACAGATGACCAAGCAACTGCAGATGAATCCTGCTCACAGATACAGCAAAAAAGGCATAGTCCCTGCAGGTAGTGCCTGCCAGAAATAAACCACAGAGCCCTAGACAAACGGTCACTCATAGGTATGAAAGGTAACAAAAAGATCCCACAGCCAGGCCTTGCCCATGGGAGGACAGATATAGACGTAGATAGGTCTCAAGACTAGACATGGCCATTCCTGACACCCAAAAGCAATAGGCCTGGGCAGAAAGCATCATGAGCACAGACCTGTCTGATGCCACCTGAACCAATGGGGTGAGAGGAACATTTCAGGAGACTGAGGTGTCCCAAAGGCACTGCTGACAACCATCTGACCAAGGTTCCACTGCTTTGTGCTCCGCATTACTACAGAAGACTTGGGCAGGCGCATGGTCTCTACCAAGGGATGCAACTGCTTGGATTCCCTCAAATGACTCCAAACATCAGGAGACTTGGGGCAAGCAAGCACTGGCAGCAGGAAGGGGTCTCTCAAACCCTCACAGAACACTGCACAGCACCATTTGAGACACAGGAATGCAGCTAGCACTCATCATGTGACTCGAACCACAGCAGGCCTGCTCAGATGACCCTGGGTCTTGGTTAGTTTTTAAATGCATCCTTCTTTTGTTGAGATGCCTAGTTAAGTATTCAGAGCCAGCGTGTGGTGATGTCAGGGACAGACAACCACACACCAGTCTGAGGAGCCAACAAATGGCTTCCCCATACCATGCTCTCAAACTTCATTTCCCCAGATATTCCCAAAATCAGAAGTTAAAAAACAAACAGAAAGCTGAGTGCCTGTGGCTCACACCTGTAATCCTAGCTACTTGAGAGGCTGAGATCAGGAGGATCAATGTTGGAGACCAGTCAGGGCAAAAGTTCATGAGCCCCAGTGCCTGGCTAAGCAAGCTCTTCCTAAAAGTGATTGAAGTGATGCATTCAGCCATGGGAGCAGTGCACTTGGGGGACACTGATGCCTCACCCCAGGAAAGATAAGCTACACTCTGTTTCTAGTTGGCACACTAGATGAGAGGCAGAAACAACAGTGATGAAATGCAGAGGACTCCAAAACTGCTTACAACTGTGTTCTTAGAAGTCTCAAAACAAACAAGCTAGCCTCTGTGTATACCCCTCACTGTCCTGAGAAGCTTGAAAGGGCACAGAACAGATTCTTTACTGAGCATGCAAAAGGAGCTCAAAGCACATTTCGGCTCCTGGTCTTCAGAACCCGCAATATCCTAAGTATGAGTTGTTTTAAGCAACTAAGTCTGTGGTAAATTGTTCCAGAGGAAACCAAAGCCCAGGCTGAGAGAACTTAGATGGCAGCTGCATATAAACTAATACCCACAGACAGCTTCCGCCACACAAAAAGTGGGAAAAGAGACAGCAGTGACTGAGAAACACGCTTAATGAGAAGTGGGCAGTCTTTATGCAAAAACCTCAAAAGTCCAGATAAGGCCTGAGTGAGCAGATGCTCAGGCCTGTCACCTTGTGGACACTGGATGTTACTGAGGCCACCTCTCTCCTACAGGACCTGCAGCTTTACTTTCTTTCTTTTGAGGTGCTAGAGATGGAACCCAGGCCCCACATATGCTAGGCAAGCACTCTACCACTGAGCCATATCCCCAGCCTGCAGCTTTACTGTTGAGGGGCCCACTCAGACCTCTCCGTCTTCTTCCTGGCTTGTGACACCCCCTCTCCCTGAGGGCTGGGGCTTTCTCAGTCATCTGAGTACCTGGAGTCTATGCCCTTTACCAGTTAGAACAAAGCAAAGGTGGCTCTTGCAATTCCTCTTGTGGCAAAACACAGGAGGCCCAGGCAGCTTCTGTAGTAACACAGTGAGCCCCCTCCCACTTGTCTGCTCAAGAAAAGTGCAAATGACAACTGGAAAGTTTTCACAAACCACGTTATGAAGGTAAGGGGAGGAAGAAAGGGAGCCAGCAGCCCTCTGCTGGGAGAGATCACCCCTCAGCAGGTGAGCATCACTGTCAAGACTCACCGAGCCCTGGCAGCAGACGCAGGAGAGCGTTCTTGTTCCTCTGCTTGGTGATGTGTAGGACGTAGTACAACCCCACCTCACAGGCCATGCGCTGCTCCTGCAGAAACCTGTGCCAGAAGACACCAGAGGCCACGGTCAGCTCTGCCCAGCAGCACCGTCCACTTGTAGCCTCTACCCTGGCACCTCTCCCAACAGCTGCCCTCAAGTCCTACTTGGTGAAACTTTCAGGAAGCGTGTTGGGGTACGTGACTGGGGCTTTCTCCTCAGCTGGAAGCTTCTGGTCCACGTTGAAAGTGTAGTCATCCACCACAAAGGACATGAGCATCGGCAGGAACTGGGTGATGAGCTCCGCCTCCTGACAGGAGGGGAACCTGAGCCTGGTGAGCCCCACAGACCCACCTGCTCTCTGCCCAGTGGGAACGCCACTCCACCCTTGTACTACAACAGGTCCACTTCACACACTTTCCTCAGGTCCAGCTTTCCTAGACACTGATCCCCAAGGACCCCTGCCAGTGCTATGCTCCAACCCTCAACATGGCATGATCATGGCAGTTCATGCTGAGTCCCTGCTGTGCCCAAGCCCACATGGAGTAGCCACCACTCAGAAGCCAGTCTACCAGATGCCCCAAGATATTCTTTAGGCATCTTACCAAAAAGGAGACTCAAAGAGCAGCACTTCAGGACCAGAGGGGACACCCCACCACCCCCCACAATAAGCATAAAAGTGGGGAACCAGACCCCATACCATCTTGGGTTCCTTGAAGACCTGGCTGTCGATCAAATCCCATGCCCCCTGGCCCAGTGCTAGCAGCCTGAGCAGCAGGAGGAGGTCAGGGCTGTCCTGTGGGGAAACAAAGGCCTCAGAAGAGCTCACTAGGACTCTGCTGTCCTGTGGCCCCACTTCAAATGCAGTGAGAGGTGGGCACAGATGGCTCAAGCCTGTAATTCTAGCTACTCACGAGGCAGAGATCAGGAGGACTGCAGTTCAAAGCCAGCCCGGGGAAATAGTTTGAGAGACACTATCTCAAAAATATCTAACACAAAACAGGGCTGGCAGAGCAACTCAAGTGATAAAAGTGCCTGTCTAGCAAGCATGAAGCACTGAGTTCAAACCCCAGTACTACCAAAAAAAAAAAAAAAAAAAAAAATGCACTGAGGTCTCTGCTACCTGTGATCAGGATCCCAGCACCATGATCACAAGCAGAAAGTGGATGGTTTGGGCCAGTGTGTATAGCCACTGACCACGCCTGTGCTTACCCTGGGCAGTGTCTCCTGGCTGACCAGCTCCTGCAGGTGCCGGATGGTGCTCAGTGACAGCGTGTTGATAGCAAAGGGGTCACACAGGATCATGGATAAATCTCTAGAAAGAACCAGCCCTCAGGTTAATGAGCAGCCGTCTATCTTATCCTTGTCAGGGGTGCCTGTTTCACTGAAGGGTTGGGTCACAGGCTGGAATGCAGGGCCTCACGGACCGGACCCAAGGACTGGCCCCAGAGAGCTACCCTCTCAGTAGTTTGCATGGAGCAAACTGACTGATCCTGTTCTGGACTTCTTTCAATGAAAAGCTTAAAGTTAAAAATTCATCCTTAACTTAATCAAAGATCTTTCAAACTAAGAGTTAAGGAAGAAAAAAGTCATGCTATGTTTCTGAAAACCTGACCCAGACCCTGGGTTTAGCCAGTGAACCATAAACAACTCTTAACAAGGAAGCACAGTGGGTCTGTACCAGTAGCACTGTGTCAGAGGATGAGGGAAACCAGTTGGGAAAAGGCCCCACACTGCTGCAGATACCAGTCCCCTAGGCCCCAACTCTGCAGAGGTGAAAGCCCTTTGCTACCCAGACTCACCCCAAGTAATCCCATCTCTCAGCCATCAACCTGCGTTCTTGGCATGGACACACTTGGAACGAGCCCCCAGCTATCAATGGTGGGACACGGCATACCCCACTAGATGCCTGTAGACAGGGGTTTGAGGGCTGGGACCCTCATGGAGCCAACTCTCACCCTAAGACCTGCTCCTGCCCTTTCTTTACTCCATCCAGAAATCCCTGAAGCTCCCGGGCTCTCTTGCTGTCCACAAACCGCTCTCGGATGCAGGCATCCAAGCACCAGGTGAACTGCAAGGAGGAGACACACAATCAGGGCATGCCCAAACCCTCTGAGCATGAATGGAGGCAAAGCACTAAGGACAGTCCAGTCCCTCAGCCCTTACTGAGGTTCAGCTGCTTCCCAAGAGGCTGTGAGAACCACAGGACCTAGTAGAAGACAGAGGCAAAGGTAAACACAGGCCAAAGCCCAAGGCCCCGCCCCAGGCCAAGCCCAGGACCCAGGAGGGCCACTGGAGAAGGTGACAAAGACAGTAATATCCCAGGGCAGCCTATGCTGGCCCAAGAAGGCTGTACAGTAGAAGCTTCCAGGCTGGGACAGGCCAAATCCACCAGATACACACTAGTCCAACACATACTGACAAAGAGAAATAAACCTAATACCCATCTCCCAGTGCCCAAGGGGAAACACTGTATGGACAGAAGGTACCACTGAACCTTCTTGGGGGGATAAAAGGCCTACAGGAAGCAGGGGTAGCCTCCCTGGGAGCAAAAGCAGCAAGAGTAGGCCAACGGTAGAGAAGGCACTTTTGTTTTATCTGAGATTCCCTTGTGGGTGGTGTGGACACTGCAGTGTCAAGCAATGAGAGGTTCACAGACAACACATGCTCCCCAGGAGATGGTCTCAGAGCTGCTATGCTACGTAGAGGGTAGAGGGCAGCCCAGAAAAGCCCATTCCTAGAGTACCCATGTGCTTGTCAACAAGAAGCCCTAAGGGCTCTTGGGCAAGGGAAGGCCAGAGGCAGTGTATAGAAAGTTGAAGGAACTGGGGCTGTGGTCCAGGGTGACTACAGAGCCTGCACCTGTGAAAGCAGAGGAAGGACCAGAAGGCCTGCAAGGGAAGCACCAGGATGACAGCCAGGTCTCTGGCTCTGACTTCTGAAGGACATCCTCATCCTCTAGAAGTGCTGAGGGCCAGCACGTAGCTGGCAGTCCAAAAAGAGAAATGGCAATAGTCAGGAGCCAGGCCTTCCTGGACCACAGCATCCCAAGAGAAACTGAGGCTGACCCAGGAAGAAGTGCATGGGCAGACAAGTGGTGCTACCTTGTGGCAGGGGTCCACAGTACAGATATCACCAACGTCCAGGTCATGCAGGGACATGAGTAGCTCAGCCCGCAGAGTGCAGTAATGTACATTTCTGGTCCGTAGAAAGAGCGTACGCAGGAACTGCAGCACCATGTCGTACAGCTTCACGTTTTTCCCCACCATCTGTGTCAGCTTCTGCACCACCTAGTAGGTGAGACAGGCCTGTTAAGCTGGACCCCACCCTGGCTCCACCACCCAACAGCATACACAAAGTCTCAGAGTCCTGGTGACAGTGCTGCGCCCTCAGGAGAGCGATCTTTTCTGTAGTCTCTGTTATAAGACACTGCCTCTCCAGTCAGACACAGGCACCCTGTCAGAGGGAAGCAGGTCTGGTGAATCCACACCAGTTCCCATGGTTCCCTGAAAGGCCCCTGGCTTGTGACCCACTGTGACCCACCATGACCTAGAGCACTCACTGGGCAGGTGGTTGGGCCTAGAGGCAGTACTGAGCACCTAGCCCAAGGATAGGCCCCAACACAGGAAGAATCCACTGCTATAGAACACGGTTCAAAGCCTCCACGGCCATGCCAAACCACCCAACTTCTGTCTTCTCTCTCAGTTCTAGGCCAAATGGCAGTCCCTGTTCCACTATCAGTATCCAGGGCCAAAAAGCAAAGGCCAGGGCCCCTGGTGTCTGCAGCACAAACATCAATATCTGATTTTCCCCTACTTTCCATGGAAGAGCAATGCAGGGACACAAGTATCCACTCCCTAGGCAGGGGTCACCACTTCACCCTTCCCCAACACAGGACTTAACCACACATCCTGACCAAAATGGTGGTTCCCATTGCACTGCTACAGCTAACACAAAGAAACCTCACTCAGCCGCCATAGCTAAGTGGGCCTCAGGTCCATGTTGTGAAGGGACATTCCAGGAAAGCCCCGGGTGATGGGCATTCAAGGAAAGTCCAAAGGCTGAACCCAGTAAGGGGTTGCAAGGACTAGTGGCAGCCCAGAAGAACACCTTTCAAGACCCTGGCAGAGGACTCTCACCAGCTGGTCTTGGGGACCGCAGTGGGCAATTTGGTGAGGGGTAGGCACCTAAACAGCCCCTGCCACTCGGATCCACAGGCACTTGTCTCAGAGACACAGTCCTCACTGCAGATATCACTCAAGCCCTATCTGTGAATTAAGGTGCTTCCAACCACCACGTGGGAAACGGGCACCTTTAGCAATGACAGTTGACACACTGTCCATGGGCAGTGCCCACCTCACATGTGAACAAAAAGGTGTGAGGTAGCTCAGGACTGCCTGCTCACAGGCCAACTGGGTACAGAAACCACAACCCAAACAGCTGGCCCACACCCAAGGACAGCAGGGCAATCCATTAGCCTGATGCTCCATCACAAATCACAGAGCACTGAAAACACACTACAAGCAAAGCTTCCAGAGAGGAAAAAATAGGGCACCAATAAAGTAACATGAATCAGAGCCCCTTCAGACTTCTCTGCAGGCACAGACCAGAGCAGAGGACAGTGAGAAAGTCCTTTAAGACTTGGAACTAGAGCCGGGCATGTGGCTCAAGTTGTAGAGCACCTGCCTAGCAAGCGTGAGGCTTTGAGTTCAAACCCCAGTTCCACCAATAAATATAACACTTGGAACTATAATTCTAAGTCCAGCCAATAAATCTAAACAAAATAAATGTCAGATTTGGGCTGGCAAAGTGGCTCAAGTGGTAGAGCACCTGCCTATCAAGTTGTGAGGCCCTGAGTTCAAACTCCAGTACCACAAAATAAATAAATAAATAGCCAGGTATCAGGACCCTGAAGTGCTATGTCAAGGGTTGGGGGAAAGGGAAAGACACATACCCCAACAAAATGAAGATAAACCAACAAAAAAGAAAGCTGGGGACATAAGAAATAGCCTGATTTATGCAAGACGCTGGCTAAGAAAAGACCCTGTGTGGCCTAGCACGACAATAAGCTTAGAAAAGCTGTGGATCCAAGAGCTGAGAAAGAAGCCAGGACAACACAAGGAACTAGGACAACCAGAAACCTAGGGAAACGCCAAACCCAGAGGACCACCATTGTCCCAATGAGCAGCAGACAGAAATGTGGCAGGCCTGTCCAGGGACACCTGCCTCCACAGCACCAGCATCATGATGCGACACAGAGACACAGCCCCATATGCAAATGGAACCTGAAGGCAGCCTGCAGTGAAAACCAGCCACATGCATGGCTGCAGCTGGTACCAGGGGGATGAGATAGCACTACTTTAAGAAGGGGGCAAATGGGTGGGGCTGCTTTTTCCTGCAACTTTTCTGCTCTTTTGTACATTTTGCAGTTTGCATTTCTTAGAGGCTCAAAATGGTAATCCTCATCCCAGTATAACTTCTGGGGGATCCAGTTTAAACTTTTCTTGGATGAGTGGCCATGTGGTAACCTCAATCCAAATAGAGACAATGGGCTTGGGGTGGCCCTATAACACTGTTTTTGATGTTATCATCCAAAGACAAGACTTTTGTGATATAGATGTCTGCTTGTGACCTTCAACACTCCTTTCTGATCAAATAATTACCTTCTATTTTCAGAGTAAAATTACTAACCTAAGGAGATCCAACTCATTTAGCATCTAATGAAGGAGTGTGAACACCTACTCTGCCCTGGTAACCAGTCACTGCCATGAGTCAAGCTTTGTGGTTTTAGTGAGTGTAAGATCTACCCACTATGGGAAGCACTATAAGCACCAATTTCTTAGAGCAAGATGCAAGTTGGTGTTCCTGTCCAATTGGAATTCTCGGCAGATAAACTGGACTATCCTTTACAGAAGAAAGCACAAACCGGGCACAAGTGGTTACTCAGGAGGCAGACATAAGGAGGATCATGGTTCGAAGCCAGACCAAGGAAATAGTTCACCAGACCCTATCTTAAAAAAACCCATCACTAAAAAAGGCTGGTGGAATGGCTCAAAGTGTAGGTCCTGAGTTCAAACCCCAGTACCACAAAAAAAAAAAAAGCACAAAAAGGGACTGTTGGAAGAAATTCAAAACAACCCAAGGTACAGTCAAATTTGAGAGGATCAGGCTCATGCATGTAGTTCCCAACTATTTGAGATCCAGAGGATCACAGTTCAAGGACAGCCAGGGCAAAAAGCTAGACTCTATCTCAATCAACAAGCTAGGCATGGTGGTAGGAACTTGCCACCCCAGCTACCTGGAAGGAACAGTCTAAGGCCAGCCCCAGCTCAAGAAAAACCGAGATCCTAGAAACGCTACTTGAAAGATAAAAGCAAAAAAGGGCTGGGCAGGGGGACTGCCTCAAGTGGTAGAGCATCTGCCTAGCAAAGTGTAAGACCCTCAAACCCCAGTATTGACAAAAGAGGGGAGAGAGAGAGAGAGAGAGAGAGAGAGAGAGAGAGAGAGAGAGAGAGAGAGCGCGCGCAAGCATACCATCACTGGTATAAATCTTTTTTGTTGTTTTGGGGTTTTTTTGGCAGTACTGGGGTTTGAACTTAGGGCCTCTCACAGTTGTTAGGCAGGCACTCTACCATTTGAGCCACTCCAGCAGCCCAGTGAGATGGGGGTCACTTGCCTGGAACTTAGGCTGGTCTTGAACTCACAATCCTCCAAATGCTGGGATTATAGGCATGCAGCCCTGCTATCATTGGTGCATCTCTTGCTGATGTAATGGCCAAGAGGAATCAGAAAGCAGAAGAAGAAAGGCTCAATGAAAGCCTTATAAGGGTTGTCAAGAAAGCAAAAAAGGCTAAGCAGGCATCTAAGAAAACAGTAATGGAAGCTGCTGAGGCTCCCACAAAGGCAGTACCTAAGTAAGACTGAAGACCATGAAGGGTTCTGCTCTGAGTTGGTGGAAAATGCTAATTTGGCAAATCAGATTTTTAAATAAAGGTCGGTCTGCAACTCTTTTGGTGGGACTTGGGTTTGAACTTAGGTTTGGCACTAGCAAAACAGGCACTCTTACCACTTGAGTCATACCTCCAGCACCCCCTCCTTTAAAAAAAAAAAAAGGATGGGGTGTGATGGATACATATACTTTCTTAAAAGGATTAATTTAACCTTTGCTTCTCTAAAAGAAAAATTATTTAGTAGTCAGCATCTTAACCATTGAAATGTGGCTTCTCTTTAGAATTTAGAATGCCAAAGAGATGGGAAGCAAAAGTCATACTTCCAAAGGAGTAGTCACTGTCACAGTGTGACCAAAAAAAGAAAGATTTAACTTTTTAAAAGATTAAGATAATTATGGCAGGTCAGTCAATTAAGTCCCTTACAGTCAGAAATCAGCATTATTTGTGTTCAGTAGCCAGAAGGACAGGAGCTGGGAGAAAGGCTGGGGAAATCTGGGGTACTAATTGTTCACAGAGGGAGCCAAGTGTTCTGTCTGACAACAATGGAACAAGAAAGAGGTTTATAAATACTCACAGGGAAAGAAGGGCCAGGATGGCAAGAGCCACACCCTCCATCAGGGCAGGGCAATCCTGGTAGTAAAGAGAAAACCCAACTGGAGCCACAAGAAACACAATGCTCTTTGGCATTTGATTTTTCTTTCTTTCTTTCTCTTTTTTGCTGTACTGGGGTTTCTTGCACTTCAAATGTACCATATGAAATGTGAAGACTCACCAGATATCAAACTTAGTAACCCCCCTCAAGTTGAAGCAATACAGCTCAATAACAGTTGTTCATATCAATTACTTTCAAGTTGAAAGATATAATCTTGGACATATGGAGCTAAGGAAAGCATCGAATCTGATTTTATCTACTCTTTTTTAGGAAATTTTGAGTGACTTACATAACTTTCTCTACCGATCAGTGCTAGTTTAAAGTTAGACTAACGTTAGCAAGTTTAAAAACCTAAAAAAAAAAAAGGAAGAAATCAGTTATGGCAAATTTGAGTTTAAAATAATGCCAGTATTAGTAACACATAGAAAAAGTTGAATTCATTGTTTTCTAAATCGTGAAAATGGCCAGGCACCGGTGGCTCATGCCTATAATTCTAGCTACTTGGGAGGCAGAGATCAGGATTGTGGTTCGAGGCCAGCTGAGCAAAAATCAAGCTCCTATCTCAAAAATACCCAACACAAAAAGGGCTGGCAGAGTGGCTCAAGTGGTAGAGCACCTGCCTAGCAACCATGAGGCCAAGATCAAACTCCAGTACCACAAAAAAAGGAAAAAAAAAAAAAAGAGTGAAAAATGGAGAATTCAACTACAACCCCACTAACAGATTAGAGATTTGAGAGTTTAAGAACCAAACAAAATTGCTTTTTGGAAGTGGGGTGGGGCTGTCATATTTCATTAAAGGCTGTTCCATAAATTTTAACCTTATTCACACATCATTTTACTAAAAAGCAAAATCATAAGCACAGACTGACTTTTTTCTCCAGTCACATGTACCAGCCCAGGCTTCCAGGAGCAAAACAACCCATACCTCACAGGAACAGGCAACCAGGGAAGGGCTGGCCCCATGGCTTTCACCACAAGTGCCTGGGGCCCATCCTGCCCGGCACACACCCTGCCTCTTCCTCACCTCCCCCTGGCGCCTCGTCTTAGGGGAAGGACTGAAGAAGTTGTGCAGGACAGAGAGCTCCGTGCTGAAGAGTGCATTCTCCTTCTCCAGTATGTACTGCTTCAGCAGCGGGGAGACCTCGTCACCAAACAGTGCCTGGTTGTCCTGCCATATCTGCCGCTTCACCTCCACAGCACAAGCTCGGTAAAGCTCCTTGTCTGCCATCACCAACTTTAGCTTCTTCTCAGGAACCTACACAAAAAACACCATAGACTCCTGCAAGTGATGCTTGTGTCCCCAGGTCTCCCTCAGGACAGGCCAAGAGGCTTCAGATGCCCACAGAGACCGCCTCAAATTCAGTCCTCCTGGACAGGGGCACCTGTGACAAGTTCTCTAGGCCCCAATAGATGGAGGCAAGACAGGTTGAACAGCCACAGCTTTTATCCCAGAAAGGGCCCCATGCTCCAACTCAAAAGCCAAGCTTCAGTTTCCATATGGCTCATCTGGGAGCAGACTGTGGTACTGACAAGGTTATCACAGAGCAGGTTTCCCCCAACCTCCTCCAACCTTCCAGGCCCTAGGCAGTCATCTAAACCAAGTAAGTGCACCAACCAAGGGTCTGTGGGCAGACCAGCCAAGTTGCACCTCACCACAGGGGCACTGGCCTCCTTGGGAAGGCTGGTCCCACAGCACTCACCTTGGGCAGGTGTTTCATGACGCACATCACCACTGGCTGCAGAGAGGGCATCTTGACCAGAGAAAAGCTCTTCTCCAGAAGATCTTCCAGCTTCTTGTACCTGGGAAGACTTGCAAAACTGAGGAAGCGGGTCTCCACATGCAGACACACCCAGGGAAGGGCCCCTCCAACACAGTCCTCAGACACTTCCACAAGGACTACGCAGCCAAGGAGCTCACAGATGCTTCTAAGGCCAAGCGGCCGCACAGCTCCCCTGCCCACTACCTTTCCTCAGCCTTCCCCTCCGAGGCGATGGCTGACACTCGCTCCAGCAGTTTGTCACGCAGCTCATCGAACACCGACTGGTGAAACTCCAGTCGTGGCGTCCCGTGCAGGTCCAAGAAAGGCAGGGCCGACTGCAGGGAAGGCAGCAGCACGCCATTCTCTGTCTGAGGAAGCAGAGGGTCAGCGCGAGGGGATTTTGTGGCCAAAGACCTCAACCGCAGCCATGTCTGTCCAGGCACCCCGGACATACAAAAAGCATGTCCACGGATGTTCCCAGCGGCGCGGGTGGTGGCCGCGGAGATGGGAAAGCACACCGAGTCCCTCAGCGGGCTCCCAGACCGGGACGTCCCGGGACGTCCACCCAGGAGCCAGCACAGCCGTCAGGAGCGCGCCCAGCGTCTCCAGCGCCCAAACGGCCCGGCCCTCTCCCACCCACCTGGAACTGCTCGATGGCCTTGAGCGGCTCGGTGCAGTTGGTCAGGGTCTCCTTCAGGTCCTCGCCGTTGGCCACGCCCAGGTCCTGCAACCCCGCGAACATGGCCGAGGCCCCTGCCGCCGGCCGGCTGGGACCCCATCTCCGCCGCGCTCCCCCGGAGCCGCCGCAGACGCCGAAGACGCCCCCGAAGCCCTCTCCCCCGCGCCTCGGGGACCGCCCGAGGTCCGCTCCCCCGCGGCCTCCAGTTCTGCCAGCTTGCGCCCTCAAAGCGGCTACTCTCCGTACCGCGCCGCCCACTTCCGCCCCTTTCAGCCCAGGTCCTCCCGCCAAAAAGTCCCCGGGAAATGCTGCCGCAGCCGCGCGCAGGTTCCGAGCAGCCGGGCGCTACCCGGAGCGAGGTGGGGGCGGTACCGGATGACGCACGCGCCGTCGGCAAGGCCCCGCCCGCCGCAGGGTGGTCTGCCGCAGGTCGCTCCCCGGGAATCGTAACCTGGCCCTGGACGGGACAGGCAGGAGGATGAACCCCGAGTAAGCTACGGGGCTTGTGGCGATCCGCCTGCCTTACGGTCTTAAGAACTGACACGGAATCCAAGGACATTTTATTTTTGTAATCATGAACACTTGCTGATCTCACAGCAGCCTCGACACTAAGAATATTTTTACTTGAGGAAGTGGCGCGTCGCCCCTGTAGAAGCTCCCTTGCGCCTGGGTCCCACCAGGTGCGCGGTACAAGTGTGGGACATAGTGAATGAGCTTCACACTCCTTGGAACTTGACTTCCTCCAGGTAAAGCAAGGACGAAGCTCACAGTTTAGGATTGTCCTAGACTAGAAACCTAAATGTGCCTCCAGTGGCACCAGGGGTGCTTTGCAGAGATCAGAATGCACAGTGGCAACACAAGCCACTACCGTCATCATGGGCATGTTTGGATCTAACCAGCCGCATAACCCAATGTGGAAGACCTTCACTGAGCTATGAGCCAGCATCCAGGTTCCACAGTGTTCCTTGTCATTGGCAGTGCAGGGGGCTTATCTGGGCTGGTGTGCTCCCGTGGCTGAGTGTCCAGGTTCCTGAACTCCAGCATTTAGCCTTCTGCAGCCTCCCCACCTCTCCAGTTCTCACCCCCATTCCACCAACCCTGTGTCTCTGCCACAGCAAACACCATACCTGCTCCCTTTTCATGTGCCTTTGCTAGCAAGGTTTGCTCTGCTAGAAATTTCCTTCCTGCTGCCCATCAAACTCTTGCCCATCCTTGACACTTCCATCACTGCCTCCAGGAAGCCTTTCCTCAGCCCACTTGGAGGGGTTTGCTCCATTCCTCTTGCTGTTCTCACTTACAGCTTTGGGTGCTGGGGTGCCTAGTAGTGCAGCACAAGCAGTACTTCTCTTGCCATCTACAGCTGAGATCCCCAGGCCAAGACTACCACAGCTCTATCGCTGTTGCTTCTGGCTGACCTGGCCAGCACAGAGCCCAAGTCAGAGGACACAAGGCACAGGACACTCAGACTTTTGGGGCCCAGGCTCCCACTCTGCAAAGGGGTGTGGTTCTGGCACCATGGCAGCAACTGAGACGCAGCTTTGCAAAGCTAAGCTCGGGTTTAGGCCTAGGTGAGGAAGGAAGAAACTGTGGGGAGGGTGCTGGAGGAATGACATCACTGGCTGTATCAAAGTCTCCTGCAGGCTGGTTCCCCGAGCAGGAGGGCAGGCAAGAACCAACAGCCAGTTTGGGCAGGACCAAAAGCCTAAGGAGTGGAGGCCTGAGGAATCCATTTGCTGTGGTTTGGCTTGCATGGACTTGGGACAGAGTTCTCACGACACAGGTGACCAAGCCCAGCCAGATCTTAGGTCAAGGTCCTGGGACAGTGGGGACAGGTGCCTAATGAGTTGGAGCCCAGGGCCCTTCCTGGTGGCTGGGCAAGTTGATGGCAGTTAAGGGGGTCTTGCCCTGGATAGGGGTGTCCTACAGGGCCCCCTCCCATACCATCCCAGACCAAGCTCAGGGTCAGTCTTAGGCTACCACCCTAACCACCCTAAAGAGAAGCCCAACAGGGAAAGCCAGAAATTATAAGAGAAGCAGCTGTCCACATCTTTAGGACAGCCCACTGTTCGAGTGATATAGGCAGCCAGGCACACCACAGAGTTCAGAAGAACCAATTGCATCTTTGTATAGCAAGTGGGTGGACAAGTGGGGGCTCTGGGCTGAGCTCTCCTTGACCACAGCCCACAGAAGGGTCTGCCAGCCAGAAGAGTAGATCAAGGGTGCCCAGAGGATCAGAAGGCCAGGCCCGAATTCCAGAGGGAGACCTGGGAAAGCCCCAAGGGAGGCCAGCATTCCGCTTTACAACCGGCCAGGCCAGAGGTGTGCAGGTGGACCTAGAGCGTGCAGAAGGGGCCTGTGTCATGGCGCTTGGGTCTGCGCACGCCCTGAATGATCACTCCAGGTGCAGAGGGGAAGCGTGAATTATAGCACTCCTCCACGTAGTAGGCAGCGGGGCCAGGGGTTCCAGCTGCAAAGAGAAAGGGCTAGAAGCTCACCCAAGCACAGTCCCCAGCCCCAGACCTTAGTCCTCAGCCCTGCCCCCACCCCTAATTCCACCCTTAGGTTCTCAGGCTTCATCTCCGAGGCCTCCTTACAGGTGATGACCCAGGAGGCAAACGCAGGTGAGCGGCTCATGGAGAAAGCAGGTGAGCGCTGTCTCTGCAGAAGGTACCCAGGAAAGATGTCGTAGGTGTTGGGGCTGGGGCGCTTCTCGCCTGAGGGCTTCAGGGAAGCCTGGAGGGGGGGATGGGCACGAGGACCCTTAGCCCAGGACGGCCTTGGGCGGACCTGACCACTAGGTGTCTTGGAAGCAGGACCGTGGTGACCTCCGAAGCTGAAGGCTGGGAAGGCAGGCCGGCTAAGAGGACTATACTGGGCAGGCGATGGCCACTGCGAGGAAGCAGGCGGCGGGTTTACAGGGACCTCATCGCCCAGTGCATTGCCCCCACCCCGCCCCAGCCCTCCGCTCCAAACCTCCAGGACCTGTTCGCCCGACCCCTCCTACTCGCACCCGGCCCCGCCCCACCAGGGTCCTGGCTAACCCCTGCCCCACACTGCCCCCGCCCCGCGCAGGACCTGCAGGCGCCCCACGCACCCTTTGCTCTCGGTTGAAGTCGGCTTTCTGCGTGAAGGGGCTTTCGCTCTGGAGCCATTCAGTCTGCCACGCCCTGCGGCCGCCGCCCTCTGCGGTGGGGCGGATGGTGGGTGGTGAGGGCTTCAGGGCGGAAGGCCCCTATCCCCGGGTGGAGGCAGGCCGGGGGGCCGGGAAAGTGACACGCACCTCGGCCAGGGTGCTTGCAGCCGATGCTGTAGTGGGGGTGCGGGGAGGACTCTCGCACAGACGCGTCGGGCACGTCGTACTTGGTGGGGCCAGGGACATCCATGTCGGTCAGGATCGGGGGACGTCGCTCGAGCACTGACCACAGGAAGCAAGCTCTGGGCCGAAATTCCTCCCAGCAGGCCACTCCCCAACCTGCCCCTCCCAGGCCGACCTGGGGTGAGGGGGTCGGGTAGCCAGGACCCTCACTCACGCAGCTCCCTCAAGGTCCCGGTGCAAATAGCCCGGCCCTTCTGGGGGGTGCCCATTTGTAACCTGAGGCCGGCTGGGGCCCTCTTTGTCTTTGGGAGCCACATCTCATTCCATGCTGCCCCCAGTTCCTGGTTCCACGATAGCACAGTAGCGTTGGGCCTGCAAGAATGCCAAAAGCCACTGTTCACCCTGCCCACTGGCCATCCCACTAGGGCTGCCCGCCCAACTGCCCACCACCCTCTGAAATTACTGGGTGATATGAATTGAATTCTGCCTCAGAGGGCCGTGGGTCCAGTGTTTGCCTTCATTGATGTAAAAATTTGCTAGGAATTTTACAGCCTTCTGGTCAAAATTCATCCTCAGTTTTGGCTGTCTTCCCAGAGAGCACTGTGGGACATCTATGACCTCACTGGCAGGTCATTCCCCACCCCACCCCCAACACACACACCGTTGCCAGGAGCTCCCTGGAAAAGGAGCATAGTCCAGCCCAGGAAGGGCTGTCTCAGTGGCCCCTCCCCCTACCAGGTGGATCACCTGGTCAGTCTTGGCCAAGAGGATCCCTAGCCTGCCCAGGAACTCCTGGCCCAGTCTTCTCTACTCCTTCCCAACCTTCCTTTTCGCCTTTTCCCCTCTCCTGCACTCTAGGGTCTCCTGGGGCTGAATCCACTGTGGCAGATCTGAGGCAAGGGAGCAGGACCCGTGAGTCAGTGCAAAGTCTTGTAGAGATGGAAAACCCAGTGATCCATCTCTCAAAGCAAAACAGCTCAGGCCTGGCTCCTGAGCTGTGGCCAGCCCAGACAAGGCTGGGTATCAGGGTTTGTCCTCTGCCTGGGGGCTCAGAGGCTGGGAGGCCAGAATGTGTCACAGATGAACTGGGCTGACCCATTGAGGTACAAAGGATTAATAGGCCTGAGTTTAGTTAATAAGGATTAATAAGTGAAAGTTGAAACCATCTAGGCATCAGGGCCCTTGCAAAGAGGCCTCTGGTGCTGACTGGCCTGACAGCTCCAGCCCTGACCTTGGCCCCAAACCCTCCCAGGCAGGACCAGGTCAAGAAACCCTTATCCACAGAGCCTCCTCCAGCACTCTGTCCTAACCCAGACTCTTCCTCTCTGGATCCCTCCTGCCCAGCACTGGCCCTGCTTGGTGCTGTCAGACCCTCTGGACAGATGAACACATGAAGAAGCAAGTTTGACTTTTGGATGAGGGCATCATGGGCCATGTTGTACAGTGTTGTCCTTTGAGAACCTAATTGACGGTGGAAATACGGCTGCTGTGGACCTTGCTAAGGAAGCCCTTGTTGTCATGTAGGCTAATAAATACTCCTGGTGTGAATGGTACCGCACACCTCTCTTTGGCTAAGTATGAGAGGGTTTATTTAGCATAGATTCCCCAAGCTGTGTCTTGTTGGGACTTTGTCTGTATTAGCAAAGTGTGCCCCAGAAGGTCTCCCAGCATTGCACATTAGGAACTGCCATTACCAGCATTTGTTAAAAGATCATTTTATAACGTTGTCATTAATTTATTTAAGACAGGGTCTTGCTGAGTAGCCCAGGCTGGTTTCAAACTCCTGCCTCAACCTCCCAAGTGCTGGGATTACAGGTGTGCACCACTACACCTGGTGCATTATCAGCATTGGATCAGCATTTGTTTGATTCAGGTTTGACCTTACCTTCATGCATTTATTACTGTAGGGTTTTGGGTTTTTTTCCCTTAAAACATTCACATGTTTATGTTTTGTTTTATGAGAATTTTTTTTTTTCAGTACTGGGGGTTGAAGTCAGGGCCTTGTGCTCGCCATGCATATGCTCTACCACTTGACCCATGTTCTCAGCCCTTTTTTAGTTATTTTCAAATAGGGTTTCACTTTATGCCCAGGCTGGCCTGGACCACCATCCTTCTATTTAGGCTTCCCATGTATCTGAGATGACAGGTACACTTCATCATGCACAGCTTTTATTGGTTTAGATGGGGTTTTATGAAACCTCTTCCACGTTGGTTTCAAACTATGATCCCGTTGACCTCTACCTCCTGAGTAGCTAGGATTACAGGCTCTGGCCACCTTGCCCAGCCCTATGAGAACTTTACACTAATATCATATCTGCTTGCGACACTTGTTGCAAAAGTTTTTCCAGTTTGTAGTTTGTCTTTCAGTATTGTTTATGCTGCTTTTCTTTTGTTTTGGCGGCACTGGGGTTTGAACACAGGCCTTGTGCCTCCTGGTCAGGCACTCCACCACTTGAGCTATGCCTCAAGCCCTCATTTATGCTGTTTTTGAGAAAAAACAGAACCTACTTTTTCCCCTTTGATATCTTCATCTTTACAGTTAGAATATTCTCCCTATACCAATAAACAAAATGAGGATTTATTTAATATGGGAAAGAATGCCTTGCTTCAGTCAAAAGAGTCTGTTGGAAAGTGTCCATACAGCTGTCCAGCTAGAAAACCCCAGACTCAGGGCTGACCTCATCAGGGGAGGGGGATTGGAGTAAAAAACCTTACTCTAGGGTAGAGCCTGATTTTCAGGTAGGGTCCTTTCTCCAGGGGTGGTGAGAGTTCAGGCCCTTTCCCAGTCCGTTTTTGGAGCTATGGTTTGGTGGGGCTTCTATACCCACCTGCCTTGCCAGGGCACCTTCCTTGCCTGGTCCTGGGTGTCCCACCTATGAGATGAGAGCACTCACAGGGTTAAACAGGTGGCCTGGCCCACAATGCTAGCCTCTTCACAATGGTTGCCAGGCAACAGGACTCCTCTCAGGAAAGGGAGCTGGACACAGAAGGGACTAAGCCAGGGAGACCAGAGTCTAAGGCAAATGACAGCTACTCAGAAACACAACCTCTTCACACCAGAACCTCACTATATCCCCGGGTAAGAGCTGGAAACTACAAGGAGGCTGTAGGGCAATGCTGAGGGGACCAAAGGCGAGGGTTGCCTCACTCATGCCCCTGGGATTGAGAATTCAAAGGCTGACTAGCTCTAGGACAGAAAAACTCTGGGGCAGGGCTGCACAAGGGCCCAGGCCTCACCCCTCCCTGCTGACCTCAGTCTGAATGCCACAGGTGGCCATAATGTCATCAAGAGCAAAAACTGGGGCAGCCAAACAGATGGCAGAGGCTAAGTTAATGCCTGACACTTCTCCATAGGGGATGACTTAGAGGTGACATAAGCCTGGGCCAGGCTACCTCAATAGGTAACTCCCTCAAGTTAAAAACAAACCTCAGGTAAGCTGACCCAGTGGTGGAGGGCTTGCCTCGCATATATGAGGCCCTGGGTCCAATCCCAGTACTGCAAAAAGTAAAATAAGCCAGGCGCCAGTGGCTCACACCTGTAATCCTAGCTACTCAGGAGGCAGAGATCAGGAGGATCGAAGTTTGAAGCCAGCCTGAGCAAAAAGTTCATGAGACCCTATCTCAAAAAACCCTCACAAGAAAATAGGGCTGGTGGAGTGGCTCAAGGTGTAAACCCTGAGTTCAAGCCCCAGTACCACCAAAAAAAATAAATAAAATTTAAAAAACCTGTTGAAGTCCTCTATGGATTGCGCGTGTGCAAGCACATAGGTGCTTACAAAATGGGAGAAGGGTGTGTAGGACCCTGCACCTCCTTTTAACTGCCCACTTCTGGTGAAGGTGGGTCAGCTGACACTGAGGCTGACCTTCAGTCCTGCTCACCTTTCATGTTCACCGGACTATGTTAATTGGCAATTACTAAACAGAAGAGTTTCTAACTCGGTGGCAGAGGACTTACTTGCCTAGCATGTTGAGGCCCCAGGGTTTGGTTCTAGCACATCCACCCCTCCCCCGCCAAAATTCACACTTCTTGGGGCCACACAGGCCACCAGCAGGGCTAAATGACTAACACCCCTGGCACCCTGCACCTTTTGCACACTTCTCCATGTGGTTGAAGAACTGCTCCTCTTCCAAGCCCAGCCCTTTTCAAATCCTGGTTGGTACAGTTGACTAATGGCCACAATTTGCCTCTTAGGGTGGCAAAAGTCCAGGCCAAGTCCTATGCCACACCTTCCTGCTGGGACCAACTTGTGCATAATGGGTTTCCCTCTGCCTGTGCCCTGTACAGGACAGAACTCATTTCCTTTGTGGTTGGACTGGGGGATGAAGAAAGAGGGTAGAGGATGACAAGGACAAGGTGGAGGTGAATCTGGTGATAGGGATGGCAGTTGAAGTTCACCTGCATCCACAGGACCCCTAGAAGGCAGGTGTTCTCACTGCCACAGGTCCCACAGCTGCTAATTAGCAGATTGCATTGGCATTCTCTGACACAGGCCTTGCCCAGACCTAGGGGCTGCCCCTGCTTCTCTCTCTTCTCTCCACAGATATGCCGGCTTCTATCCTCAGCTGCGGTACCAGGTGGGGAACACCTATGGCCGCACTACGGCACAGCTGCTCACAGATCCCAGTGTGCAGAAGAGTCCCTGCTCCGTTCTGTCCCCCATGTCCAAGCCCAAGTTCATTGAGGACTTCAGCAAACCCAAGCCCCCCTGGATCCCCTGCCGGGACCTGACTGAGCCCTACATCCCCCACTACACCGGTGAGCTGCCAGCACACTGAGCCCTGCCCCCTCCTGGGCTCACCCTCCTTCCCACGTGGCTAAGCAGCTGCCCTCTCTATACAGGTCTGAAGCCCTACAAGAACTTCGAGATCCTGGGCCAGCTCCCACCCCAGGAAGTGGATGCCCAAGGGCACCCAGGGGTGGAGAACATATCCAGACAGGTCTCAATGCCTGCAGGCTTCATGCCCTATCCTCCCTACCCACCATGCCCACCAGGCAGGAAGGGGGACTCCAAAGCCTTGGGACATCCTGGCATGCGGCTTGCATATGGGGAAGAAGCCTGGAAGAGTGGTATCCCTGTCCATGAGAGCCCAGGGCAGTACCAGGTAACTACAGAGGCACTGTAAGAGGGCCTCAATACTCCTAGACCCAGGTGGGAGCTATGGTGATTTGCTCTTCTATTTCAGCTATACCACTATAGAAGGGATGAGTTCTCACCTCCACCCTACCAGCAAGAGTCGCTAGATGTGGGCAGGTTCCAGAGGCTACCCCAGCTGGACCATCCCAACCTGATCCAACGCAAGGCTATCTCAGGTGGGTCCTGGGCTGTTCCCCATGAGGTTCCAGGGGCCCAAGCAAAATGAGAATGATGACTAAGAAGAGCTGCCCCTGAGCCCTTCCATCTCTGGGAAGTTAGCCTTTCCTTCTCCAAAGCTGGTTCCTTGAGTCCAGCTTCTACCAAGAAGAGGGGTTCCCCTATTCCTATTTGACCCCAAGAGGCAGTGACCAATGAGATCAGGTATGTAAAGAGGCTCAACAGGCTTACCTCACACCTGGGAGCAGATAGGTATGCACAAGGGAAGGTCAAGGGATCCTGGGGTGGGACCCTGACACTGGCCCATCCCCAGGCTATGCTGGCTTCGTCCCTCGGTTTGCCTGGGTGATGGGGATGAATTACCGAGATGGAGTCACACAGGCTATGGATGAGTTTGACAAGAACCAGGTAGGAGAACAGTGCCCTAGCCTGCTCCCAGGGACCCCAGCTAGACCTGCAGGTCTCCCATCCCCACTTGGAAGTTTCCCTGGGGGTAGAGGCCAGACCTCTTGGTTCAAGGGGCTCTGCCTGGCTCACAGCCTGCCCACAAGGATACCTCCCTCAACCAAATCCCAAAAAGGTCCTGTGTAGGAGAGGGCGGACAGTAGAAAGGAAACCCAAAAGCATTTTGCTTTCGGGTTACCAGTGGAGGTGATGGACTGCAATTGTCTTGACTTCCCAGTTCCTGTTCAGAAACCCCATCTGTGCCTTGGGTGAAAGGCTGCCCAGGACTCACTGGCCAAACACCTCTATCTACAGAAGCCAAGGGCTGATTCCTTTCTACATGGGTTACATTCCATGTGAGTATTGCTCCCTGCCAGATGCCCACCCTATCTCACAAGATAATATCCACACACCATGCCACTATGGGGATGGTATTCCCGCCCCCACCATCCAGCTCATTGCTGAGCTGTCTGGTGCTACCTTGGAATAAGATTGCCCCTTTCCTTCCTCCCCACTTACTACAGTGCTCACCAGTAGCTCCTATTAAGACAAAGCAGACAGCTCAGACCATACGCATCAGTTCAAGACAGGCCAGACCTGTTTTTATGGTCCAGATGAGGCTCTGAGTTCAAACCTCAGTACCCCTTGCCAAAAAAAAAAAAAACCAAAAAACCATTCTCAGACCAAGATACCCAACTCTAGGAGCTATCACCTGTTTGCCCCTGGGCAAAAGGTAAGCCCAAGACAGCTTAAGTGTTGCTCCCTTGCAGCCATGCAGGACAACTACGCACTGACATTTGGCAACAGCACTCGGAAGGCCTATCAGAAGGAACTGGAGAGGAGAAGCCACACGCTATGAAAATGCTTTAATGGTGTCTGTACAACACATGATGTCAAGACAGAACAGCAAGAGCACAGTGGACAAGGCTAGCAGACAGGCTGTGAGTGAATAAAGCGTTCACACTGCTCCCACACCTTTTAGCCGCTAAAGACAATTCTAGGCCACCTCCTCCTCAGCCTCCTCCTCAAACTCGCCCTCCTCCTCAGCGGTGGCGTCCTGGTACTGCTGGTACTCAGATACCAGGTCGTTCATGTTGCTCTCCGCCTCAGTGAACTCCATCTCGTCCATGCCCTCACCAGTGTACCAGTGCAGGAAAGCCTTGCGCCGGAACATGGCCGTGAACTGCTCCGAGATGCGCTTGAACAGCTCCTGGATGGCCGTGCTGTTGCCGATGAAGGTGGCGGACATTTTTAGCCCTCGAGGCGGAATGTCACAGACAGCTGTTTTCACATTGTTGGGGATCCACTCAACAAAATAGCTGCTGTTCTTGTTTTGGACGTTAAGCATCTGTTCGTCCACCTCCTTCATGGACATGCGGCCCCTGAACACAGCAGCCACCGTCAGGTAGCGGCCGTGGCGGGGGTCGCAGGCAGCCATCATGTTCTTGGCATCAAACATTTGCTGGGTGAGCTCAGGTACTGTTAGGGCCCGGTACTGCTGGCTGCCCCGGCTGGTCAGGGGAGCAAAGCCAGGCATGAAGAAGTGTAGGCGGGGGAAGGGCACCATGTTCACAGCCAGCTTCCGCAGGTCAGCATTGAGCTGGCCAGGGAATCTCAGGCAGGTGGTGACCCCACTCATGGTGGCGGACACCAGGTGATTCAGATCACCGTAAGTGGGTGTGGTCAGCTTTAGGGTTCTGAAGCAGATGTCATAGAGGGCTTCATTATCAATGCAATAGGTCTCATCTGTATTTTCTACAAGCTGGTGGACTGAGAGGGTGGCGTTGTAGGGCTCAACCACTGTGTCCGACACCTTGGGGGAGGGCACCACGCTGAAGGTGTTCATGATTCTGTCTGGGTACTCCTCCCGGATCTTGCTGATGAGGAGAGTACCCATCCCAGACCCAGTCCCCCCACCCAGGGAGTGGGTCAGCTGAAAACCCTGCAGGCAATCACAGCTCTCTGCCTCCTTCCTCACAACGTCCAGCACTGAATCCACCAGCTCTGCGCCTTCTGTGTAGTGCCCCTTGGCCCAGTTGTTCCCAGCACCACTCTGACCTGTAAGATAGGACAGCTGATCACTCTTCAGACAGGTATATGGGTCACCACAACACTCATGCCAACAGAGCCAAGTAGCCTGGTGTGAGTTAACACCCTGAGGTACAGCATAAAGGACTCCCAAAGCGATACACTAACGGACTGCCTTATGAGAAAGTGAATCAGGGAATCGAGGCTAGGGCAGCCTAGTAAACCCCTCCCCCAAGGCAGCCCCGGCCAATTTCCAAGGACAGTGGAGCAGGGCAGCTCCGCCCGCACTACAAGGTGATTACATCTATCCGCTCCTTGCAGACGGGGAAGACAGCTGGGCCTTCCTCCCAAAGCCTCTTTAGGCGAAGAGATTGAACGTCTCAGAAGGCAGGAATAAGTCCACCCGCCCTGGGGTGCCGTCAGCCCTGACCTTGGGGCAGGCCCTTGACCTCTGAGCTGTACCGGCCACCAAGCCCCGCCCAGCCTCCCCGCTTTCACTCACCGAAAACGAAGTTGTCGGGCCGGAAGATCTGTCCGAAGGGCCCCGAGCGCACCGAGTCCATGGTGCCGGGCTCCAGGTCCACGAGCACCGCGCGAGGCACGTACTTGCCACCTAGAGGACAGGAGGGCATCAGCGGGGGAGGGGGAGCAGGGGGGCGGCGGGGTCGGCCGGAGGAGCCGGGGCAGGGGTCTTACCAGTAGCTTCGTTGTAGTACACGTTAATGCGCTCCAGCTGGAGGTCGCTATCCCCATGGTACGTGCCGGTAGGATCGATGCCATGCTCGTCGCTGATTACCTCCCAGAACTGCAAGGGACGCGGGCGGGCCCGGCGAGCGCGGGCTGAGTCACGGCGACCGGTGCGCCCGGAGGCAGCCCCGCCCCGGATGGGCGCGGCGGGCCCTCCCTTCCCCCACCTCCGCCTGGGCGCCCAGTCGCCAAGCTCCAGGAGTCCCGAGCCGGCCGGCCCACCGGCTGCCCACGTCCAAGTCCGGCCCCGCGTCGGCGACCTGGCCGCAATGCGGGACACCGGTGTTCGGCCGCTGCCGCCATCTTCCCCGGCTGCCCACCTTCCCAGCCCGCCCGGTCCACCGGCGCCGGGCCCGCAGCGTTCCAGTTGCCTACCTTGGCGCCAATCTGGTTGCCGCACTGCCCGGCCTGCAGGTGCACGATCTCCCTCATGGCGTCGGCGGAGCAGGCAACAGAATAAACAGAGGGACAGAGGAGCAGGCGCGTAGAGTGCTACAACCGACGCTCCGCCAGTACTTATATACCCATCCTGGCCCGCCTCCGCCAACCTCGGATTGGGCTTCCAGAACGAGGCCAGTCAGAGCCCTTGTTTGATTGGCTGAACCCTCGTCAATCGTGTCTCCTAGGGTCCGCCTTCCCAACGACATATGCGTGTTATTGGTCAGCCAAGGCTGCGGAGTTCCCTATCGCGAGCCCCGCCCCTAGCGCTGCAGTGCTCAGTCCATTGGGTGTTTCAAATGATTGATTTGCCCTCCCATTGGCTGCCTCCCTGGAGCACGCCGTCAGACTGTCGCTATTGGCCGCGCGGGTTTGGCGTCCTGGTAACCGCCGCAGTGCAGCGGGGACGCGCGCGGGTGGGGTGCGGGCTTCCGGTCGGGGGCTTTGGCCAAAGACCCAAGTCTGGGGGCGTGGGACAGCGCCCGGGCTAGAGTTTAGGGTTCGCGGTCTGATGCTGGCTCCCGCTTGTCCTCACTCAGTTGTTCCTCGTGCGCCGTCTCGAGGGCTGCGGCGTAGCAAAGCAGCTCGAGGGCCTGGCTGTGCGTCACACACCTGGCCTCTGGCGGACTTGGGGCGACGGCCACCGAGGGCCTCCAAGCCAAGATGGGGTGCGGGCTATGAACAGCAAGAAAAGGAACAGTCTCGGGGTGGCAGCGCCGAACTCTACCGGGTCCGCCCGCGCCCCGGGAGCACGTGGGTTCCCCCTGCCCACCCCTGGGCTGCCTGCCTTGTTGTGGAAACGGGCTGGCAGGGCGCCCGGTCGTCTTGGAGCCGTGGCCCCAGGAGCGCGCGGGGCTGCGTGAGACATGCCTGGCCATGACTGCATGCGAGCACAAAACGTACAGAGGAAATCAGTTAAATCACAAATGCTTGCCTCTGTGATTGATCACTTAGAAAACAGTACATTTGCATGGATACTTTTTTTTTTTTTTGGTGGGACTGGAATTTGAACTCAGAGCTTGGCGCTTACAATGCAGACGCTCTACCACTTGATCCACACCTCCAGTCCATGATTCTTTTTTTTTTTTTTTTTGGTAATATTTTTAAGGGAATAAACACCGTTGGGATCTGCCCCCACCTAGCCCCTCGGCACTTCTAGATGTGGCTTTGTGGACGAACCTCTATCCCCTCTGCCTCCCAACAAGAGGATGTCAGGAACAGTGCTTGCTAACTGATTTCTTCCTAAGGGAAGGGGCTCTTCCTCACCACATAGCATGAAATACCAGTGTTGTAGTATACAATGATAAACTGTCAACCTTGGGAAAATTGTCAGGACAAGTAAAATCCCAAGCCTGAGCAGAGGCTAGCATTTGTGTCTCTACACCTACTCCCCAGTAGTCTAGCTGCAGTTCTTGGCGGGGAGGGGAACTGACATATTTGCTATCTTGATCAGGAAGGCAAGTCAGCATGTAAATGTGCCAGGCAGTATCAAAAGAGCCTGGAGGACCATCCCTCTCCCTTACAATTCAAGAATGGGTGAGGGCTGTAGGAGTTGTAGCACCTCTGCCTAGCAAGTGTGTGAGGCCCTGAGTTCAAACCCCAGTCCCCACCACCACCACACACACACACACACACACACACACACAAAAACTGTTCAAGCAACCTAGGAGACTGGACTTCTAGACTTCTAATTGAGCTGGGTGCTGCCTGTAATCCTAGCTACCCAGGAGGCAGATATCAGGAGGATCGAGGTTCAAAGCCAGCCTGGGCAAATAGTTCACAAGACCCTATTCTCAAAAAAAAAAACAGTCACATAAAGGGCTAGTGGAGTGACTCAAGGTGTAGACCTCGAGTTCAAACCCCAGTATGGGAGAAGAGAAAAGGGAGAAGGGATCTTAGAAGAACTGGAGTCCACATCCACATGTAGGGTGCACACAGTCACTGGCATCCTGGGGTCCTCTCACTGCCCAGAGCCTCCCAAGTTGGCTCAGGGTCCTGCAGAGTAATTTAGCTGCTCAAGCAGTAGACACAGAACCGTTTGAGCCTCACTGCTGAGGAGCTGTCAGAAATCAATGTAGGACGATAAATTTTTTTCTCGAGCAAAAAAAGCCCTGCCAGGGCTGCTCTTGGAGGTGTCTGGGTTTCCTTGTACATTGGCAAAGCCACCCCACCCCCAGTCTGTGTGATCTGAGGGCCCACCCCCATTGGAAAAGGCCCTTGCTTCCTTGACCAGTGCTTACAGAGCTGGGAGGTCACTTTGGCACCCTCGTTTTACAAGTTACGAAATACAGCTTGCATTGCCTGCTGCAGGCATGGGCCCTGGCTCTCTCGACACTACACTGTCTTGCCCCTCACACTGCCCTTGTGAGGTGGGTAGGGGTCAAGAACAAGACAGCAAAGGTCCGTGTAGCCCCGTGGACATCAGCTCACCAAGGACAGTGGCTGCACACAGCTAGTGGGGGAGGTATCACAGGTCTCCACCCTGAACCAAGGGTGTCACTGTGCCAGTGGGAAGAGGAGAACCATGTGGAGCCTGGGGCCAGGCAGGATGCACACCAGAGAGGGCCAGAAGAGCAGGGTAGTGAGGCAGGCGGGCCGTGGGAGCACTGGCACCCTGCCCTCCCTTTTTAGCCTGCAGCTGTTGGAGGCTCCACAAGGAAGGCTCTGTTTACTGGTGGCCATGCTCCCAGTGGGAGGCTGCATTACCGCCAGGCAGGGGCAGCAGGCAGACAGGCTCTGCGGCCTTAAAGGACCCTGTAGTCAGCTTTTGTGGGAGGCCTCCACTGCCCCGGAAGGAAAGGTGCCTAGGGTGCTTCCCCTCTACACTAAGCCTCTGCCTAACCCAATGGGTCTCCCAGGGAACTAGCCCAGTCTAGCCCCTCCTGGGGACATCGAAGGGCACCAGGAAGCTGAGGCCCATTCCACAGAAACATCACAGGAATGGAGGAAGCAAGGCTGGGGCACGAGCTAGCCACAGGGAGCACTGTACTGTCCTTGCTGGTGCTCACCATGTGATTCCTTAGTTCCCAGAGCAGGTGGTCACCTCCCTTGGTGGTCAGGGTGAATTTCAGTTCCTGGGGGTCTAGGAGCTTAGGATGTGGTGGCAGAAGACCTGGGTGATACGGGACTAAGGGGACAGAAGGCCCTTAGGAGGATGGAGAAGGCCTGAGGGACACTGGTGTTGGGGGGGGGTGCCCTTAGGAATCAGGGACTGAATTAAAGGACAAGATGGTGGGTAAAAAATGGATGACCCTGGGCCTCCCCAGGCCTCATCTTTTTTTTTTTTTTTTTTGGTACTGGGTTTTGAACTCAAGGCCTTTCATTTCCTAGGCAGGCACTCTACCACTTGAGCCTCTCAACCAGCCCAGGCCTCATCTTCTTGCTGGCCACATTCCCTGGCCCACAGGTTCTCACCAGGCAAACCTGGGAGGGGGGCTAGGAAGGAAGGTTCTGGGCCAGGAGAAAGTAAGCGATTGGGCAGACCCAAGGTGTCCCTGTCTGAGGTCAGTTTCTCTGCCCATCTGTTCATCAGGACACAGTGACTGGGCTGGTGGAGTGGCTTAAGCAGTAAGAGTGCCTGCCTAGCAAGCATGAGGCCCTGAGTTCAAACCCCAGTGCTGCCAAAAAAAAAAAAAAAAAAAAAGACACAGTGACTGAACTTTGGGGTGACCTGAAGTTTTCTTTCCTTGCTGATGATGTGTGTGGCCTGATGGGCATTGCGGGCAACCCTGGGCTGGTTGTGGCGGGAGGCCTCTGCTGCTTCCCCTGGTGTCCAGTTACCTGCTGGCAGTAAGACAAGCCTTCCTGTGCGGAAACCAGACCTGACCGCGGGAGGCCAGGAGAGGAGGATGAGAGCCCCCAGCCAGTCGGTCCCTCAGGCATCCAGGTGAGGGGAGCAGTGTCTCGGCCTCGCGTTCGGGGCGCATGGGGCCTTGAGGACAGCACAGCGCTTCCCAGCAGGTTCCCGGCGCGGAGCCTGGCAGGCCGAGGGGCGCCCCCTGGCGGCCGGGGGTCACCCGGGCCCTGCCCTCCCGCGCACCGCCCTGGACTCCCCACCCTCGGCGGGAAGGGACGCCTGGGGGACAGCCAGCTGCTTGCCCTGGGGGAGGGGTGTCAAAGCCCCGCCGATCTGACGTCGCGGGGCTCCCTTGGTCGGCGGGGGTCCCCGGAGGCGGGGCGGGGGAAGGCCGGTCGCCTTGCTCGCTCGGCCCACCTCCTGCAGCTGCAGAAAAAGGGCACCGCCCTGTCCAGCCTCCCGGGCCAGCTCTTCTGCCTCCTCCTGCAGACCGGCTGTCTCTAGTGGCCGCGGAGAGAAGCAAGCTGCTCCCTGCAGCCTGGCAGGTTACCTCCGCCCCAATCCCTGAGTCTCCGCTAGGGGCAGCAGCGAGCTGCTCCTCCACCTGCCCTCGGAACAGGGGCGGGGACCCTGTCCAGGCAGCCCAGGCTGGGGAGAGAAGATCACCACTCCTGGGTAACCGCCTCGTTTATTGCAAAGAAGGGATTGCAGGAGACTCAGAAGTCAGTGCGCCGTCGCATTCCCCCGCCTAAGGGATGCCTGGCGGGTGAGGTCTCCAGAGCCAGATGCCCTGAGGCAGGTGGGGCTGGCTTGGCTGGCTGTGGCGCTCACCCCTTACAACAACTGGGAGGCCAGGACCTCAGGGTTATTGTAGCAGTGAGCCTCTTTGGCGTGGGTCTTATGGGGGCTACAGACCCTACCAGGGCAACAGTGGGTCACCAGGCGGTCCCAGGGCTCCAGAGAATGGAGCCAGAGGGGCAGCCAGGCCCAGGCCCGCAGACAGCGGGGCAGCCAGGAAGGCTGGCGCTGCTGCAGGACATTAACCAGGATAATGAGGAACACCAGCCCCACCAGGGGACCCCCTGCCGCGGCCAGCACGGTGGTCCCTGCTAGGGAGAGCCCAAAGACCGCAAGGGGCAGCAGCAGGAAGGTGAGCAGCAGATAGACAATGGCCACCCAGCGATATCTGGCTGTCAGGTTCCCAAAGCTCTTGGCCAGTGAGATGGGCAGCCGCAGGACAGGCACCATGTACCAAAGGAGTATGCCAGCCAGGTTGAAGAAGAAGTGGATGAGGGCAACCTGGTGGGCGGGGAAGGCAGGAAGGGGTCAGGAGCCTGGGCCAGATGGCATGGGGTCACCTTGGCTACCTTGGCCCCCTGCCCTTCTCAAATACTCTGCCCAAGTCCCAAGCTTCTTTGGCCTGTCCTGCTCAATGGCTGAGATGGATCACCTCGGAGAGCGGATTCTGCACACAGCTCTCCCATACACACTTCAGGAGGCAGGAGCCTGGGCTAGCACCCATGTGTGGTAATTGCTACTGACACGAGATGAGTGCAGGGAACACAGCCCCTCCAGGAAGTGTGCAATCTAGAGAGCTTCTGGGAGTGGGTAGGGCAGGGTCCTGCACTGGGAGGGTGTGAGAGTACAGAGATGGGGACAGGTGAAAGTTGGGCAGGGCTAGGCTTATCTTTTCCTGGGATCAGCAGCCCAGCATGATCTGGGATATTGCAGGAGTTGAGCCTGTCTGGGCAGAGGAAAGCTCCAGCCAGAGCAGTGTACCAAAGACAGGGTGCTTTAGGAGAGTCAGCCGTACTAATGGGACTGGGTGTGGGGTGCAGAGCTGGGGGGTTTGGGTTGGGGGAGACTTTCTAGAGGCAGAATCATCACTGGACTCAGGCAACATGGAGGGCTTAGCACAGGTAGTCTGGGCAACCTGCCCCCCCATAGGGGTTAGGGAGACAAGACATCCTCCAGCTGGTAACCTGGTTTTAAGAAGTTAGTACACGAGGGAGTGGGGATTCAGGAATTTGGGGAAACTGCTATTCTGGAAGTATGGATGAGGGCTTGGAGACCCCATATGCTAGAGTAGGCCTCCAGGGGACATAGTGAAGAGCACAGGATACAGGGCAGAGGAGCACAGGTCCTATAGAGGAGGCTGGGGACATTGCCAAAGAAAGGGGCAGAGGACCTGAAGGCAGCCCTGGGCCATGCTGGGACAGCAGTCTTGGAAAGAAAGAACAGAGACTGGGGTTGTGTGATGCCTGCAGGGCCCTCAGGGTCCAGGAAGGTAGGGCTGTAGGCCTATAACTAGAGCCAGAAGAGTCCAGGGAGAGCTTGGGCTGTAGCCAGTCTGGGCTGCGTTGGGAGCAGGGAGAGGCTTTGGGCAGTACCTGAACAGCGAAGAGCAGCATGTCAGCAGGGCTGGCCAGGGCGGCCAGCAGAGCTGTGGTGGTGGTGCCAATGTTGGAGCCCAGGAAGAGGGGGTATGCCCGGTCCAGGCTGATCACCCCGACTCCTAGGAGAGCAAGGGGTTACCACAGGGCCACAGCCCAATCTCCTCCAAGCCTACTGTCCACCTGGACTCACCCATGAGTGGCACGATGGCTGCTGTGAAGACACTGCTGCTCTGGAGCAGAAAGGTCAGGCCGGCGCCCACAAGGATGGCCAGGTAGCCGCTGAGCCAAGCAAAGGGAAAAGGGAAGTCTGGAGGTGGGGGGCCATTGTCATTTGCAAATCCCTGCCCTGCCCTCATCCTGGGTCCCGGGTTCCTCCCCACCTGCATTGATGACAGTCCTCACGGCCTGTGCGATGCGGCCACGCAGCACAGAATTAAGCAACTTGACAATAAGGACCAGGCAGACACAGAGCACCAGCAGGGAGCCTGCCAGCAGGATGCAGCCCACAGCCAGGTCCGTGAGCACTGAGCCCACAAACAGGTGGTGGCCTGTGACAGGGCAGGGCAGGGCGATGAGTGCAGCCCCAGCATGGGGTGGGCGGGACAGGGCAGCATGGTGAATGTGGCCCCATCATGGGGTGGGCAGGGCAGGGGTGGAGTTGGAGTCTCACAGGGCAGCTTATCCTCCAGGAGGGCTGTAATGTTCCTCTCAGTGCAATGACCAAAAGCTCCACATTCACTGCTATTCCCCATGACCTGAGGGACAGGGAGGAGTTAGGACAGGCTCAGCAGACAGACAGAAGTCAGAGAGCTCAAGGATGGATGGGGTGATTCAGCAGGTCAGGGGGCAAATGAGGGTCAGAGGCACCTCACCGTCTCCCCCTTGCTGTCACACCATTGCTTAATGAGGCTGCTGTCGGTAGTGTTGCCAGTAGCACTGCCGGTAATCACATTGCTATCCAGCTGGTGGACAGAGGACAGGGGGCATGACCGTGTGCTAAGCCCTCAGGACTCATCTGGGGCTCAGATGTCCACAGGGTCAGTCTGGCCCTGCCCACTTCCACCCTTTCCTCCCTCAACCCAGTGCAGGCCCAGACTCTCCTGTGTCCCATCTAGGGCAGGGCCTCCACCTCCTGCCCTCTGGCAGTGGGATGTAGGGGCCTTCTCAGGACACAATCATCCTCACCTGCACTATGAGGTGTGTGAAAGGCTGTGTCAGTGCCTTGAGGATGTTGGGGGCCTGCTGCCCAGGCTGAAGACTGGCAGCGCTCAGGGTCAGCTCACTCAGCCTCTCCAGCATGGCTGTGGCACTCTCCAGCGGCAGTAAGACCAGCACTGTGAGCCAGTTGAAGATGCCATGCACTGCTGAGCCGCTGAAGGCCCTGCAGCCGCAGAGGGCAGGCGTCGGGATGGTCTTGGCTGTGGCCGAGGTAGCCCCTGGCCCAGCCCTCCATCAGCAACTCACCTCCGAAACTCATCCCGGTCCCCAGACTGCGCCATTGAGACAAGAGTGCTGGTGACGGACGTGCCCACGTTAACTCCCATGATGATGGGCACAGATGCCTGGACAGTCAGCACTGTGGGGGTGCCACATCAACTGTCTTGCCTGTTCTACCTGCCCACCACCAGCCAAGAGAAGGGAGGTGTACTCACATTTAGAGGCCACCATGCTGACCACAATGGAAGAGGATGTGCTGGAGCTCTGCACAAGGACTGTGACCAGCACACCAATGACCAGTCCAGCCACAGGGTTGGACAGTACCACGTTGTCCTTGAAGATGTCTCCAGCCATTTTGCCTGTGCCCAGGACAGAGGTGCATTGAAGCTGCAGAAGGCTGCTGCTCACCTCCACCCTGGCTGCCCATCTGCTCACTTACTGCCCAGAAGCTGGAAAGCAGAGCTGAGGATATCCAGGGAACAGATGAAGAAGTAGAGGCTAGCTACGAGCCCACAGGCCTTGAAGAAGCTGATGACCACCTGGTGCAGCCCGCTGGCCATACTGAACTCTGAGGACACAGGGCAAAGCTGCCCTCAGTCAGCCCTCTAGCCTGCCCAGAATTCCCAAACCCTCTCCTTCTCTGCCCCCCAAGAATGCAGCCCATCTGCCTGTCCCATCTCAGGCAGAGTTAGGGAATTGCCTTCTGTCCACCTGGCAGGGACAAATTTCCTCTTCCTGTGCTGGGTCCCCTCTACCCCCACTCCCTGTTCCTTTGCAGTATGACTGAGAGTCATTGCCCTGAGACTCCTCGAAGTGTAGCTACCAGCAGGGAAGAGAAGAAGGGCAGGTGGGTAGGATGGCCTTCCATCTCGGGACAGGGTGGTGGCCTGCTGGGTGAGTTTCCATGGGCAGCTTTCAGGTGAGTCCTACCCTGCACTCCCTGAGAAGCTGGGAAGTCAGAAGCCTGCTCACAGAGCTGCCTCATACACCCACAGACCTACCTTTCAGTTGGCCAGTATCCTTCAGCTGAGCTTCCATATCCCCCTCCTCCAAGCCTGGGCCAGAAGTGGAGGTCCCTGCAGGGATCCAGTCAGGTAGAGCTGTTTCTAGAACCCCAAGGAGGAGACAAAGGAGGCGGGAGATCAGAGGGACTTGGGGTACGGGACAGAAGCAGGAAGTGGGGAGGAAGGGGACTCCAGTGTGTTTGGCCCTGACCGGAGTTGTCAGGAGCCCCCAGGGGCTCTCCAGGAGTTAAGTTAGAACCCCCTCCCTTTGCCCATGGCATACTGTCAGAATGTGGGGACTCCTGGTACCTGCAATTCTTGGACTTCTGTCCACCAGGTCAACCGTGTCCCGAGCGGGGAGAGGGACCTGGCCAACAGCAAGGGATTTCGGCATGGATTTCGGGCAGGGAGAGACCCAGGCCCAAGCCAGACCTGCTGTGGGGTAAAACAGGTGAGAGGTATCTCCTTCCCCTAAGCCATCCCCACTCTGCCAAGCAGGCTGAATTCAGGTTCTCTGACCTGAGACTTCAGCTGCTACCCACCCCTGATGACCTTGGTAGCTTCCCCTTCCCTTTGTACCCAGGTGTATGGTACCTCAGGAGGTTATCAGGAGAGGCCAGTCTAGTTTTGAGTGGCAGAGACAAGGGCCCTGGCTCCCCGGCTCCCTCGATGGTCCTGTCTGGAAGAAGGCCTGACAGGTAGGTGAAGGCACAGAGTTCAGTGGGGGTGAGGGGGTTGCTGGAAGTGCCCAGGAGCTGGAGAACCCCATGTCCTCTCCTATCAGGTGTTATTGGGGACACTGCAGATGGTCCCAGCTTAGACTTTGGCATTTGATATGAAAGATGAAGACTCGGCTTGATAAGGGCCCTACCTCCCAGAATGAGGAGAAGGGCAGGGGTTTAGGTGCCCCCATCCATCCCCAAAAGGCTCACCTCCTGGCCTGCTGGCCTGCTGGAACTACCCATATGAGCCCTCTACCCTGACTCCTTCCTTCCCAGGCACGGGGGCTCAGGCTGGGGGTCCTTTATAACACTCACCTCCCTGCCTGCCCCCAGGCTGGTCTCATATGCCCTTAGGTCCTAGGGCTCAGGATGGGGCCCAAGCCCTGGGCCTGCTGGTCACCCAGCCCTGGCCTCAGTGTCCCTGGGCCCCAGCCTGGTTCTAGGAGCTCCTACCTGCGTAGGTGGTGAGGGGGCAGCAGTGGGGAGGAGGCACAGCAGGAGCAGCTGCAGGTCAAAGATCTGCTGGGTGCGCACATGACCTGCTGTGTGTGGATCCCCATTAATGTTTACCCAGGAGCTGAGGCCCCCAAGGGGAGACCCTGCCTGGCCCCGAGGCCCATGGGCCTTGTTCAGGCCTTTGTCACACTAGAGCTAGGAGTTCTAAGTCCCAAGCCCAACCCTCCTGGACTTGGTTGAGCCCCATTTCAGGTTCTGGACACCGTACATTCACAACAGGTGTCTGGTTGGCTCTACACCACTTTGGCCAGGATGCTGGTGCTCTGACTGGGGATGCCTGGGCAGGTCCCTCAAGAAGCCTGCCCTCCCCCGCCCATATTCCTCTGAGCTCCGCAGACCTTATCATGGTCATCCCTGCCCCTGACAGAAGGCAGGAGGGAAGCCCTTTACAACAGATGTGGGGAGGATGGGTTTCCTCAGGTGGCCGAAAAAGGAAAAAGGCACCCAGTCCCTGAGGTCAGCAGTTCAGATCCAGGTTCAGGGTGGGGCTGGGCCCAGTAGACCTTCCAGTGGAGGACAGCAGTGGGGTCCAGGGCGTGGTGTTTCCACCTGCAAAGAGGGAGGGAGGAGGGCAGAGCCCCTCCCTAAGCCACAATGCCAAGCCTACTGCCTGACCACCATCTGAACATCTCTTCCCAGCTGAGCCCTTACCTGCCCTGTCCCATTGTTTGTGGGATGCCCCTTTTTGGTTTAGCCCCCTTCCTGGCCTTGGGATGTGGGCTGGACCCTCCCCCACAGGCCGTTCCCCCAGGGGGCCTGCTGGCTCCAGCACCCACTTACTGTCCAGCCCCATCACCGGGTGCTTGGGGGACTTTGCCCCGGGGAAGGAAGCTTCTCAGTGTCCACTCAGCAGATTCACTTCCCTCCCCATCCTGCCACCCCCCTGCCCGCCCAGGGGGAGCCTACCTGGGGCTCCTAAATATACCTCCTTCCTAAAGGGATGGGGGCAGGAGAGAGGTACTGCAGACTGGCTTGGGGGGGTGGCGTTCATATTCATAGTCTCTGGTATTCCTCTGGAGGGTCTATGTTGAGGCCACCAGAAGGGAGAAGGAAGCTGGGAGCTTGGGATTGGCCCAGTTGAGCTGTGAGACCTCAGGCAGGTCCGCACCCTCTCTGGGTTCAGAGTTGGCCCCGCCGATGGCGTTTTCCTTTGATGCCCGTCAAGAGGTGGCAGGTGGTGTGCTGCAGAGGACCGTCCAGGAACAGGGCCTGACACATGGTTAGGAGCTCAGTGACCACTGTCGAGTGGATAAGACATACAGGGCTTCTGTGCAGGTGAGGGCTAGAGGAGGTGGTCTTCCCTCCCTCCTAACTCATACCTCCGGGACGTTTGACAGGAGGAGACCTGCTTCGGGGTGACTGACTCAGGAGCAGCCATGGCCCGGTCCTGCTCCTTTGGCCTGCAGCCCAGGCTCCTGGGACGGGCCACCAGGGCCTCTTAGGAGCCACTCTCTCAGCTGAGCTCAGGCCTGGGCTGACTTGCAGGCAGCGTCTTGGCCAGACACACAGTCAGCCTAGTTTGGGGTGTGGGAATATCCTGGCCAAGATACTGGGAGGTCACCGCCTCCTGAGAAGTCTCATGGCTTTATGGCCATTGCTCCTGACCTTAGGCTGTGGCCTGAGGTGTCCACAGTTGAAGTAGCACCACTGTGCTGGGCCACCACACTAGGGCTGGCCACCAGGTTGTTCTGGGTGCACTGCATGTGGCCAGTGGCTCCAAGGCAGGCAAGCTGCTGGCAGCAGTTCCCACCTAGGGGTGGGATAGCCAGAGTTCAGACTTCGGGGCTGCCAGGGGGGCACCAGCACAGGCCGCCCCAGCCCCAGCAGCAGTGTCTGGGCTGGGGGAAGTGGGGCTGGGGGCCCAAGGTGGGGCAGAGCCCAGCCGGCTGCTGAGTGATGGTGGTGCTGTCTTTGAGGGGTACAGGGGACTGGGGCTCCACCTTCAATGGTTCCCGCTCAGCCTTGACTGCTAAAAAGGCAGCTAGGTCCAAGTCCAGCATGGCCACCCCTCCGCGGGGCGTGGGTGTGCTCTGGCGGCACTGTGGGCAGAGAATCCAGTGCTGCTCATGAGCTGGAGCGTCCAGCCGCCGCATGCATGCCTGGCAGAAGGTGTGACCACAGTAGAGGCGGCGAGGCAGGTGCGCAGAGAGGTCGTAGGCAGAATAGCAGATGATGCAGTCGTTACGAGGGGCTGTGGGGGCTGCCCCCTCCTCCAAGGCTGGGGGACCCTCAGGCTGCAACATCCTAGGGCAGGTGTGCAGGGAAGCCACAGGGCACCACAGCACAGGTCACAGCCCACCCCTGCCCACTTCTGCAACTGTCTAGCACAGGTGGGGTGCTGGTCCCCAGATCCCCCCCCAGAGGACAGAAGCCAGGGCCATGGGGCTGGTAGATGACACCTGGAGAGGGGTGGCAGCCCCTGGGACAGTTGACCCAAGGTCTGGGCCCCTCTGGTCTCTGTGGCCACTGGGTGGGAAGCACCCTGGTCCACTGTTTATTTAGTGCCTTCTTATGCATGACCTCTCCTGCACAGCCCCCCCACCAGCCTTCCTGAGCCCCTCTTACCTGCATCCACTCCACTGAAAGGATATGCTAAGCCCAAAGATGGCTGGAGAAAGGGGGTGGGACCCCAGGCACCCTGTGACTTCCTCCCTGGGCTCGCATTACTGGTCCACACCAGCAAGGTGGCAGGAGGCAGGTGGTGGCTGCAGCAGTGAGAGTAGGCTCCCCTTTCAGCCACAAAGCACCTGCAACTGGATCTGCCGCACCACCCACTGGGCAGGAGATAAGGTGAGCCCGCCCTATACACAGTGCTGCCCAGATCACTCCTCTCCCTAACCCTCAGCAGGGCTGGCCTTGCTGTTTTTTCTCCTAAAGACCCCCCAATTCTCATACCCTCCCCCGTTCTCCTGTCCTCCCCACTCTCAAACCCTTTTCCCAAACTCAAGTCCTCCCTAATATTATCTTCTCCCACCACTATAAACTTTTCTTGTGGTGTCCTGGGTGGCACCTGTCCTGTAGACCCAGCTCACATCAATTCCCAGGAAACACATCCAAGCTCACAGCCAAGGGCTCCTGCATCTCTGCCATCTCTGCAGGCTACAGCCCAGTGTGTGTGTGTTCTTTCTGATCTGTGTGATGCTTCAGGCATCACCTTAATCCCAGCCTGAGCTGGGTCTGTAGTGTTCCCATTACAGACAGCGGCCAGCACACTTGGCCCCAAGGTGGCGCTCACACATCGCATGTGAAGATCCCCCTTATTCACACAGTGACCATCCCACAAGCACCCCTCTGAAGGCTTCCAGCTGGCTTCTGTCCATCTCATCTGCAGCCTCCAGGCCAGATGTTGCTCCAGGGGAGCAACAGTTCCAGGAGGTGGGCGCAGAGTGCCCATTGACCAAGACTGAGGGCACAGAAGAGCTGGGGGAACAGAGCAGAGTTGGGACAGGCTGGCAGGGCCTCCAGGACAGCTCACAGCCCTAGTAGGAAGAAGCCCCAGGGTACAGTAGCCCTCCTACTCCTACCCACCCCCTTGGCAGTCTGCCTTCAGGACTGGTTAAACAGGTTCCCGTGCTGGCCTGGGTGGGGGCTGGCCATGGAGCAGGGACAGGGAGCCCATGACCACTCCTGGAGACCTCCACACACCATGAACCAGCCCTACCCTGTTGTGGGGCCAGTCCCTATGCGTCAGGGGAGGGCTGGCCGCAGGAAGACCCGTCTATCCTGCGATTCCAGCTCAGCTTCCGCCTCCATGTGGTGCCATGTCTCTGCCCTGCCCTGTAAATGTCAGGATGCCTGGAGCTGGCCTCTGTACACACTTTCTACCATAGCATCCTAGCTACTCATACATGGTCCCAACAGGCATCCTATGCTATTTGGACAAATGGGAAGATGGTACCCATGGCTCCCTCCTCCTCCCAGCTCCTTCCCTGCCTTGCGTTCAAGGCCTGGTTCAGGCCACCTCTAGGAAGTCCATCCCTGAGGCAGGACAGCAGGCACATAGTACAGCTCTGGACGTGCAGGAGTGAGATGTTTCACGGGAAACCAGAAAAACACCCTGGCTGAGATTGGGAGGTGACTCAGAGTGGGGAGGACTCAGTCCTGGCTGTCTGGGCCCTGCTGTGCTGAGCTTCTGGTTCCTGAAACCTGTTAGCACCGGCCCCACCCACCACCACCATTCTGCCAACCTGACTCTCCTTCTGGAGGCTTTTCTTGGGCCTCCCTCCACTGCCATTCATGGCATCCTCCTGCCATGTGGCTCAGGGTTTGACCCTGCTCATGGTCTCAGTCTCAGCCCTAGGGAATGTAGGGCAGCCTGACCACAGCAGTGGACACACTCCCACCCGTGAGCCTCTGGGCAGACCTGAGACCTGTAGGGCAGTTAAAGTGTGAATGTTACAAGTCTCCCAGTTCCTGGAAGGTCTCATTAAGGCTGGGAGCCTTTTGGGGAGGCTGTGTGTGTGTGTGTACGTGTGTGTGTGTGCGTGCATGTGTGTAGGTGTGTGTGTAGGGCAGATGTTGTCCAGCCTAGAACCCCCTCCCAAAGGGGTCACTCACAAAAGAGAACTCAACTGGCACAGAGCTCACCCTGCTTTATTGCCTTGGTCTTGCAGAAAGTGCTCAAAGATGTCCCTGTAGTTACCAACATGGCCAGTGCCTAGGACTGTGTTCCAAAGGACCATGGCTAAACTGGCAGCCTTCTTGGTAGACAGGTACCCCGTCCAAGGCAGAAAGTCAGGAAGTGACCAATGACCATGATAATGGCTACTCCTAATGTCCAGCACCACCTTGGCCACTGAGCAGAGGTCTGGGTCCCACAGTGATGGCAAGCTAGGAGACAACACAACAGCAGCTGTGACAGCGGCAGAATCGTGGGCAGTGGCAGCAGGCGCAGCAAGGGAAGCAGCAGCAGTGGTGTGCAATGTCATCTCCACGCCCGACCGGTGGCAGGCCAGCATAGGTCAGTCCTGCTGGGCGCTGCCCACTGCTATAGGGGTTGCAAGGCTGCTGCCAGGTCTGGTTGGGGGTAGTGCCTTTGGCCCCCTTGGGGCCTGGGATCTCTGTGGGCTGCAGGAAGCCAGCTGGCTCTGGGGCACAGGTCCCCAAGGGCAGAGGCTGCATCTCAGAGGATGAGGTCGAGGAAGGAGCCTCTTCTAACTTCTGCCCCAGGTCAGGCCGCAGGTGAGCACGGGGAATGCTGATGTGGGTGTACGGGTTCTTGACAACCATCTCATGGGGGTCCATGGCCCGGGCTGCAAGGATAGGCAGAGACACAGATATGGATTCTGCCTGAGAGCCTGCAATCCAAGAAAGCCTCCCTCTAGGAGAGGCATTCCTCGTCAAGAGCCACATCCCAGAGGCACTGTGTACCCTCAACATGGAGATTTGTGTGTGTGTGTGTGTGTGCGCGTGCGTAAGGCCCATATTTGTGTGGGGTGGGCCCCTGTCCCCAGCTGCCACCCCTCAAGTGTCCTGGCACTTCCCCTGAGATACAAGCTAGGAATGGGGAGAAAGAGGCTGGGAGACAGCTGAGCTGGTCAAGGGAAGGGCAGGGTCCCTCTACCCCTAAGTACCCTAAGTACAGGCCAGTCCCCATGGCCAAAACTCACCTGCAGTGGTGGCAGCAATGGCAGCAGTCTGTCCTCCCAGTCCTCCTACTCCAGGTCCCAGTGGCTGTGAGTGGAGCAACCAGCAGTCGCCTTTTCCCTCCTAGAGAGGGGTGGGGCCCTGGGGTGGAGCTCAAAGATGGGGTTCCAGAGATCCCAAAGAGGCCCTAGCAACTGGAGCATAGCAGCTGGCCTACCCCTCATTCTCAGAAGGGTGGTGGCCAAGGTTTGGGCTCTGAGGGGTACTTGCCACCTTGAGGTGAGTCAGCCACGATGCATTCGAGGCATGCCTGACATTCACCAAGGAGGACCTGGGTCATGGCCCTAGCAAGGAAGTGGGATTAGGCCCTCAGATTCAGGGGCCCGGAGGTGACTGGGGTCTCCTCATTGCTCACAGACCTCACAGCCCCTACTGGGACAGAGTTCCTTCCTGCCACCCACTGCCCCTGCGCAGCAGAGACCAGGATGTTTGAACATACAGAGTGCAACGACCACTTTGTAGAATTTTCCACTTTTCTAACATAAAAAATGTTTGACACACCTTTGTAGGTTAAGTCTTACTTATCTTATAATTGGCGGCACAGGCTTCAGACACAAGTGACTTTTTAGCTTGTTTCTGAAACTGCAGTTTTCCTCGGTTGGCTCGCTGGGCCGAACGCTCTCCCGTCCCCAGCGCCCCATCTTTGGCCCTGGCACCCTCCCACCTCCGCAGCTTCGGTCCCCGGTCTGTACGGCGCACGCAGAATCGTCATGGCGGCGTGACAGTGGGCGCAAGCACTCGGAGTCGGGACTGACACCGGTGGGTTCCCCTAGGGCGACCCGACAGGGGGGTACCTGCTTGAATCCCGCATCTGCAGGCTTTGCGCCCGGGGAAGCACTAGGAAAAGCGGGACCAAGTCGAACCTGGCCCACAGGCCAGGGTGATTGGGTGGCCTAAGTGGGGCGGTCAGACCAGTCTGAACACGAATACTGCAACCCGGCATACGGAAAAATCTGGGGGTTTTGGAGCTCCGGGCTTCGGAAGAGGGCGACGGGGGCTCATTGCGCAGGCGCGAGAAGCCCCGCCCACCGCTCCTACCGACTCCGCCCCTCACCGCGAGGCAGAAACATGAGCATGCGCAAAATAGACAGGGGCTCCAAGTGGAAACTTTGTTCCCCAGAAGCCTCCGCGCTCCAGGGTTTCCAAAAGACCCGGTTCGGATGCCCAGATTCTGGGCTTGGGCCACCTTGCTCCTGAACAGCGGGGCAGGGCCTCATTCCTCCATGGGGAATGGGGCGGGGCTTTGGCAAGGGATAAGGCCAAGGTCAGGTGCCTCCCAGGTGAGCTCATGCAGGACGAGTGGATGGGTCAGTGGGTCCGTAAGCAGAGCCCGCCGTTGAGGGTGGACTCCAGACCTTCTGACCGCGGCTACTTCAGTTGCCCCACACCATGCGTGGGTCCCTTAGGGCCTTCACTGCCCCTCCCGCCATGTTCCTGCTCAGCTGCACACCTCACACTTGTTCTCACTGAATGAGCCCAGACACGGCCCGGGTCCCACAGAGCTGCAGAGCTAAGCCCTGTTTTGCTCACCAGGAACACCTACACTGGGGTCTGGCCTATAGGAAGGAGAGATGGATTGTGGCCTGAAAGGGACCTGGATTGCCCAGGGTCAGGCTCAGGGACCAGTGCTGGTCACAGGAGTGGCAGCATGCCACATGGTGACCATGGTAGGGTAGGAAAGCATGGGACTCTGAAGGCCCTGACACCCTGGTCCTCAGCCCTGCTGTTCCCAATGTGTCCCTGGTCTTCCCTCCACCTAAGGGCTCCCAGCAGGAAGAAGTACAGTCAGAGTAGGGAGGCCCTAATGGAAGAGGAAGCAGAAAAGAATGGGGCCTCTGCTGGGTGGGGTCAGGTTAGCACATAACTGTATGACAAAGGTGCACGTGCTGACCTGACGGGATACCAGAAGGAAGGGGCTACCCCACCCTGGGCAGATGAGTGTCCTGGGTGGGTTGTCCTCCACCCAACACGGGTACGCACTGCCAAGTTGTCCAGATATCTTCACCCTTCCTCATACTGTCATCCCCCCCATCTGAGCCTGCTCTTGACAACCCCCCAGCGCCCCTCCCGACCACTCCTCTGGCTTCACACCCTCCCCTCCGTCCCTCTGGCTGCCATTTCACCCTCTCTGAGCCGGCTAGCTCTGGGCACTGCTGAGCAGGCGCTCCCATGGGGGCCGTGTGGAAGGATGAGCAAAGACCCTGCCTCTGGATAGCACGCAAGGTGGAGCGCTGGGTCCCTTCTTTCTTGGGACCCTTTCTCAGGTTCCTTCTCCTTCTTGCTCAGGCATTGTAAGGCCACGCAATGTAAGGGAGGAGAAAAGAATTTTCCCTTCTAGAATTATAGGGTGGGGGGGAACTTAGCCAGGACTCAGGATGAGCCAGGAGGGGAGATTGGAGACGACGCGGGGGTTCTGACCCGCACGTAGCCCGCGGGGTGGGCGACCCCGGGAGCCGGCGCCAGGCCTGGAGCGCGGATCTAGGGTCAGCCGGGAGACTGGCCCCGCCCCGCAGACCCCGCGCGGGTCCCCAGACGGTGGGGGGGGGTGGCGCTGCGGGCGCGGGCGGGCGCCGCGCGCACTGCGGTCTCAGCGCCTCCGCCGCAGAGCGCGCCACGCTCCGCACGCACCTGCCGCCGCCGCCGCCGCCGCCGCCGCCGCCACCGCCACGCCGAGCCCTGCGCCCCGCACCCGTGCCCGCGCCCCTGGGTGCCGCCCGCGCCCGCCATCATCCGAGGTTGCCGCTGGAGCCTCTGGAGCCGCCGGGCCGGGGCGCGGGCGCCGCATCCGGGCCTGCCTTTGAGACAACCTTTGCGGCGGCGGCGCGGCCCGGGGACGCCAGGCTGGGGCAGGTGAGCGGGGCGGGGGAAGGGCGGGTGTCGGACACATCGTCCTCCTCCACTCCTGCAGGGTCAGTCGTCAGGAAGGTGCGTGCGTCTGGCCTTGGGGGAGGGGGCCTGGGGAGCGGGCTGGGTCCAAGTCCGGCGGAGGTTGGGATCCCATGGCTGAGGTCAGGGTCAGAGGTCGGACGCCCAGTCCTTTGTGCAGGGTGGGGGTGAGGGCTAGGCGGGGTGGGCCCAGGCGCTGCCTTCACGCTGTCTCTCACCTGCAGCTTGGGCCTGGTGCAGGCCTCTCCTCTGCTGGTGCCGCGGAGCCTGCAGACCGTATCCTCCTGCAGCCAGGGCTCAGGCTAGCTGCCTTCCCTGGGAGCCCTGTCCTGGAGCCATGGGGCCCACCTAGCCCCTGCCTGCCCAGATGTCCCGGCCCCGGGACTGCTGACCTCGGCTGCAGGGAGGGCCCCCTCCACGCCCCCTTGCCAGCTTCAGCAGACAGAGACCCTGGGTGAACCCCTGGGCCAGACCTCCAGCCCAGGGCAGCTTCCCACACGCCCTTGCCCACGCCTGCCTCCCCCCCCTCCGCCCCTTCCTCCTCCTCCCAGGACTAGACCAGAGAAGCCACTGTGGCCACTGGGGGGGACCCTGCCCCCCCAACTGGCACCGCCGCCCCTAGCAGTCCACGGGGCGGCCGGGGTCCCCACCGGGCCTGGCAGGACCGGGATGCTGGCCCCTCTCTTCCTCCCCGGCCCCACCCAACACCCCCACCTGCAAGAACGTCCAGTTTGACTGGAGACAGCCGGATGCCAGCTGACCCTGGGCCCGAGGTGGGCAGTGGCTGGCCGGGCCTCCTCATGTCCTGCCTGAAGGGCCCCCATGTCATCCTCAAGATGGAGGCCATGAAGATTGTCCACCCTGAAAAGTTCCCTGAGCTCCAGGCAGCTGCCCCCTGCTTCCCACCTGCACCCCGGCCCACCCCCACTCTGGCACCCAAGCGTGCCTGGCCATCAGATACAGAAATCATTGTCAACCAGGCATGTGGGGGGGACATGCCAACCTCGGAAGGGACGCCCCACACCCCACCCTTGCCACGGCGGCCACGCAAGGGCAGCTCGGAACTGGGCTTCCCCCGGGTGGTGCCGGCAGACGAGGTCATTGTGAATCAGTATGTGATTCGGCCTGGCCCGGCAGCCTCTGCACCTTCTTCGTCAGGGGTGGTGGTGGCAGGTGAGCCCCTGGAGTGTCCCACTTGCGGGCACACATACAACGTCACCCAGCGGCGACCCCGTGTGCTGTCTTGCCTGCATTCCGTGTGTGAGCAGTGCCTGCAGATTCTCTACGAGTCTTGCCCCAAGTACAAGTTCATCTCCTGTCCCACCTGCCGCCGTGAGACTGTACTCTTCACTGACTATGGCCTGGCTGCACTGGCTGTCAACACATCCATCTTGAGCCGTCTGCCACCTGAGGCGCTGACTGCCCCATCCGGTGGCCAGTGGGGGGGTGAACCTGAGGGCAGCTGCTACCAGACCTTCCGGCAGTACTGTGGGGCCGCATGCACCTGCCATGTGCGGAACCCACTGTCTGCCTGTTCCATCATGTAGTGTCCACCTGCCCACTGCTGCCTGCTGGTCCTCGCTCGCTGCTTCTTCAGGGACCCAGCCCTGCCCTGTTGCCCACTGACCCTTCCTCGCCCACTGTGGCTTCTGGCTCTACCCCACGTGGCACTGTCGCTGCAACCAACTCTGCCATTAAAACTCTTTGCCAAAGTTTTCACCTGTTCCCTGGACTGAAGCTTGCTCCTGTGGGCTGTGCCCAGGGCTGCAACCCAGACAGGGTCCAGCCTGGTGTCACCAGAGAGAGGCCCATCTGTACTCAGCATTGACTTGCTCTGCTCAGTGGGGGCAAGTTGGGCAGAGCATGCTGCTCAGGAGAGCTGGGGCTGACTGTAGGTGCAAACCTGGGGCAGAGAGGGCTGCCAGTATGTGCGACATGGCTGTGGTGGATGCGCGGAACGAGCCCAGCTAGGCAAAGATAGGGCCTTTCCTCTGCATTGGTCAATAGCATGGGGGTGGCTGTGTGGTGACGGCTCAACTTGTGTCCTGCATGCCCGCCTGGCCCTAAGTGCCTGTGTGGACCTCCAAGGGACCTTGGGGAATAGCCTTTAGGGCAGTCTGAGCAGGGGTTTGTAGCTGGCTGAGATCATGGCAGGAGTCCAAGGCCCTCCAGTTTGGCACTGGACCCCCTGGGTTTGGAAAAGGTGCCTTTGCAGGGAGGTGTGGGAAAGAGCTGTCTGAATGGTGATGGGGTAACAGGACAGCCTCAGCAACAATGGTGTTGGTAGCTACTGTTTATTGAGAGCCACTTCTTATGCCAGGCATGCAACACCCCACCTGACATCACGTCACCAACAAGCCATGAAGTAGGCTACAGATGTCTCCATTTTTAGGTGAGGGTCCAGGCTCAATGATGTTAAGGTTGCACAGGCAGTCAGGTCATGGCTGGGCTTTGTTTTGACACTTTCAGGCTCCAAGGCCCTTGTCTTTTGCAGCACAGAGCCAGTGATGATGCCCAGCTGCTCTGGACCACCCACTCTGGTCCTGGCCCAGGCAGAGTGAAGAGCCTTTGCAGGCTGAGTGCATAGGCCTCTTGTGCCAGTTACCCTGGCCTTCAGGCACTCACAACCTGGCACACAGAGGAGTGAACAGACTCACTGCTGGGTCTCTGTAGCTCTTCTGGGCCACAGGAGAGGGAGGTGTGGCCCAACACCTGCCCATGACCAGTATGGCACTCGTCCATGGCAAGCACAAGAGGCCCTGCTCACAGGCCTTCCTGCTGGGCTGGCCACCTTCAGCAGCTGTCCTTGGCATGACGTCCTTGGGTTCAGCTAGTGTGTGGGCTCTCTGGCTGGGTCAGGCTCCTGGATTGCCGCAAACCCTAGTCTTGGGTTCAGAGATGGCAGGTCTTGACTGAAGGCCCATGCTGGGTCTGAACCTGGGTTTTCCCGCCTGGTCACTGGCGGGCCTGCCGTCCCGGGCTGTGTTCAGCGGCCAGAGCGGTCCAGGAGCATGAGGAGCACACCCAGCAGCATGAGCGGTGTGAAGATGAGCAGCAGTCCTAACAGCTCGAGTGCTAGCAGGCTTAGTAGTGCCAGGCGGCGGGCACACGGTCCACGCTCCCGCAGTGTCCACAACCAGGTGCCCAGGCAGGGAGGGCAGGGCAGGAAGGGCAGGCATCCTCGACCACCCACTGGCCCTGCCAGGAAGCGCAGCTGATAGCGGTGTTCTAGGGAGCCCCAGGGCCCAGGGCCACGGAGTGGGGGTGTAGGGGGTGGGGAGGGAGGTGGGCACTGAGGCCCATCAGCCTGAAGCAGCTCCTCCTGCAGCCGGCAGATCTCCCACTCCAGCATGGGTGTCTTCTGGCGACACAATGGGCAGCGCACACGGCCCAGGTCAGCGCAGGGAGCCATGCCCAACAGCTGGTGCAGGCAGCCCACGCACAGGCTGTGACCACAGTTCAGCAGGATCCGCTGGTGCTCACCAGGCCTGTAGGGCTCTGTACAGATGGGGCACTCCTCCTCCCCCTGCCCCTCACCCTCTTCCAGCTCCCCCACTGTTGACAGGGCCCAGGCACCTGGCAGATCTGTGTTCCCCAATAGGGGCTCACTATCTGGAGTCCTGGAACGCTGAGGGGTTCCAAGGTCATTCCCTTCGTTGGCTGGCAGGTGGCACAGTGGGTCCAAGTGCTGAGGACTCAGAGAGGCCCAAGGTGGACTGGTGGGCCCAGAGCTGCCATCATTAGAGCTCAGGGTGGGCCCCCCAGGGCAGAAGTCAGGATGGGTGGATGGGGATTCCAGGGTGGCGATGATTAGGGGTGTGAAGGTCAGTGTGGCCCTAGGGCCAGGTAGGTTCTGGACTCCACTGACCACTCACTGGAGCACTGACCTCCAGCTGCAGCTCTGGATTCCCTGGACCCACTGGGAGTAAACTTCACTTGGACCCTGGTGGCGTGCCAGCTCCGGTGTCTCTTGGACCCACGCAGTGCTGTTCCCAGCCAGATCTGCTCTGAGCCTGGTTGTGGCAAGGCCCAATTCCCCGTGTGTCAGCAACTGCCTGACTGACCAGATACTCCTCAGCTCCCAGCTGCCCGCTGACCTGCCCAACTCCTCCAACAGGGTTTCCGCTCTCAGAGTCAGAGGCCCTGCCCAGGGGCGGGACCATGCATACCACCCCACCCCCACCCCTCCTCACACCCTCTCAGAACCGGAAAAGGATGGCCTGCCCAGACCTGGCCAGCACTTCTCCTGGCTGCCCACTGCCTGACAGAGAAAGAGTTGCCTCCAAGACCCTACGTACAAGAGGGCAATAGCAGGTCCTCACACATTAGAATTAGATACTCAAGTGCAGTGAGAGTCAAGCAAAGGTTGCTCACAACAGCACACATGTGCACACACAGGTGACCACAGGTGTACAAACACCATGGGAAGGTCATCGCCATTCCAGACATATACATGAGCCTTGGCCCACCCATCACTATAGCACCAGGACAAACTGAGTGAAAAAAGTAGATGTGGGAGCAGCACCCAGAGACCATGTTTACTGCCAAGCTTTGGGGACCAAAAGGAGGGGCTAGCCCCACTTCTTCCCAATGCTCAGGAAGCCAGGGTCCTGGAGGCTTCCCACTGGACTGTGGGTTCTGTGGGTGCTATGTGGGAACAGTCTGGTCCCTGCAGGAGTAGCCAGGGAGCCCCCAGAGCAGAGGGGGCAGTGTGGCCCTTAAAGGACCTAGGCCCCTTGGAGGGCTCAGCAGACCCAACACCCATCAGAATGGGGTGACTCCTGCAGCACTCTACCAGTACAGGGTGGTGTGGGCTGGGCCAGCACACCACCCTAATCCGGAAGTGGGGTGGGCACATGCACAGATATGGGGCAGGGCAAGGTGGACTGAGGAGCAGCCAGGGGTTCAGGCTACAGTGAGGTCAGGGCTAAAAGTATGGGACCTACTGGAGTGTGGCTGTGTGTAGGGAATGTCCTCGTCTGCCACAGGGGCCTGGAAACCACACCCTGGGACTTTAACAGGTCTTACTAGGGCTCTGTCATCAGACAGGGCCAGAAGGTGATGATGGCTCCCTGCTAGACATCTTCCTCTGGACCCTGAGGAACCCAGGGCAGCCATCAGGGTGGGTGTAGGCTGGGAGGTAGCTTCTCAGGCCCAAGTCTCAGTCTGGAAGCGGAGTGTTCGCTGGAGCCTGGCAAGGTAGGCAGCAGCATCGGGTTCAGAGAGTCCACCATCCTTTCGGAAGATGGCTGTCAGGGCTTCCATGACGTCCGACGGAATATACTTAGCGTTGCTGGAGGGGCAGGTTGCAGACAGCTCAGTGATCCTGAGACCCCTGAGGGCTGGGTCTACCCCAACATACCCTGGGCCCTGGCTCACCCTGCTAGGTAGAAGTAGGCGCCGTCATGATCCAGCAGCTCCCAGATGAGCGGACCCTGCTCCCGGAGCCGGTGTTGCACATACACCTTTTGCTTCTGCAGGTGGCAGAGGCTAAGTCTGAGCCCTCCCCTCTCTGTCCCACCCAGGCTCTGAGTACACCCACCTGCTCCCGGGAGAAAGCTGTGACAAGGGTTAGGCAGCCCCTCTTCTCCAGCTCCTTCCACTCAGCTTCCCAGTAGAAGTCTTGGTCTCGCTGGCGACAGCCAAAGAACAAGAAGTTTCCTGGGGATGCAGAGGGGCCTCCAGTCTGGACGCAGGTCCTTGGGGTTCAGCCAGGCCTACCCCAGCAGTAACCCTACCCTGGGACCCCTACACTCACCAGTCTGGCCCTGGGCCACGCGCTCCTGGACAGCTGCTCGGAAGGGGGCCACGCCAGTGCCAGGCCCCACCATGATCACAGGTGTATCTGGTGTCCCTGGGAAGGTCAGGCCCCCAGGCCGCACCCACATGGGTACCTGGACAGGTCCTGTTGCAGGAAGGAGGTGGCATGAAAAGACTCAAAGGACCAGGCTGAGGAGACCACTGAGGCCCAAGCCCACCACTGGCAGTGGGCATTTTCCTCCCAGAAGAAGGGGTCACCTTGTGCAGGGTCCAGAGATGCCAACCAGGAGGAGCAGAGGCCCCTGCGGGGCTCTTTGAGGCGGGTCTGGTACTGCACCACAGCCACGAGGATCTGCAGCCTTGCAGGATGAACCTGGGGGAACAGTGGGTGCCCTGCCTTGCTAGGCCACTCCTGTCTGTCACCCACCCCACTCAGGAACAGCCTCAGATGGAGAGACTGTCCCTGCTCAGATAGCAGTTCCTGCCTGCAAACATCCTGCCAAGTCCCAGTTTCCCCACGGCTAGTCACCAGGCCCCTCACCAGCAGGGAGGAGGCAATGGAGAAGGCCCGTGGCCGGATCCGTGGGATGAGATCCAACAGGTAGTCCGGGGGAATAGCACCCGCCGTGTGAGGAAAGTCACATAGCACCTGAGCAAAGAGGGTCTCAGTGTGGCTGTCACATGCCAGGGCTCAGGGCCCCACACCTGTCCACCTGCCAGCAGGCCCACCTCCAGGATGGTCCTACGTGGCCGGGTACAGTACTCGCAGAACTCCTCCTGGCCTTGGGCAGAGCTGAGCTCCTGCAGCTTCTCCCGCTCCATCCCATGTGGGGAGAGACAGGCTAGAAGCTCAAAGAAGGAACGGCGAGGCACGCTAGCAATATCCAGGTGCTGGGACACTAGGTGATGCACAGAGCAGGGCTGGGGCAGCCCTGGAGGGCAGGGGACACCTGTGGAAGGGAGCAGGAGACTGGGCTGGGATGTCAGGTGGTGCCTTAGATGTTGGAGAGTTCAGCAGGTAGCCAATCCCAAGGGCTGGCCTGGCTCCCACACTCACCTGGCTCCCGTGCCTGCAAAACAAACCACTGGTTGGGGTCCAGGCCCAGCACCTGGCAGAACTGTTGAACGTGGATGGCAGAGTTTGAGGGCTGAATTAGCACCACATCACCAGCAGAAAAGCTGTATGGAAAAGCCACCAGGGCTGTGGGGATGGTGTGGGAGGGAAAAAGGGTCTGCAGGGAGGGGACTTTGAGGGAGGATGAAATGATTTGGGAGACTGCAGAGGAAAAAGTGAAAGTCCACAGAGAGCTGGAGGGTCTATGAATGGCAGCATCTCCATGCCAAGCCACCTTCTACCCAGCTTCTGTAGAACCTTCTGAATTCCAGATCCACTGCCCACCCTAGCCCTGCCCACCGTGACTTCCCAGGATTCCTGGGCACCCTATCACCCCCACCTGCCCACCTGCAGTCTAAGGCTGTGCTTGGACCCCCCCCCCCCACCTGATGCTGGAGCCTGTGATGTCAAAGTCAATCAGTCGAACATCCTGGAAGTGTGAGGGGCCAGTGACCCTCTGGTTAGCAACCATGGGTGCCAGGAAGGGCAGAAACTCTGATGGGGGTCCCGGAGGGTCCAAACTAGCTACACGTGGTTCCTCAGAGACTGTGCTGGAGACATCCTGGAGGAACTGGAAGGTAAACCTGGAGGGCAAGCTGTGGGGGGAACAGAGACGTCAAGTGTGGGCCAACTTCCAGGGTCCACTCACCCACACCTTGGAGGGGACCAGGGAGAGGTCCCTGGCCAGGTTGAACCTGTGACACCTTTGGTGCTGACCCAACCCCACACTCACGGGACTCCAGGGGGGATCATAGCAAGATCATGGGGCACTGGGTATAGCTCCAGCACCTTTTCCCACAGGTCTCCCATCCAGGGATCAATAGCGGCATCAGGCCTGGGAGAGATCACAGCAGTATAAACTGTTGCTCTGTAGGCCAGAGCCAAGGAGAGGGGTGCTAGGGAGGGGCATTGTTGCAGGGACTCACCCCAGCTCATGCTGCTCATCACCTAAGCAAGCAGGCAGAAGGGCGCTGCCCCCTAGCTGCATCAGACGGCGGTGCAGCTTCTTGGCCACAAAGTTGAACCTGTGGGATAGTGTAGGCTGGCATAGGCCTGGGTTGGAGTCCAGGTGAGGGGAGCTGGCCCACCCACCACCCAGGACAGGGCCTCTCTCAGAGGCTTCTCCCTTTATGGTCCACACTGGCAGGACCCTAGGAGGGGACAGGACCACAACATGCCAGGGGCCACATAGGTGCTGGGCAGTCACCAGCACCACAAACAGTGAGTCCTCATGGTCAGGAAGAAGCTTATGTGGAGGACACGCACAATCTTGTGCACCTATCAACCCTCATCCCTGGATGGGGACTGGAGCCCACTGAGGCCCCAGAGCCCCTCATCAGGGTTGGGATCACTTCTTGAGTTGGAAGGAGGGTGAGACAGTTTCCTGGGGGTGGATTTCTTTTCTCTCTGGTTTATAAGGGCACACTGATCCTTGTAACAGCTCTCCCTCCCAGGACAAAGTTAGCAGTGTAGCCTTGTACCTGCCCTGGTACACCCTCCCTTGGCCAAGGAGCAAAATCTCCCAGCAGAATGAGGTTACTTGCCACCCATTTTCCCATTTTCTGCTCTTTTCATTTAAAGTGGTCAGAAACCCTGCCTGGCAGTTTCTAGGGGTGTTGGAAAGACATTCAGTGCTGGATGGCCCTGGGCCCACTCCAACAGTCTTTTCAAAGTTTTGGTGTCTTAGATGCCTTTTGCACCCTCAAACACAAATCCTTCATTGTTGCCTCAAGAAAGGATGCACAGAAGCACAATTTGCTCAGGCATGTGGCTTTGGGTCATAAAGACCCTGAAAGAGAAAGCCAGTACCCATCCCTGGCCAGGTGAGATGAATAGCCAGGAGTAAGCTGTCCATCTCTGGTCTTTTCAAGTTGTAAATACCTCACAGTAGAGGTTTTGTGCTGGTGAGGGACAGCGGCAGGATGGTCTTATGATCTTTGTTACATTGGGATATGATGCGGGCTGGTCTGAGCCTGGCCCTGCCCTGGATTTCCTGGCTCACTGCCACCTTGCTCACTCCCCAGTTGTGCCCTCCACTACTATGAGGACCAGGGCATCCACTGGGGAGTGTCTGTAATGAGCTTGTACAACCAGGGCCACCTCAGGGCCACATGGCTTAGAAAGGCCATGCGTTGGGGGCTGGGTTGCCTGTTCCTCCTCTCGCTTGACCTGGAGAACTGTCCCTGTCTGGCTAGAGTGCTGGCCTGGCATGCCCACTGCCCCTTACTCACTTGGTGTATGAAGAGTCCCCAAGGCCCAGGACAGCAAAATCCATCTGACAGAGGGAGTTGGATGGCAGGTTCTTCCGGAATATGAACCTCCAGAAATTCTGCAGCCACAGGAAACCACATCAGGGCCCCAGCTCAGGTGGGGATGGAGGGAGGGTCTCAGGAAGAGAGGGAGGACTGAGTGAGGGTAGACAGGACAGAACCAGCTGAGGGAAATGGTACTTTTGGCAAAGCAGGAAAGCCCTCCATGAAAAGACTCAGGCAAGATGGGCTGTGTCCTGCCATCTGAAGACTGACCCACGTGCCCTTGGTAGGCTTGCTAAGCATGCTGTGAGTTGAAACCCCTGCACCCAGGAACTGCACTGGGTAGTTGCTGCTGAAAAGTCAGTGCTACCTGCTTGCTGCCCTTCTGTCCCGTCAGCCACAGGGGCATGCTTTTTGTTCCCGACAGTTAAACCCATACAATGTACCTTGGTGGTCATTCTTTTTGCTCTCCTCAGGATCCTTCCTAGGAAAATGGCTGCTGTCTCAGGCTGAAATCTTGCCCTTCAGTTCTGGGATGTCCTGTCACTTTCCTTGATAATTTCCTGCCATGGTCTTTCTTATTCTGAGGTTTCTGGCATGATCTTAAAGCTTCATTATCTCTTTTTTTCCACTTTGCACCTTGTTTTTGTTATACTTCCTGGGAGAGCTTTTCAGCTGTATGTTCTGATCTTAAAGACCTTTCCCTACACCTCCATCTTAGTTCTGTTCTGTGGCATCAGCCTCACCCCAGGGGTGCTGTGTGAGCTCTCAGTTCTTAAGTTCCATTTGTTGCTGCCTTCCACTGGGGTCTTTGCTCCAGCATGTAGTTTTTCATGGTCTATCTATACTTAAGAAGCTGATAAGCTGGGTTCCGGTAGGTCATACCTGTAATCCTAGCTACTCAGGAAGCAGCAATCAGGAGGATTGCAGTTCAAAGCCAACCCAGGCAAATAGTTCGCAAGGCCCTATCTTGAAAAATACCTTCACAAAAAATGGATGGTGAAGTGGCTCATAGTGGAGGTTCTGAGTTCAAAACCCAGTACTTCCAAAAAGAAAACCTTGAAGACATACCCTGTCCACCAGGGATGGACAGGGCTGCTGGGCTTTTTCCTGTGATTCCACAGTATTCTCAGAGAGGACCACAGCAAAGAGGCTAGGGGCTTCCTTTCCAGCAGGCAGACAGTCACGGAGGAGCTGTGCCCTTCCTCTGTGTCCCTGGACTCTGGGTCTGTGGCCTCTAGAAGAAGCCTGCAGTTCCTGCTATGCCAGGGAAGGGCAGTCACTGCTGGCTCCCCACTTCTGCTCTGTCCTTTTTTGTTTTTTTTGTCCACCTGAGATATTGTTACAACCATCACCACTTTGGTGTCACTGGCTGTCCTGATGGCCCAGCACACCTCAGACCTGATAGAAGTCTCCATTTCTTCTCCCCTATTCTCCCAGAATGTCTTCCCATCTCACCATTTACCTCTTGCCTCTGTCCCCTCTAACCCACATTCTCTGCTGTCCAGTTCTCTCTGAGGAGACTCTCTGCTATGCTCAGGCCTAACCTAAGTCTCCCCATTCTTCAATCTTCACCCTCTTCTCCACTATCCTCCCCCACCAGCATTCAAAATGCCAAGTCCTTTCCATCTTATAAACACCTTTTTTGGAACTTCTTAGCTCATTAACAGCAGGAACTTTTTAAAAAATAGGGTCTTACTAAATAGCCCAGGCTGGCCTGACTTTGAACTCACAATCTGCCCGCCTCAGCATTCTGAATGCTGGGATCACAGGAGTGCACCACATCTGCTCAGAAAAAAATTTTTTTTAGTACTGGGATTTGAACTCAGGACTTCCTTTGTGTTAGGCAGACACAATACTACTTGAGCCATACCTCCAGTTTTGCAATCATCCTATTTATGCCTCCCACATGGCTGGGATGACAGGTGCGCACCACCACACCCAGCTTTTTGGTTGAGATGGGGTCTCATTAACTTTTGGACCAGGCTGCCCTTGTACCTCCATCTTCTAGATCTCTGCCTCCTGAGTAGCTGGGGTTACAGGTATGAGCCACCTCACCTGGCTAGATTTTTTTTTTCCTGCAGCAGTACTGGAGTGTGAACTCAGGGCTTTACACTTTTGAGATAGACACTCTACCACATCAGTCACACCTCCAGCCCTAGAAATTATGTTTTAATCAATGCCCAGACATTCTCAAAAGATCCTCCCACTCACTCACTAACCCCCTATAATCTGTCTTGTCTCAGGCCACTGAAACTGCTCTTACTCACCACAATCTCAGGGACACCTCACAGGCCTTATCTGACTTCAGTGCAGTTTTTTCTTTTTTGCACAACTTTGATGGCTGCTGCCCAGCCCTTCTCTAAACACTAACCTCCCTGTCGTGACCTTGGGGAAGGGGAACGAACTCTCTTCACTATCTAGCCACATCCGTGACAGATTGGGGGCCTAGGAGAAACGGGCTTCCTTTTCTCTTTTTTATTTGCAGCACTGGGAATTAAACTCAGGACCCCACCACTTGCTAGGTAGGTACCCTACCACTTGAGCCATTCCAACAGCCTGGGGCTGACTTTGAACTGCAATCCTCCTGATCTGTCTCCTGAGTAGCTAGGATTACAGGCACAAGCTACAGGCACCCAGCTAGGGATCTTCCTTTTCTCACACCACTGTATTTTGGCCTCATTAATGTTTGACTCCCATACCCTCCTGGAGCTCCATACCTACTTGCACCTCCTGTGGCTATCTCCAGGCACCTGCCCTGCTGCTTCTGTCCTTATGGTGCAAGCACCATCTATTCTGGTTCTACAGCCGAATTTGCGTCATCACTACAATGCGATTCTTGCTGGAATGTAAGGATCATCTTCCAGATCTGTTTGATTACACATCTTCTTTACTTCTTAGCCACTCCCTCCAGAATTGTCTGCTTTGCTCTGACTTCTGCCACCACCCCAGCTCAGACCACTAGCACCTCTTGTTTGCAGTGTGTACCTCTTGGAATTTTTCTTGTCCCCCCTGGAAACAGGTGGTGGTCTTGCTAGAATTTGAGTGTGCTTGCCACCCCGAGTTTCTACAGCCTTCCTCTCAAGCCCATCTGTCTCACTGCGGTGAACCAGCCTCTCTTCCCCTCCTCTCTTCCCCCCAACACACTCCTTGGCTTGGGCATCCTGAACTTCCTTCCACTCTTCACATAAGCCAGACTGTCCTTTTCCTCTTCACAAGCTGCTCCCTCTCATCCTCAGGACTCAACCAATGCTCCTTTCTCACAGAAAACTCTGCCTGAGCCCCTAGCTCCCAAAACATCTGATACTGTAACTGCCATTAAACCGGTTGTTTCTGCTGGTGTGGACTCTGAGAGTAGACATGTGGCTACTGTGTTCACAGCTGGATTCCCCAGCACTACATCGTGCCAGAAATATATGTGTTTGAAAGATGATCAAAGAATTAAGCAACGTTCCCTGAAGTTTACACAGCCTAGTAATCCACACAAGATTCAGACCAGATAGATTCCTTCATAGGTGGGGGAACGGGTTGTGTGTTGGGTGAATTAGAGTCTGTGAAGAGTTTGTTAAAGAGAACAACCAAAGCCGTCTCGAAGCTACTTCTAACATGCATCACATATTGAAAGGCAGCTATTTATTGTGCGTCTTGGACTCTTCAGGCAATGAAAATGGAGTGAGGGTGGAGGGAGCCAAAACAGGCCGGCCTTACCTTCATGTTGTCAGGGGGGTCTCCTTGGCCTGTAGTCGCACAAACAAATATCACCAGGGGCTCCCTAATCAGATTCGCCTCAATAAAAAGACACAGATATAAGGTCTCTGACTGCCATGATCTCATCCTCCCGACACTTGGCTCCCTCCTGCACCAGGGTGATAGCACAAGGGGTTTGGGGGCGCACTCCCAGCGGCCGGCCGGCCTGCCTTTCTCTCTTAGGCCCCACTCTAGCGCCAAGCCTCCCTTTCCCCTAAATCCGCCAGGAGCGAAGGGCTGCGCTAGACTAACCGCGACGCCTTCGGGTGGGAAGGTCTCCGCTCAGACCCCGGAGCCTCACCACCGCGTAGGAGTCCAGAGCCTGCACGTGGCAACCCAGCCGCCGGCGCAGGGCCTCACGGCCCAGCCTCTCCGCCACATCCTGGGCCGTGCCTGTCTGGCTTCCGAACAGCACCAAGAGCTGCGGGCTTGGCATCGCTGCGCGGCGAGAAGCAGGGCATCAGACGCCCGCCAATTGCCTGTCTCGTGCCTACTTCCGCCTTCCGCCGTCGACCGGAAGTGACGCGATCTGGCCGCGCCAGTGGGGCATGGCGTCCGGGCGCGCTGGGCGTCTGCGGGCGTCCAGTGCTGGGTCCCGGGCCGGAGCCGGAAGATCGGCGGCACGCCGGAGCTGGGAGCCCGGGCCAGCGAGGCCGCTCGCTGCCTTGCGCTCGCAGCGGCGGCGGCAGGCTCCGGCCAGGCCCGCGGACAGAGGGGGCGCGGCCCCGTGGTGGGCGCGCTCGGCCGGGCCCGGGCCCGGGCCCGCGCTCCGCCGGCGCGATGCTCTTCTCGCTGCGGGAACTGGTGCAGTGGCTGGGTTTCGCCACCTTCGAGATCTTTGTGCACCTGTTAGCCCTGTTGGTGTTCTCCGTGCTGCTGGCACTGCGAGTGGATGGCCTGGCTCCGGGCCTCTCCTGGTGGAACGTGTTCGTGCCCTTCTTTGCGGCTGACGGGCTCAGCACCTACTTCACCACCATCGTGTCCGTGCGCCTCTTCCAAGACGGGGAGAAGCGGCTGGCTGTGTTGCGCCTCTTCTGGGTTCTCACGGTACTTAGCCTCAAGTTCGTCTTTGAGATGCTGCTGTGCCAGAAGCTGGTGGAGCAGACTCGAGAGCTCTGGTTTGGCTTGATCACGTCTCCAGTCTTCATTCTCCTGCAGCTGCTCATGATCCGCGCCTGTCGCGTCAACTAGCCTCGCTCAGGGGCGGGAGAGGCAGCGGTGCACCTCTGGAGCTCTGAAGCGCCGGACCTCCAGCCCAGGCCCGGCTTGCGCCACACCGAAGGAGATGACTCCATCTGAAGGTGGTGCCTGCTTGTGCCCAGCTGACTGCCCAGCTTTCTCTGTGCCAGTCATGTCTGAGATTGTTTCCTCAGCAGGGCTTGAAAGAGCAGCCTTGATCCTTGAAATGTATTTGCTGTTATTCATGCTTTGAATAGCTAATCCTGAATTGAGGTTCTGAGGGCCTCAGGCCAGACAGTCTTGAACTCTGACATTGGAAACTGCGTGTTGGTAAAATATTCCAGTGGGCCCTGAGTATTTCCCATGGATCTTAGGGATGTACTCCTTTACAAAGTCAATAAAGCTGGACTCAGGGATTTTTTGTCTAGCCAGCAGCATTGACCTAATTGCTTACTAGTCCATCCATCCAGGCGCCTTCCTTAGGTGACTGAGATCTGAAAATGTAAGGTTGTTTCTATCTCCTCTCCTATGCCATGGGGGGAATGGCCCTTTCTTTATTCTAGCCAGGCAGAGACAGGTGAATGTCGAATAAGAGCATGGTTAGGACCTTATCTGGATAGATGCTACCTGAGGAAAGAAATCTGGTGTCAAGGCCTTGCTTGACTTCCTATCTCAGCATACTGTAGTTTCTCCAGCTTTTCTAACACCTTGTGACAGGCACCTTTAGTGCATCTGAGACAGATTTAGGCCTCCCTAAGGAACCAAAGCCAGAACAGCTGCTCTGATGCTCATGGGCATGGAGACCTACAAAGGGAAGCTTTGAACAACCCAGGTTTGTTGACATGAGGTTTTTGGTTTCATGCCAGTTAGATGCCAAATGAGAATATTTGCTGAGATGAAAATAAAATAAGAGAATGTTTGCCTGAATTGAGCACTGGTGCCTGTGCTTCTCCAGCTTTGAATCACATGAATACTGACACTCTCCCAGCCATGTGAAGTAATTAGTTACAGAGTTGGGGTTGTAGGTGGACCAAAAAGTGTGGGTAGAACATAATGGGTGGTGGGAACTACTTTTGGAGAATCCCTGTTTCTCGCTTTAGGAGATGGTTAACTTGTACCACACTCCCTAGGAGGTAGACCATGGTCTAAATCTGAGTTGAGCACTTGTTAAATAGTTTACATGACACCAAGGCCCTTGGCTTCTTGCCGGTATGTAGTTACTAGTAAGCCTTGAGCTCTGGTGCCCTGTAGAGCACCAATGGCAAATGATTGCCTGAGGCCTGCTTTTTTGTTTAGTTTTGTTTCTTTTTGAGGCAGGGTCTCACTTTCCTCCTGCCTCAGCCTGTGCTGAGGAGGGATTACAGGTATCTGCAGCCACACCTGGCATATGAGGTATGTTTTTGTATGGCCCATAAGCTAAGGATGGTTTTAGATTTTTAAAGGAGTAAAAACAAAGATGATGCGGGCCCCGGGCAAATAGTTCTTGAGACACTATCTCAAAAAAAAAAAAAAAACCATCAAAAAATAAGATGATGCCACAATGTCTTCCCAAGTGACTGTTAAAAAAACAAACTCTCCAGGGCCAGATGTGGTGGCATATGATCTGGAAGATGGTGGTTTGAGGCCAGCCCAGACAAAAAGGTTAGTGAAATTCCCATCAATCAGTAAAGCAGCCATGGTGGTGCACATCTGTAATCCCAGCTTTGAGGGAGGTGGGCTTGGGAAGTGGTTCAAGTAGTAGAGCACCTGCTTAGCAAGCATGAGGCCCTGAGTTCAAACTGTAGTACCACCAAAAAAAAAAAAAAGTGCTGATAGAAAAACCAGCTATGACACTGAAAATGTGGTATCTATACACAATGGAATTTTATGCAGCCATGAAGAAGAACGAAATGTTATCATTCGCTGGTAAATGGATGGAATTGGAGAACATCATTCTGAGTGAGGTTAGCCTGGCCCAAAAGACCAAAAATCGTATGTTCTCCCTCATATGTGGACATTAGATCAAGGGAAAACACAACAAGGGGATTGGACTATAAGCACATGATAAAAGCGAGAGCACACAAGGGAGGGGTGAGGATAGGTAAGACACCTAAAAAACTAGCTAGCATTTGTTGCCCTTAACACAGAGAAACTAAAGCAGATACCTTAAAGCAACTGAGGCCAATAGGAAAAGGGGACCAGGTACTAGAGAAAAGGTGAGATCAAAAAGAATTAACCTAGAAGGTAACACCCACGCACAGGAAATCAATGTGAGTCAATGCCCTGTATAGCTATCCTTATCTCAACCAGCAAAACCCCTTGTTCCTTCCTATTATTGCTTATACTCTCTCTACAACAAAATTAGAAATAAGGGCAAAATAGTTTCTGCTGGGTATTGAGGGGGGAGGGAGGGGCGGAGTGGTGGTAAGGGAGGGGGTGGGGGCAGGGGGGAGAAAGGAACCAAGCCTTGTATGCACATATGAATAATAAAAGAAAAATGAAAAAAAAAATTCACCTAACAGCAAAAAAAAAAAAAAAAAAAACAGCTATGAGGGAGGTATAGGTAAGTGGTCCAGAGCAAAAAAGTAAAAATGTGACCTATCTGAAAAATAATTAAAAGCAAACAGGTCTGGAAGTGTGGCTCAAGTGGTAGAGCCCAGGCCTCGAAACCCTGAGGTCAAACCCCAGTTCCAAAAACAAAAAAGCCCTCCAAAAGAAGAACAACAAAAGGTAAACGTGTGACGAAGCAGATGTGGCATGCAGATTTCAGGGTCCCTCTGCCTCAGCACTTTGAGCTCTTTGGATTGGGTCATTCTTTATTGTGGGTGTAGGAGGGACTGAATTGAGGATGAGGATGTTCAGCGGTGTCACTGGACTGTTACCCACTTCATGCCACTTGCACCCTTGACTGATGACAACCAAAGGTTATCCCAACAGTGCCAAGTCCCCTGGGGGACAAAATTGTCTTCATTGAGATCTATTGGGCTAAAACACTTATTGTCTGATCATTGCGGAACACGTGTGCTAACCTCTGCACCAGCACAGAAGGTTGGCTAACTGTGTGAACTTTGTGCCTCCTTTGTCTAGGATGGTTGTTTAGTGTCAACCTTTGAGACACTGAGTTGGACATAGGGCTGGAAGTGTAGCTCAAATGGTAGAGTACCTGTGTAGCAAGCAGAGGCCCTGAGTTCAAACACGAGTGTCAAAAAAAAAAAAAAAAGAAATGTTTGATTTACCCCACAGCTACAAAAATGGCATAACTTTTGTCAAAGCAAGATGAAATCTGAACTTTGAAGTAGTTTTCTTTTGTAATGTTATTTTTAGATTTTGTGTTTTGGTAGCATGGAATTGGGCATGCTGCCATGCCCAAGTAAACTGTGGTAGTTTACTCCTATAGTCCCAGCACTCCTGAGGCTGAGGCAGGGGGATAGTTCCCAGACCACCTTGGGCTATATAACAGGACCCTGTCTCAAAAATAAAAAAAATGAGCAAAAGAGACTTCCTTTGGAAAGGTGATTTGAGGAGGAATCTGGAAGGCTGAAATCCAGTTTCTTTTCTCCAGCTTAGTGGAATGGGCAAGGGTGTAAGGCAGAGTTACGGTAGTGGCAGCTGCAGACTGCCGAGGGGCCTAGAAGCCAAGAAGGGGCACCTCTAGGCTAAAACCTGCTGTGTGTTTGGAGAGAGCCAGGTGCCATCGAAGCAGAGTCCCTGAAAGGCAGGTTATGTGGAGGCAGCAGTGCCAATACTGAGCCGGGTGCTGACTGCAGGTTAGGTGCCTCAGGATGGCTTCTCTGTCCCCCAATTTCCTGTTCCCATGGCTCCAAGCAATCTTACTGTGTGTCTGTGTGTTGGACCCTAGGCAGCCCTCCCCAGAGAAAGAAACCTCGGGCTTCTTCTTTTTTTTTTTTCATTTTTCTTTTATTATTTATATGTGCATACAAGGCTTGGTTCATTTCTCCCCGCTGCCCCCATCGGGCTTCTTCAAGACCTGTCAGCTGGGAGGCCCATGGATCTGTGCCCCGCCCCCAGCCTTGGAGGTGGGGGGCTAAAAATAAGGGGGGTTGCTGAGAGGTCGGATGCCTTCTGGGACCCATCTCTACTCTGGCTTTTGCGCTTTTCTGCATCAGAGCGTCCTAAACATGCAAGCGAGGCCCCTCCCGTGGTGCCTCCTCGAAGATTGGCCCTACGCAGGTGGATGCTGGGTGGGGCCGCGGTTGGCAAGGTGTGTCCAAGAGGGTCACACACACAGACTGTGGCTGAGTCACAGATTTGCGAGCCCACAAAAACCGAGGTGCCCGAGAAACCGATCCTTAGGTTTGGGCGGGTCGAACCCCAGGTGGAAGGCCGGTGTAGCTTGCGCCCGTCCACAGGAGCGGGGAACAGGAGGGGTGAGTGCGGGCGCCCCAGGTCCCGCCAAGGTCACCCGGGGCTTAGGGCGCAGGGGTCCACCTGGCAGCGCCCCGCCCAGAAGCGCCGGGAGCCCGGAGCGCAGAGGCGGAAGTAGGAGCCGTCAGGGAGTAGCGCGAGGGCTGGGGCGCCGAACATGGCCCAATGAGCCAGATGTAGGGCGGGGTCCAGGCGAGCGCTCTCCAGTCAGCAGGGCCGCTGGCCTCTCCGCCGGCTATACGCGGGGCGATGCGGCGCGGGGCGGGTCGAAGCGCGCTAGCCCAATGGGTGGTTGCCTGGGGGGGCGTGGCGCGAAGGCCGGCGCGCCCAGTGTAGGTCGCCGCTAGTCTGCCTGTCCGCGCCGTCCTGTCGGCGGCCGTATCCGCAGCATGGCCGGCCTGGGGCGTCCGAGCCCGGGGCCGCGCTCTGCGATGCCCGCCTGGAAGCGGGAGATTCTCGAGAGGAGGCGGGCCAAGCTGGCTGCCCTGGGTGCGGGCCCGGGGTCCGGCGCGGCGCCCGCGGGACCAACAGAGCGCCTGGTGCTGGCCGACAGCCTGGGCCCACTGCGGGAGAACCCGTTCATGAAGCTCGAGTCGGAGCGGCGGCGCGGGGCGCGACCAGCTCAGCAGCTGCTGGAGCTGTACCGCCGCGTGCCGGGCGTGCGCACCATCCGTGCAGACAACATCCTGATTATCGAGTCGGCGCCCGGCTTCCCTCCCGCCGAGCCGCCCGCCGCCGGCATCCGCGCCGCCGAGGTGGTGGTGTACGAGACGCCGCAGCCGGGCCGCGTCAGCCGCCTGCTGGAGAAGTTCGACCCGCCCGCCGCGCCGCGCCGCCGCGGGAGTCCCGAGCGCGCTCGCCCCGCGCCGCCGCAGCAACCGTCGCCGCTCCCCATGGCGCCCGCGCCCACCGCCCCGCGCGCACCTACCCACCGGCCCGCGGCTTCCGCTCCGCCGGGCCTCCCCGCTCCGCCCGCGCCCTCTGCTTCTCCTGCGCCCCCAACCACGCGCGCGGGCCAGCGCACCACCTGCTGCGAGCCGGGGCACCTCGGCGGCGGGCCGGACTCCGGGACCCGACGCAACGACTTCCTGCAGAAGACCGGCAGCAACTCCTTCACTGTCCACCCCCGGGGCCTGCACCGCGGCGCGGGCGCTCGCCCGCTCTCCAACGGGCCCGCGGCCTCCGAGCCCCGTGCCGGCCCTGCCAACGGGCTCGCGGGCTCCCCGCCTGTGCCCGGCGAGTGGAAGCCAAAGGTGGAGTCGGGGAAACCCTCCCTCCACCCGCCCCCCAGTCCCGGGACCCCGAGTGCCACTCCAGTCGCGTCCCCTACCTTGCCGGCGCCCAGCCCTGCCAGTGCCACTCCCAGCCAGCGCCAGTGGGTCTCCGCTGCTACCAGCGCCAATGATTCCTTCGAGATAAGGCCGGCCCCCAAGCCAGACCTGCAGACTATTCCCATGGGGGACCTCCAGGCCCGGGCCCTGGCCAGCCTCCGCGTGAACTCCCGCAATTCATTCCTGTTCATTCCCAAGCGCAAAGCTTCCGGGAACCCTCCTGCCGGGGGGAGGCAGTCAGCCGAGCTGCCAAAGAGAGAGGTGGACTGGGCCTCTCAGGGCCAGGAGCTCGGAGCCCAGCTGGTGTGTGGAGCTGAGGGTGCACCTGCCCTTGGGAGGAGCCCCTTGGGGACCCAGGTTCAGTGGGCAGTTAAGGAAGGCAACTGTCCCCGACCAGCCACTGCTCTCACAGATAGGGCAGTTAGATGGCAGAGACCATCCTCACCTCCCCCATTCCTTCCCGCCACTGCTGAAGCTGAGCCTGCTGAGGGCTTGGGGATTTCCAGCTTGGCCAAGAATGGCCAGGAGCCTGGGAGGCCAGGACTGCCTGTCACATTCATTGATGAGGTGGACTCAGAGGAGGAGGCACCCCCCCAAGAAGCCAAATTGCCCTGCTCAGGGGTTGGTGCAACTCCCCAGTACCATCTGCATCCTGCCAGACCCGGGCATACCTCAGAGCTCCAGCACCGAGGCAGCAATACCTTCACAGTGGTGCCTAAGAGGAAGCCAGGGGCCTTTCAAGAACCACACTTCAGTCAGACCAACGGGGAGCCCCAGCCACAGAAGCCCGAGGAAGAGGAGGCTGGTAGCCTCTCAGGACCCCATGCTGCCTTGGAGAACACCCTGAAGAAGCGCTACCCCACCGTGCATGAGATCGAGGTGATTGGTGGCTATCTCGCCCTGCAGAAGTCCTGCCTCACCAAGGCTGGCTCCTCAAGAAAGAAGGTCAGTAGTGGGGGCAGGGCAGTAGCAGAGCTGTGGATATAGTGTGAGCCCTGGTCCCAGGTCACCTGGCCTGGCAGAGGAGGCTTTCTACATGGACGAGAGGAGAACTGGGGCTTTGTGACTGTGCCAGATCCAGGGCCCTCACAGAGCCCTGATGGCTCAGGGCTGGCAGACAGCTGGGCCTGCTATGTACCTTGAAAAGCTGGAGGAGAGGACTGGCCAGGTAGTGCAGAACCTCCTGCCAGTTCTTGTGGACCCATTTGGAATCAGTTGGGCAGGCTTGTTCTGTTGTAGAGAAGCATTCTGGACCTGTTGACTGCCCTGGCTCTGGCTTTAAGGGTTGCCTGGTATGGTCCTGTAGAGCCCTGTCTTGTGCAGGTAGTCAGAGCCAGGAAGTAAAGAGGGTGGGGGGGGGGGAGAAACCCAATGATATCCATGTATCTAGATCCCCACCTGGAGGTCAGCCTTGGTAGAGGGGGACAGCCTGTGAATCATTTGGAGAGGCTCTCATCTTCACAGAAGGCACAGAGCCCAAAGCTTGTTAGGCCCTGGCTTTGTGCAAGCATGGATTGAGCACTGAGGCTGTGTGCCAGCCTTGGGCAGAGAGACACAACTACAGCCATTCTGGGCTCACAGCTGGCTAGGCAGGTGAGCCACACTTCCTGAACAGCTCTGGCTAGTGGCCTGGAACCCTCTGGGCACAAGAAAAGTGTTTCTCAGATTCTTCCTGGTTGTTCCAGGGTCTGGTTTGTCCCCTGGGGCAAATTCCAAGGCCAGTCCCACATGACTCTGTCAGCTGGTACAAGGCAGGTGTGTCTTTCCCTGGTACTGAGATGGCGCCTGAGGCGTCCACTCCAGAGGGCAGTAAGAGTGTAGGCTCCACCAGGCCACCTTTCCCTCTAGCCTCAATTTCCTTAAGGTATCAGGGTGGTGACTGTGCCTTGTGGCTCCCTGTAATGAGATCTGCCATCTTCTCTGTTTTGTTTTTCCTTTCTTTTCTACCTATCTTTGTATCTATCTGTTTATTTCTTGGCAATACTGAGGTTTTGAACTTGGGTTCTTATGCTTGGTATTTTGCTTCCTGTGGTAGGTTGGCCTTGGCATTGAGCCTCCTGCCTGTACCTTACTTCTCACCTTGGGGTAGTGCAGTAGCCCTCCTGCTGCCTCCATCTGGTATGTCAGGCATACATGATGAGCTCACTCTGTGTGTGTTGGGTTGGGGAGGGGATTCAGGGCTCTAATACCCTTTTCGTGTGACATGGGGCATATATCTCCCACTCTCACCCATGCTGTTTGCCCTGAGTCCTTGGTGCTGAGGCCAATCCAGCCCCGCCGCCAACCCCTCTTGTCTGCTCCTCCCTCCCTTACTTCCTGATTCTGATCTTGGCTACTATAAGGTGGTCCCTTCCTATGTTTGTCCCAAAAATAGACATGATGACAGCTCCCTCTTGTGGATGAGAAGACTGAGGTGTGAGAAGGCTGGGGCAGTAGCTGAGTTCAGGTTTCTGTTTCCAGAGCCCTGCCCCTAACCTGGGTTGCTCTTCCACTATGAACTTGGCTTCTTCCTGGGTCTTGAGGGCTGCTGCTGAGAGCAGCATTGGGGTCACTCATGGCTGGGCTGGAGTGAGAGAGCATGACCAGGCCCAAGGACTTGAACAAGGAGATGAACAAGTCATGGGAAGTGGGGTGGAGACTGAGAAGATGTCCTGGCCATCAGCCTTGTCCTCCCCCTAGTCTGTGCCAGCTTGAAGGGTTGGGGTCCAGATGGATAATGCCTGTTACGGCCAAGTGGCTTCAGCAGGACCCTCCTAGAGCAGCACAACCTGCTGGTTGTGATGTCCTGCCTGTGCATGCACCAGCTGCCTTGCCCAGCAAGAGCCAGAATGCCTGTGGGAGGGGACAGGGCATGAGGCTGCCCAGTCTTTCAGAGCAGTGTGCAGGATGGGGCCCTCATATGCTCCATCTTTTCCATTCCATCCCCACTGCCTGCAGCCTTTGAGCACCTCATGGTGAGGGGCAAAGGATGCTCCTTCTGGCTGCTCCTGCAGCCCTGGCTTTGACTTTGGCACCAAAGACTGGAGCTCCAGTCAGCCTTTGGTTGGGATATTTGCCTCCTTCTTCCTGGGGAAGTGAGTATCCTAGGGTACAGGGCCCAGAGGACCTTGGGACTGCTTGCTTTGGTTCCCTGACTGGGTGATCCCAGGGTCGTGGTGGAAGTGCTGTGGGTTTCCCAGGGGGCAGGTGAGGAGCACATCTTTTTTTGTTTATTTTCAGTACTGGGGCTTGAACTCAGGGCCTACATCTTGGGTCATTCCACCAGTCCTTTTTGTATTAGGTATTTTTGAGATAGGGTGTCTTGAACTATTAGCCCGGGCTGGCTTCGAGCTGCGATCTTTCTGATAAGAATTATAGGCGTGAGCCACCAGCACTCAGCTGAGGAGTGTAGTAGGCCATTTGGGCAGCAAATGTGTGTGGGGAGCCTGTCCTGAACTGGTAGCTTAGCAGAAGATGTCATGCCCTCATCTGGCCTCAGAGGGCTGAAGTCCTGCTCTGGATGGTGGGGTTAGCCACCCTGGACAGGGTTAGCAAAGGGTGTCCACCCTAGACTCAGGGCCGAGAGCTGTACTCAGTCTGCCTGACTGGAGGTGTGTGTTCAGCAGGGCCCTACCCCCAACTCCCCTATATACATTTGCCTGCTCCCCAACCTTCATGCAGTCCCCAGCCAAAGTTCCCTCAAGTGACAGGACACTAGACCAGGGCGCCCGACTGGGATGTCCACAGCTGCCTTCTCTGAGTCGGTTTCCATTTGTATTACCTGTTGGCAAAATGGACCGATGCCCTGCCTCTCCCTTCATAGCCAAGTTTCAGACTGACTGCTATAGGGTGTTGCAGCCACACACCCCTGCTGTTTTCCTGGCAGGTGGAGGTGTCCTTTCACCCCTCCTCACACCTGCCTCCCTCGGGACTGGGCGCTGTCAGGCTCTCATCTTTGTGGAGTACCACCTGTCCTGGCTCCTACCTGTCTGGCTGCTTCTTCCTCTCTCTACTTCCTGGTTCTCTGCCCCACCTGAGCATGTCAGTGTCCTCAGGGTTTGGTCCTTCACACCCAAGGCCTCCCACCCTCTCCTTCAGTGTAACCTTCACCCTACATTTTGTGGCTTGGTTGTGGCCCTTAACCTAGCTCCCATCTGTGGACCCGAGGTGTGGCCTCTCATCTGTTCTTCCTAGTGACACCACCTCCCACCAGCCTGGACTCTTGAACCTGGCTGGCACTCTTCCTGCCTTCCTATCCCCACAGGATGGAGCTCCACAGTCTCCTTTCACCTTTTATTTTCTTCTAGCCCTCGCTTCCCCAACCTTTCTCATGGGTGCCCCTATATGTTCTTCCTGGAGCTAGGGATCTCAGTGATGGCCTGGACCCTGCTCTAGGCAGTCTCCCCACTGGCAGAGGGTCTTCTCTGGGCTGGGGACTGAATTTGAGGGAGAAGGCAGCTGTGGACATTCCAGCTGGGTGGTCCTGGTCTAGTGTCGTTGTCACTTGAGGGAACTTTGGCTGGGGACTGCATGAGGGATGGGAAGCAGGCAAGTGTATGTAGGGGAGTTGGAGGGAGGGTCCGGCTGAACACACACCTCCACTCAGGCAGACTGAGTACAGCTATCAGCCCTGAGTCCAGGGTGGACGTCTTTTAGGTAACCCAAGCTGGGTGTGCACAGGCAGAGCAGGTTAAGAGAGAACAAAAGGGCCCTGTGAAAGCCAGAGATTCCACTGCCATCTGCCTGCCATGCTGGGTGCAATGGGCAAAGTCCTCCAGACAATGGTGACAGGGTGTATACAGCACCAGTCCCTGGCCACACTCCCCACCCATCCCATCTGTCAGCCTGGGTTCTGGAGGCTATGCTCCAGCCCTGGCAGCCTGAGTCACAAGGCGTCCTGTGACCCGTTGGCCTGTGTTTTGAGGGGGAGGAAGGCCTGTGAGGCCCATACACTAGCCCAGCAGAAGAGACAAGGAAGGCAAGGATGACTGGGCCCCAGCTGGGGCAGACAGTGGCCCATGAGCCTCCCCCCACCCCAGCCCAGCCAGGCTGTGCCAGGCTCAGTGCCCATGTGCACCCAACCTCCTTGCTAGGAGTTGGTCATGCGGACTAACGAGGGCATGCTAATCCGGGTCCTGGCAGCTGGTCTTTCCTGTGCTCTCAGCAGAGGGGGATGGGCCTAGAGGCAACCCTGTTCACTGCAGGGCCTTAGGGCAGGAGGCCCCAGCCTATCAGGCCCACCCTGCCTTGAGCTGCAATTGGGGTATCTGGGAGAACCAGGTGACACCCCAAGCTGGATGGCAGTGGGTGCCTGTGGCCTCAGGTGGCTACCTCCATCCTGGCCTCTGCCCTGCCCCAACTCCCATGGGACCATAGCTGGAGGATTGATTGGGCCTTGGGGGCAGGGCACCTTGCCTTCATATGGCAAGAGTGGACATCTTGCTCCTTGTTTGGTCTGACCCAGGTAGTTCCTGTCTGCTCGTATTTCTAACCACTCATCTGTGCAGGGGATGGGAGCAATAGCTGAGTGATCTGAGAGGTCTTTGTACCAGTATACTGAGATGGTGAAGCTAGCTAAAGCTCAAAGAGTGGCCCCTCCTCCAGCCCTGGGAGGTGACACTCACAGTGGGGAGGGGCCCAGTGTGGCAGAGAGCAGGAGGCAAAAGTGCCATTATTATGGACTTTGGCTCACAGGCAGGGCCTCCTGCACCTGATGGGCTCTTGCAGGTTCCCTGTGGCCATGCCAGTCTCCCTCTGCTGCCTCAGGGTGAGCCCGCCCTCTTACCAAGCGACTCTCCCATCCTCCTGGGCCTGGGCTGCCTCCATTCTTTACCTTCAGCTCCTTCCAAGGGAGGAGGGGGAACTTGAGCTGGCTGCTGGTGTACTGTGCCCAGGAGTTTAATATTTCGAGTCCCAGCAAGACTGCTCCCATCTGCTGCAGGCGGGTAGCTACTCATATTCATTACTGACCCATCAGGTCCAGGCCGGGCACAGCTGAGCAGGCCTGGGGGAGCTCAGCAGTGATGGGAGTTGAGTCCCCACCCCGCAAGGCCCAGGTGGCAAATAGGAAGATCCTGACCAAAGGTCCCCACAGCCCTCTGCTCCTCCCTGCCCCTTCTGCCTCTCAGAAACAGCAGCCTAGGCCACTAGGAGAGGAGAGAATTTGCTTGGATATGAAATTGTGGAGCCTATGAGGTGGGGGTCACCGATGGGGTCACTAGTACCCCATGCTGTATGGAAGTGGGACTTCTCATTTGGCCTGTAAAATGGGTAATGGTGCCACCTTTCCAGCTGCCAGTCCCTCAAGGGGCCCTTGGCAATGTGGTGGTCTTGCTCAGCAGGACCATCCAAGATTGTTCAGGTGCCCAGTAGACCAGGACATGAACATGGCTTTAGAAGCTGCTGCAGGCCAAGGGTGGAGGGAATGGGTGGGGCCTGCAGCTCCAGGGTAGAGGGGTCTTTTCCCTCACCTCAGAGTCTCTGAAGGGCTGATGGTGATGATCCCAGCATCACTGTGCTTACCCCAGCTGCGGGGTCCCTGCTGATGTGTCTCTTACTCCCAGATGAAGATCTCCTTCAATGACAAGAGCCTGCAGACAACATTTGAGTATCCTTCTGAGAGCTCCCTGGTGCAGGAGGAAGAGGCAGAGGAGGAAGAGGAGGAGGAGGAAGGGGAGGAGGGAGAAGAGGAAGAGGAGCAGCCCAGCTCAGAGAAGCCCTTTGCCCTCTTCCTGCCCCGGGCCACATTTGTGAGCAGCGTGGGGCCTGAGAACCCCTGGCTGCCAGATGGCAGCTCAGGTGAGTGCCCATCTGTTGGGATGGGTAGCGTGAGAGGAAGTGGAGCCTGGGCCACATATCCATGGCCTGTGCTTCTTGGCTCACAGGCCTGTCCAGCTATACTCCAAAACACTCCATGGCCTTCAGCAAGTGGCAGGAGCAGACGCTGATGCAAGCTCCAAGTGAAGTGGAACCACCACTGAAGGAGATCATGGTGAGCCGGGCAGAGCAGGGGGTGGATACCCACAACAAGAGCTGTCGGTTGGGAGGAGGGAGGCTAATGACTGGACAGGCCCCAATGATTACATTTTGTCTTTTTTCTCAGCTCACACCTGCCAGTCAGAATGATCTTTCAGACTTCCGCAGTGAGCCAGCCCTCTATTTCTGAGCCCCTCCCGCCCCCCAGTGGTGCTAGGACGGCCAAGTCTGAGCCACTAGGATGGTGGTTCTGAGAGCCAGGCAGGGCTCTCTCATTCTGCACCCTTTTCTACCTGGCTGTGCTCCACTCTTCTTTCCTACATGTGGCCTGCCATTGCAGCCAGGTCTACCTGATCTGTTTGTAGGGTCCAAGGGAAAATGGAGGTGGGAAACTGCCTGGGGCCAGGGTGGGGGTGCGGGTGTCGAGGTCCATTCATAGTGGCCTATCTGTGACCAGGTGAGGGCCTGAGCAGATTCTGCACCAGATTGCCCTCTGTCCTGCCACCGAGTCTGTTTCCCAGCCCACCTTCTGTGCCATCTGTTGCTAGGCATGTCTGGGGTGGGGGCTGTTCTTTGCAGGCCTCCAAGCATGTTCCTCCCCACCCCTGCAATTCTACCACGGTGGAACTTGGCCTACCATTTGTGATAGATGGCAGGTTTTTTCTTGCCTCTGTTGGACTTAATAAAACTGCACTGGACAAGGCTGCCTCTGCCTCTCCTGTATGATCCTCAGGGCATGAGATGAGGAGCCAGCTTGGGCACCTGTGTCAAGGAGTATGAGAAGTCACCCTATCTGTCTTCCTTGCATCTTGAGGTCTTGCTGGTCCAGGTGCTTGCCCCCACCACAAAGCTGGCACTGGGAGGTGGGAGCTGAGCTTACTGTCTAGGGTCTGGAATTCCTTGACATAGGGGTCTAGACCCCAGGTAGAAGGGTAAGCGTTGCAGTTAGGTCTGAAGTAACGTTGCCAAGAGGCCAGGAGTCATGGAAGAAATCAAGAGCAGGGCACAATATGCTACATAGAAGTGAAGGTGGGTAGAGCCTTGGGGATCTTGTCTCATCTGGCTTAGAAGCCCCTTGATACAGGTGTTTGAAGCAAGGCTTTGGTAGCTCACTGCTCCCAAGAGGTTAGCTACTCAACTGGGAGCAGCCAGTGCTGCTCTGAGACATGCTCTTAGCTGCCTGGGCAGCCAAAGTGCAGAGCTGGGACCATCTACAGCCCACTGGCAAAACCTGAGACACTGAACACAGATGTCTTTTCCTCCTGGAGAGTTGAATCCAAGAACAGAGATGTGTCTGGCCAGGCTCAAGAGGAAGGAGAGTTTGGTGTGGTTCTCTAGGAAGAGAGAACCTAACTTTCTCTGGACCCTCTTGACCAACATGTTTCTGTCCAGCCCCTGGGCAGCTATGGGAACTCCACAGAGGCTGACAAGAGGGCAGCACCCTTGGGCATAGGGAAAAACAGAGGTGGGCAATGCCTTGTACATGGCTGGGGAAGGAAACCATGCCCTGGCAGCAACCGTGGTGCATTAGGCCAAGCAGAACCTGGCACTGAGGGGTGGTGTGGGGTGTGAAGCCCCCAAGTCTTTGCTGAGAGAGACCTGGCCCAGAGTGGCTGGTGTGCCCTCAGTAGCCACCATCTGTCTCTGGGCCAGGCTCTCGGCTGGGCACCAGGGTGTAGCAGAGCACCTAGAGGGTGGGCTGTGAGCTAGAGTTGGGGAGAGGAGCCCTACTGGGAGAGCTGTGGGCTAGAGCTGGCCTCACAAGGTGGGGTAGCCTCAGCTCTGTGTCCCCAGGCCAGGGGGCAGTCACAGGGAAAGCTACTGCAGGCCCTCTTCTTCCCTCCTCACAAGGAGGAGCCACCACAGCAGGGCAGGGCCTGTACTCTGGCTCTGCAGGTGTCTGGTAGCCCACACAACAAGAGGTTGCCACAAATTTGTGCAAAGACCTTTATTGACAGTCACAAGCTATGGGGGTGGACCCTGAAGTTTGGGTTCTGGGGAGAAAGAGCTACCCTTCTCCATTTGCCTGGCTTGGGCCCTTCCTGCCTGAGAAGAGATGAAGTGAGGGTCTCCCACACTGCTGAGACCAAGACCTCCCTGGCAGTCCAAGTGAGTGTGGGGGCCTGAGAGAGAGGCCCTTTGTGGAGCTGAACTGGAGCCCATTGTCCCCATAGCCCTTGTGAGTACACAGCTAGGAACCCCCCTCCCCCCATGGGCTGTGCCTAGGGCTTTTCTTGTCACACGAGACTGGTGGAGGTTGGCAGCTGCACCTCTGGGCACTTGAGACAACACATCTGTTGCCACAAAGAACAAAGATGCTTTAAAACAGATGCACTGGGGGCTGAGTCATCACGGGGCACGGTTGAAACGGGCCCTTGCCCACTCAGCCTTGTCAGCTGTCCTTGCCTCCGCTGCTCTTCTGGTCTGAGGCTGTGGCCTTGGTCAGGTTCCCAGCTTCTCTCTTGAGAACACTAAGCAGAGTCTGTGAACTCTCCAGGATCTGGGGCCACAGAAATAAGAAGGTTGCTGATGTTCCTCCTGTGGGGAAGGTCCCACTGCCCTAGCCTCCCTCATCCAGCTGTTTTGTGTTATCGGTAACAGGCCACAGGGTAGGCAAGGCCTTCTTTTCTCTCCTGTGTCTGTGTCGCAGCCCCTTCCTCCCCACCCTGGAAAGCCACACTGGGTTAGCTCTGGTACATGCTGTGTGCTCTACTGAACACTCTGCTCTTCATTCGAAGCAGAATGAACCACAGTAAAGGAGAACCCAGAACTCCCCAGCCCCACAGACATCCGAACCGTCCCGCCTGCAGCAGTCAGGTTGTTCAATGGGTCTGGACACACTGCCCCAGCCCGAGATGCCAGTGAGGCACAAAGGGCCCACGGCCGGAAGCCCCACCTTGAGGTAGGCTGCCTCGGTCTCCTCGATGGTCCGGTCGAACTCGTTGCGAGAGGCGATCTTGCGCGCCAGGTTCTCGTTGACGCGGGCCAGCTTCTCCGTCAGCTGCCTCACCTCGTTCTGCAGCCGCTGCTTCTCGTCCTCTTCTTGCTGGATCTGCCGGCACAGCTCGTCTCGCTTCTGACACAGCTCCTCGATGCCTGGGGTGGGCGGGGGGAAAGCGCTGTGGGCCCAGGGCGGGAGAAGCCTCAACTTCGCAGCGGAGTACAGTGGTGCACGCTGGCTACGCGCACCCAGGCAAGGCCGGGGCCGGGGCTCTTGGACATCCGACCCCGCCAGGGGCGGCACGGGGGGAGGCCCCAGCACCAGGCTCGCGCAGGCGCAGGCGCATCCGCGCGGCCACTCGAGAGCAGGCCGGGCCCAGACTCAGGCTCCAGCAGCCCAGACCCCCGCCCAAGGCCCTCCGCCTCCCGCTGTCCGCCGCTCACACTTAACCAGCTCGTTGTTGTAGTTCTGCAGCGCCGCACCCTGCTGGGTCATGGTCGACGCCGGGCACCGCCACCCCAACCGCCGGCCGCGCAGCCGCACCGGCGCTTGCGCACTGCCTTCCGCGGCGCGCCGGGCAAAGCGTCATCGCTACGCGCTTCTCGCGTGCGTCACGACGGCGCGCCATGCCCAGTCCTACGACATCGCCGCGCGTCGCCTAGGGCGGGTCCGCGGATGGAGGCAGAGGTGGCGGAGGTGGCTGCAGCGGCGGGGGGCTGCGACCCCGCGCCCGGACAGGAGTTGTCGGTGGCATGGAATACCGTGAGCACCGGGCTGGTGCCGCCGGCTGCGCTGGGACTGGTGAGGTCTGGGAAAAGAGCGACGGGCCCGTGCGGGGTTCCCCGGACTCTGCGCGCTTTAAGGCGTCCACCGGGTGCTGTCCGCCACCCGTAGCAGTTTTGTCTCTTTTCTCCACCGTTCCGCTTCTCTTAGATTCCTTGGCAACCCTTCCCTAGCATCAACCACGGATTGTGGTGGCAGGGTTTCCTTAGTCTCCCGTTGGCTCCGTCCTTCTCCTCGGGCCCGTCTCTGCCCCACCTGCTTGCACCTCTACCCCGCCGTACCCTTTCTCTTGATGGTTTTCCGCGCTCTAGGCTTCCTCCCGGACGAGTGGTGCGGTCCCGCCCAAAGAGGAGGAGCTCCGTGCGGCGGTAGAGGTTCTGAGGAGCCAAGGTCTGCACTCTGTCCTGGAGGAGTGGTTCGTGGAGGTATTGCAGAACGACTTGCAGGCCAACATCTCCCCCGAGTTCTGGAATGCCATCTCCCAGCGCGAGAAGTCTGCTGACGAGCCCCAGTGCCTTCTGCTGCTCCTTGACGCGTTCGGCCTGCTGGAGAGCCGCCTGGATCCCTACCTGTGTAGTCTAGAGCTCTTGGAGAAATGGACTCGCTTGGGCTTGCTGATGGGCACTGGTGCTCAGGGGCTTCGGGAAAAAGTCCACACCATGTTGCGGGGAGTCTTGTTCTTTTCTACACCCAGGACCTTCCAGGAGATGGTCCAGCGCCTCTATGGGCGGTTCCTGAGAGTCTATATGCAGAGTAAAAGAAAAGGGGAAGGGGGCACAGACCCGGAACTTGAGGGAGAGTTGGACAGCCGGTATGCCCGCCGCCGGTACTACCGGCTCTTGCAGAGCCCTCTGTGTGCAGGATGTGGCAGTGACAAGCAGCAGTGCTGGTGCCGCCAGGCACTGGAGCAGTTCCATCAGCTCAGCCAGGTCCTGTGAGTATTGCCACCTAATGGCCATGCCCCTGTTCCTCTTGTGTACTTTTCTTGCTCCTCCAAGTCCTTCTGCCCTCTACAGAGGACTACTGGACTGTCTGTTGGGGTCTCTTTTATTTGCCCTGATAGCCAGGGACCGTCCTAGGGTTCTCTGTGGAGCAGGTTCACACTCTGTCCAGGATCCAGGTGTGTTTCTTTTGTCACTCACACCCAGCCTAGGGATTCAGCTTTGCCCTTCTAAGAAATCATGTATTGTGTACCTACAGTAACAGATCATTTCATTCCAAACTTCTTGGACTCTTCAGAATCCAGATATATATGTATATATATTTTGCAAAGTCTCAGAGGGAGAATTGACATTCGTGACCTCATCAGAGTCCCCATCCTGTAGACAGTGGGTTTGCTAGTTCTTTCCAGAATTTGGAAGGGCCAGGCCTGAGTAGCAGATTTCTAGTCCTTCAGAGAGAAAAACATGTTGCTGTTGTCAAAGGGTCCTGGTGGAGCCCTCTAGTGATTGTCATGTCCACTGCAACCATTTGTGGTGGTCTGTTACAGTGAAGAAAGTGCAGGGATGCAGCTGTTTGGGATAGAATATTTTAGGTGGACTGAGGGAGTTGACCTGTTGGGCCACTGCTGTGTTCATTCTAGGTAAAAGTTTCACAGCTACCTTCTTCCTCATTCCCTCTTCAATCTCATTTGCTATTGTAGACCTGGGTCTGCACTAGAAACACACAACAGCAGCTGTACTTGTTTAGCCAGGAGGTAGTGTATCAGAGCCTTTCCTAGATGAGGCTTGGGCCCTGGTAGCCACACCTGCTACTACTAGTCACACATGGGGAAGGGCAGCATCCCAAACTGAGCAGAGGCTAGCTGGGCAGAGAGGGCAGCTCCTTGTCAGTGCCATCCTCCCAGAAGCTGTGCCTCAGAGACCTTGGTACAGTTGTCTACTCCAGGAAGGCGAGGGGATGTATGCACTGAGCCTTTGGTGTAGATGTGTGCACTATGTATGCTCTGCAAGCAGGGCCTTGCTGGGTGAGGGACATATGTGTGCTGCAGGTGATCCAAGGGCAGGGCTCTCCTTTAGGCATAAGCTCAATCTGCTGGAGCGGGTCAGTGCTGAGGCGGTGACCACCACCCTGCATCAGGTGACCAGGGAGAGGATGGAAGACCGTTGCCGGGGCGAGTATGAGCGCTCCTTTCTGCGGGAGTTCCACAAGGTGAGGAGCCCCTCCCTAGTCTGTGTTCCACTAGGGGCAGAAAGGGGTTTGTGGCAGACCTGACCCTTAGCGTTAGAAGCAGCCAGAGCAGAGTGGGGAGGCCTGGGTGGACCAGGATTGGGTAGTGGCCGGCACTGCCTTGGTGCCGAGTAGAGGCAAGTCCTGGGCTCTAGTGACAGAGAGGGTTTGTCTGGGATGTGTTCAGCAGGTCTGTACAGAATCCTGTGGCTGGAGGCAGTGCAAGGGCCAGGGTCCCAAGGGGGCTTTCCAGGGAAGGTGGGGCAAAGCCAGGGCCACTGGAGGGGTGAGCAAACAGACCCTCTCCTCTTTGTTGTCCTGCCTTAAGGTAGGCTCACTTGACAGTTACCCTGTGGACTGACCTACACCAGCCTACACTCTAGTATGCAGATGAGGGCTTCTGCATTTCCACACTGGGGGAATAGTCTGGTTCTGCTCTGAGCTCCCAGCATTGTGGAAGAGCTGGCCTAGCCACGTGGGGCCATCTACCCTGCTCCTGCTTTTTCCTTGACCTCCCCACACTGTTTCCAGGTGTCTTTCAGTGGATGCAGATTAGCTATGATGAAGGGTGTTCAAAGTGGGTGTTCCCACAGTGATGATCTAGAGTGGGCATGAGCTATGGAGGCTCAGTTGGGGTAGTGCACTGTGCCCTGGCGGAGTGGAGAAGGTGAAGTGTCAGAGTAGTCTCATTGGTTAGCTGGTTTAAGGGTCTGTGTGCATCTGTGAGTCTGTGGCTGTGGGGCCTCCTGTACATTTATACAGACTTGAATGATTTCACTGTCACTGCATTGTTTGCACAGGGGTGGGGGTTCATTTGTCACATCTGTGATCCCAAAAATAAGTTATCCACTTAGCCACCTAACACATAGACCATGTGTGCCACTATCTCACATTAGGGTTACTTGCCATAGATAAGTGTGGGCACTGACATGTTGAGATGGTGTGAAAATTGATAGGGCATCAGGGATGCCCATTTGGGGCCCATTATCCTGAAGATTTTGGTGTGCTTCTGGCCTGCAGACACAGGCGGCCTTCGGGGCTCCCTAGAGCCCTGCCAAAGGGTAGGACTGCTGGGTCAGGCTGGGACTTGTTGAGCATCCTTATGCCTCACAGAACAGTGCTTTCCCACAGTGGATCGAGAGGGTGGTCGGCTGGCTTGGCAAAGTGTTCCTGCAGGACAGCCCCACCAGACCTGCGTCCCCTGAGGCTGGAAACACACTGCGCCGTTGGCGCTGCCACGTGCAGAGGTTTTTCTATCGGATCTATGCCAGCCTGCGCATCGAGGAACTTTTCAGCATCATTCGTGGTTAGTTCCATCCCCTACCCATGTAGGTTCCACTTCCAGTCTGGGAGCCTTCCCAGTGACTTTGCCATGTCCTCTCCACATATGGTGGAACTTCCTGGGCTTTGCCTTGAGCTTTGGTGAATTGAGCAGAGCTGAAACCTTTCCATTGTGGGCCTGGGTCTGAGTCAAGACAGACCCACCTGCCTGGCATTGGATGAGTGCTTCTGGGTGTCCACTCTTCTGTCTCCTCAGCCTTGGTTCCTATGGCATCACTCTGTTTTATGGGGTTGTATACAGCTAAATGTGTTGACACACAAAAGTGTGAACAATGACATCCGGTGCCTGGCAGGTAGCTCTTGACCAAGGATCCTGTAGGGCTTGGTGTCCTTTGGTGCACTGTGTACGTCTTTCACTGACTTGAGCACCTGTGTGCACACCCTTGTGCACTCACCTGTCTCTGACAGATGGTCCTCTTGCAGATTTTCCAGACTCCCGGCCAGCCATTGAGGACCTCAAGTACTGCCTGGAGAGGACTGACCAGAGGCAGCAGCTGCTTGTGTCCCTCAAGGCTGCTCTGGAGACTCGGCTCCTTCACCCAGGTGCCACTATAGACTGGTCATTCAGCCCTCGGGGCTTGAATGTGGTTACCAGCTGTGGATCTGTAGGTCTGATGAGTGGGTTAAAAAGCAGTTTTTTGAGGTTCTGGGGTTGCTGGGGTGATTTTCAGCTTGATCCCTCTTTGAAGGGATTCAAGACCTGCCTGGCTTAGTCTAGGGGCTGTATGTGGTCTTCTCAGAACAGACTTCTGGTAGAGAAAGGGCCTGTTTCTTGGAAAGTTCTGAAGAAAGTGGCTGGGAGTGGGTAGAGATGGGGAAGGGGTGGGGGGATGTAGCTCCCTTCAGTAACCTTGGCCTAGGAAATAAGGTCACAGCAGTGACCTGTGGACCACCTGTCCAGTGTGCCCAGCTGCCCACTGAGGTGTTGGCACCAGGGAAGCTACTGTCCAGGGCACTGTGACCACCTATCTTTTCTCCTGGCTATAGGTGTCAATACATGTGACATCATCACTCTTTACATCTCTGCTATCAAGGCGTTGCGCGTGCTGGACCCTTCCATGGTCATCCTGGAGGTGGCCTGTGAGCCCATCCGCCGCTACCTGAGGTGAGAGCATGGCTGCCAGGAGCCACTGACATTCAACTTTTTTATCTTGCTAAGCTCCATGTGGTCCTTATGATAACCAGAAGGAAACTTAGGTTCTCAGGAAGCCAGACACACAGGCTTCTCCTGAATGGGCCCTTCTTTTCTCTTGCTAGTGCTGGGCAACTGTCCTTGTTGCCATACAATGTGATTGTGCCCTCCGTGTATAGCAGTCGGCCTAGTTTCAACCCCTCTTCCACACCTCCCTTTTCCTTCTGTCCAGCAAGAGAGCCTTGTTGCTGAGTAAGCCTTGGCAGACGAGAGGCAAGGCCTCGGCCTTGTGCTGCCTTGGCCTTCCACTGACAAGGGACAGGAACCTTCATGGATTATCTTTTGGGTAATGTGTTTGAATAGATGTCTTTGACACAGCTGTCCAGAAAGCCCTTGAGCAGCAGAGGCCCAGCCATCTCCAGGACCCAAATAGCAGGAGCTGATTGGTGCCTGGTGGCTGCCCTGGACTCAGGTTTTCTGCCTTCCAGCCATGGGCCATTGGGCCTCTTCTGTTCTCTCAGTCCCTCCTGTTCCCAGAGTAGTGCTGGGTCTTTTATTTTTTGAGAAACCAGATAGGCCTGTCTTTAGTACATGCCAGTCAGCTCTGGCCACACTTAGGATGGGCAGTGGGAGGTGCCATGATGGATGCACACACCGTGGGAGACAGAAACACTTAACTCTGGCAGGACACGGGAGGACACGGTGCGGCAGATTGTGGCTGGACTGACAGGGGACTCGGATGGGACTGGGGACTTGGCTGTTGAGTTGTCCAAAACTGACCCAGCCAGCTTGGAAACCGGCCAGGACAGTGAGGATGATTCTGGCGAGCCCGAGGACTGGGTCCCTGACCCTGTGGATGCCGATCCAGGTCAGCTTGCCCTGCCAACCCATCCCCATCCTCCTCCCGGGCTTATTTGGGGAGCTCCTGTACTCTGGGCTCATGTGTGTTGCTACTGATACATGGCCATATTGAGAGGAACAGCCAGTGTTTGAGGGGTCAGATGGTCAGGGCCTTGTTTAATACCTGCCAGCTTTCTGTTTCTGTTTTCTGGGTGACCACTGTATGGTCATCCCAGCTGTAGGAGGGTCTTGACAGCTCCACCCCTTGCAGGCTGTAGCTGGTGGAAGAGCAGGTTCATGGGAGGCCTGTGTACCCCACTCCCAGTTGTGATTCGGTCCCGGGTCTCATCCCATGTCTGGCCCTACTTCATGGGGTGTCTGAGGGCTGTGCGTCCTCTGTCCTGGCACAGACAGTACACCTTTAGTCTCCAAGAAGAAAACCTGAGGATCTTTGAGCCATGGAGGTCCCTGTGAGACAGGAGGGGCAACAGATCAGAGCAGCTGCCCTAGGACCCAACCCTAGGTCTAGCAGGAGGCAGGTAGTCCCAAGCTGCTTGGGACATTGAGAACCACTCAGTCTATGCTGGACTGTAGTGCCTAGCAAGGTGGGCTTCTGGGGTGCTGCTGTCCTTGTTGAGGTGCTAGTGGTAAGCTCCCTCTACCATGCTGTGCCAGGGAAGTCCAGTTCCAAGCGGCGCTCCTCAGACATCATCAGCCTGCTGGTCAGCATCTATGGCAGCAAGGACCTCTTCATCAATGAGTACCGCTCACTGCTGGCTGACCGCCTCCTCCACCAGTTCAGCTTCAGTCCTGAGAGGTGAGGCCTGCGAGGTTCCATCTGGTCACCAGGGGGCGCCGGTCCTGCCACTTGGGGCGTCCTGCTGCCAGTCCTTCAGTATCTGGAGGGAGGATGCACTTTACTGCCTAGCTTGGCCAAGAAGTCTGTGCATGGGCCCAGATGGAGCTTCCCTCCTGACCCCGGGTATCCCACCAGAGGGGTGCCAGTGTGGTGAAGGCATACCACAGCCCCTCCCAGAAACTTGTCCTTCCAGGGAGATCCGCAATGTGGAGCTGCTGAAACTGCGCTTTGGCGAGGCCCCAATGCACTTCTGTGAGGTCATGCTAAAGGTGGGCACCCAGGGCTCCCCGCCCACCTGCCTGGACCCTCCAACCCAGGCCTTGGTGAGATGAAGTCTCCTTCTTAGGACATGGCAGATTCCCGCCGCATCAATGCCAACATTCGTGAGGAGGATGAGAAGCGGCCTGTGGAGGAGCAGCCACCATTTGGAGTCTATGCTGTTATCTTGTCCAGCGAGTTCTGGCCCCCCTTCAAGGATGAGAAGCTGGAGGTCCCTGAGGATATCAGGGCAGCACTGGAGGTTTACTGCAAGAAGTATGAAAAGCTGAAGGTATGTCTAGTGGGGCTCAGCAGCTCATGTCTGTGATCACACCATTGACCCTCATTGTCTTTGGGTTGGTCCCATCTCTCAGCTACTCCTGCAAGAGCAGGTGTGGGCACAACCCATGTTCTCTTCACCTTCTCCAAAGTCTGCCTATATATGTGAGGATTCTCTTGGAAGTGTATGTGCTTGTCTGCATATTAGGACCCCTGTAACCAGAGAGACATCCTCCCTAAGCTGCTTCTCCTCTTCTGCCATCAACCCTCTGGCCTTTCAACTGGGGTTCTGAGGCTCATTGCTTCTAGTGGGCCTGGAAGGCTGAATCTCTGCCTTGGGCATCACTCTCAAGTACACCTGACCTCCAGGATCTTGACCCTAGCCCTTCCCCGGGTCTGCCTGCAAGCTTTCCAGGGTCATAGAGGTACTTGAGGTTGAGGTTGAGTGGCTGTGACTTGAGCCCTGGGAGACACAGGGCTTGGAGAGGAAGGGGAGCAGGCAGTGCATGCTTGGAGAGAGGAGAGTACTGATTGGGAGGTCACTAAATTGTGGGAACTGAGTGCCCAACGACATATAATTGGTCCATGTGGCACATGCCGCCTGGCACCATAGCTGAGCCCTCTTGTGTCAGAAGCTGGAATCTAGGTGGGAGGTAGGGCCAAGTTCACGGGTCCTTCCCTCCTGAGCTTGTGGTCATTCGTGCTAGGAGAGGAGGGAGCTGGATGCCAGTCTAGAGTTCTGGTGGGCACAGGTAGATATTCAGGTTCCAGGCCATGGGGTACAACCCAGCAAATGCTATGGTCTGGAGGGAGCTGGGCACCCCAGCAAAATAGGGAGAAAACATTAGTGGAGAGGGTCCTTGGATACAGGCAGCAGACTTAAACCCTAGGAGTAAGTGAGACCCCTGGAGATGGCCCCTTTTGGCTGCCCTATTGGTGTGAGGCACCTGTTGGCCACCAACCAGGTCCCACCTTGGGTCCCAGGTGTAGCTCAGCCACATCACATTGCTCAGGTTTGACATGCAGGGACAGCTGTACTCTAGTGCCTTGTGTCTCACTTCAACTGGATACTGGAATGGCTCTTGTGGACCCTAGGGCCATGTTGAGAGGTCAGGCCTGTGGTTGTAATTTCTCTGCCTGCCACCAGTAGAGCTCCTGTTGAGGACCTTGGTGGGCTATCAGCAGCTGTGCAACCCACAGTGTCTGCACCTGTAATGTTTGCTCAGCCCTGCACCTGTCTTGTGTGGCACTTGCAGAGGTCATGGCCTTGTAGTCAAAAGGTGGGACAACTCAGCTGGCTACAACCAAGCCAACACACTACCTTCATTTCCATCTGTGGAATCCTTGGTGCCTCTCCCTTAAGAGCTGCAGGGGTCCCAGAAGGACTTTGACCACCACTTGGCCCCCAGAGCAGCAGAGCAGCAGTCCTGAGGCTGCCATAGTGAAGTATCACAAACCAGGGGGTTTACGAGACCCAAAGTATATTGTTTTACCGAAGTAGGAAGTCGAAAATCAAGGTGTCACAGGGCCTTGCTCCCTCCAAAGGCTCTAGAGGAGCATCCTACCTCTTCCAGCTTCCAGTGGCCCCAGAAGATCCTGGGTAGATGCATTTCTTCTCTGTGTCTCTGTGTCCACATTTCTCTCTCTCTTTTTTGTTTTTTTTTGGCGGGGGGGCGGGGGGGCGGCACAGTTCTGGACTTGAACTCAAGTCCTCATGCTTACTAAGCAGGCACTGTACCAATCCACTTGAGCCACTCCACCAGCCCTTTTTTGTGTTGGGTATTTTTTGAGATAGGGTCTCATGAACTGTTTGCTCAGGCTGACCTTGAACCTCAATCCTCCTGATCTCTGCCTTCCAAGTAGGTAGGATTACATGTGTGAATCACTGGCACCTGGCCATGTTTCTCTCTTTTAAGGACACTAGTCCTGTCAGATTAAGGACCTACCCTATTCTAATACAGTCTCAACTAATTACATGTTTAATGACCTTATTTTAAGTAAGATCACATTCAGAGATACTGGATAGTAGAACTTTAATATATTTCTTTGGGAGGGACACAATTTCAGCCCCCAAAATTCTTATCCTCCCAACATGCAAAATATACTCAACCAATTCCATCATTCCTAAAAATCATGACCACTTGGTGTCAACTGTAAGTCCAAAAATCTGCCCCTTTTTTTTTTTTCTTTGATGGGACTAGAGTTTGAACTCAGGGCTTTGCACTAGCAAAGCAGGTGCTCTACCATTTGAGCCAGGTCTCTAGTCCATTTTGCTCTGTTTATTTTGGAGCTAAGACTCTCACAAACTAGCTGGGCACCAGTGGCTCACGCCTGTAATCCTAGCTACTTAGGAGGCAGAAAGCAGAAGACTCGTGGATCAAAGCCAGCCAGGGCTAATAGTTCAGGGACCCTATCTTGAAAAACCCTTCACCTAAAAGGGCTGGTGGAGTGGCTCAAGGTTCAAACCTCAGTACCACCAAAAAAGAAACAAAAACCAAAAAAACAAGCACTATTTACCCAGGCTGGCCTTGAACTGCCATACTTCTGAGCTCAAGACTCCCAAGTAGCTAGGATTACAGGTGTGAGCCAAGTGTGCCAAGCCACGGGAGTTTTTTTTGGTTTTGTTTTCTTCTAAATAGCCCTCATTAACAGTTGGTGCTGGACTGGCTGCATGCAAACATGCTGGGGTTCTGGTGTGGCTCAAGTGCTACAGCATCTGCCTAGCAAGCTTGAGGTCCTGAGTTCAAGCCCCCAGTATTGCCAGAAAACAAACAAAAAATACCATGTTCTGGGGCTTCTGTTTCAGACTCTTGCACAGACTGTTTTTTGGTCTCATATCTTAAAACCTGGACAGTTTCATTTGTATTCTGTGGGTCTCTGACACCAACATCCTGAGGCGAGTAAGCATTCCCAAGTTAGCTTGTTGGAGGGTGGCTGAATCCAAGGAAGAAGAAGAGCATTTGTTTCCAGGAGCTGTATCAGAATGCCTCCCAGTGCATCCAGCTGGCTCCAGGTCATCTAAGGTTTACAGTCGTTTAGAGGCATCTCTTTCAGATTATTTTCTACAGATCTAGGAGTGATGGTGGCTAGACTGCCTGTCCAACAGTCCTTTGTCATCTTGTAAGCCTTAGGAACTAAAGAACAGTTAACTCAGCTAGCATGCAGCTCAGTGGTAGAGCACTTGCCTAGCATGTGCAGGCCCTAGGTTCAATCCCCAGCCTCACAAAAAAGGAGAAAAAACCCAACATTTAAATCACTGTATGTATATGTGTATGTATGTATAGCAGGAAGTTAAAACTATGCAGCCAGGCTGACTTCAAACTTGTAATCTTTCCTGCCCCAGCCTCCCACGAGCTGGGATTGTAGACATGAACCACCATGCCGAGCCCTAAATCACTTTATTTGTATATTAAAGCATTTAAAAGTAAATTGTAACAATTTTTATCAAATTAAAAATTGATTTTCTCTTTTTAAAAATTGTTGGGTTTTTTGTTTTGTTTTGTTTTTTGGCAGTACCAAAGGTTGAACTCAGGGCCTCGAGCTTGCTAAGCAGGTGCTCCACCACTTGAACCATTCACCTGGCTCCAAAAATCTTGTCTAAGTTTAACACAAAGTTCCAGATTTCCACAGCTAAGTCAAGGATAGATGAGATGTGGGGTCTGGTCCATCTGGAGTACATTTCCTCTCCAGCTGTGATGCTATGAAATCAGAAAAGTTTGCTTCCAAAATACAATGGTGAGGGCTAAGGTGTGGCTCAAGAAGTAGAAAGCCTATCTGGTAAGTGTGAGGCCCTGAGTTCAAGCCTCAGTACAAAAAAAAAAGAAAGAAAGAAAAATACAGCAAGAAGGAAAATTCCATATTTCAAGGCCTGGCAACAACTCTCTCTGTGCTCTGTCCTCTTGGCCTGCCGCAGTAGCTCTCCTCCATCACTGGGGGCCTCTGCATCTGTGGTTCTGCCCCTAGTCCTTTCCTTTCATACTGAATCTGTCACTTTTAGTCAGACAGTTAACATTTATGCTGGTACAAAATTCTCAAAAGTCAAGTTGGTTTTTCATGCAGTTCTTGGATGTCCAGGCCGTCAAGTAAGAGGGTCCTCCCCGGACCGCTCCTAGATACCATGTTCCTGGCTTTTGCTGAGATGGTTGGACTCACAGTCACACGCATCTTTAGCAAGTGCTTGTTCAGCCACACCCTGTCCACATCTGCAGAGTGCTTGCAGGGCTGAGCATTTTCTTTTGCTTTTTTCTTTTGGTGGTACTGGGGTTTGAACTCAGGGCTTCTTGCTTGTTAGGTGCTGTACCACTTGAGCCACTCCCCCAGTCCTTTTTTGTGTTGGGTATTTTTGAGATAGGGTCTTGCAAACTATTTGCCCTGGCTGGCTTCTAACTCAATCCTCCTGATCGCTGCCTCCTGAGCCACTGGCATCTGGCCTGGCTGAGCGTTTTACGAACCATCTATATTGACTACCTTTTGCTTTACAGTTCTTTTTCCTTCCTCAATTTACTTCTTGCCTTTTACATTTACTATAAATAGCCAGGAAAAAAACAGGGTGCACCTTCCACATCTGTCTGGAAATCTCAGGAACGTATTCAACCTCACCACTTGCAAGTGCTACTTTCCATCCAGTAGTAGAACATTGTAGCCAAGTTTTCTGCCAACTTTTCTACAGTTTCCAGTTGCATGTGCTTCATTTCCGTCTGAGCCCTCACAGGTGCCTCTTAGTGTGCATATTGCTACCAGCATCATTCTCTTTGTTACGTATT